GATGCAGTTAAAACTTTGGGAGGAATTAATCTCGCCTCCTGCTGCCTCATGCTGCTAACTGCGTTCGAATCAAACCATTTGGCTCTTGTTTTAATTTTGACCAAAGCTACTTACAAAAGCTCCAATTAAAACTATCCCCACACCAATAACGCCAAGGTCATGGCAAATAACAGTGGGAGATTTTGTTAGCAAGCAGAAAATGTAATCGGGTTTTTACAAGGTTTAGCCCTTTGTTAATGTCCCCATTTTTGCTTCTAGGTGTCCGCGGTTTGTGAATATTTATGCAAATCTGGGGAAGGACAAAATTGCAGCAATTGGCATTCCTATGCGTAAACCATCGAAACGGTGAGCATGCGACCTCCTCTCTCCAAGGTATTGAGAAGGGAGTGGACAGTAGTTGGGAAGAGGAGTCAGATAAACTCTTCAAAATTTGTCGCGCTGCACAAGCCTACGCTATTTCTGGATGAAACAAACAAAAAAAAATACAAAGCAAATGGCATGTAGCGGAGTTCCACACCTTCACTGCCTTCAGCCCATGCTTTGTGACCTCAGAATGAAGGTTAAATCAGCGGTTAGATTCTTACTCCTCTGGTGTGCATTTTGATTCACCATCGATGGTGATGACCAGTGGCATCATCAATCACTGCTTTCTCCTAAGTGGTGTCACTTGGGCGCAAAATGCGGGGGTTAATTAGACATGGGCAATCAGTAAGACAAAGTGACTGTGTCATGTCACTGGGAATTCGCATCATTAACGCAGGGATCACGCCGGTGGAAGTCTGCGACTGTTTGTTAACACGCCTATTTGCTTTGTAAGGACTTAAAATTCAACTCTTTAAACAATTCTGGTTTTTAATATTTATTTTGACAAACTAGAGTGCAATTCTAGGGCTGAATGAAACGAATGGTAAGAGCAAAAAGTAGGAAACAAAAATGAAGATGGTGAGATTCGAGAGGGGAGGAGAACGAATGTCGAAAAACTGAAAACACCGCATTTTATTGCATACAGCTGCAGCCGTCTCGTTCCTGTTGCTATTTGATGGTTTTAAAATTCGCACACATCATAACCAACAACTTTTTAAAGTTCGACTCTGAGTATCCATTTTTATCTGATTTACCCCTTGAATAAACTGTCTCAAAGCCATTTCAGCTATTCGCTTTTTCAAAACTAGAAACGCTAACAAATTTTGAGAACTCTAGGAAGATGCCGATTTTCAGGAAGTGATTGTTTGTTTCAAGGGACACAGAAGCCATCAGATATGAAGTAACTCATGAAGTACCTACTTGTGGTGAAACAATCAGTAAATTTGGTGAATGCATCGGCTCATTGCAGTGATCCGGCACTTACCTGAAGACGGAAGCAGGCGCGGTGCCATAACAAGATATGCATAGTTGAGTATTGAAACGGTTGTGATTACTGACATGACTCCAAAATCCAAGTCACCTTGCGGAGGTGCAATGAGGGGGTCCTCAACAATTCGTGACCGAAAACGTCACAAGCTATTTTACCAGTTAAAGTATGGCGCAGCCCACCTCGCTTTCGGAATTTGTCCCCTCGTTTGTGTTGCAAGAACTCTTTACAGAATCGCTTTTGACTGCAGAAACACTCAACTGCTGCCCCTTGGTGGTTTCATTCAGTTTGGTGTACCATTTCAGGACTGTGCTTAAGAAGGAGAATGTGCTGACTATCACCCAATTCTGCAGCACTGAGTAGCAGATAGCTTTGTAATGAGCTTTTGGACTGTTAAAATTTGCTGATAATGTCCGTTTAATCATTAAAAGCTTACCTGCAGAACACAAGATTAGGAGAGATTCTAAAGGAGGCTCACAGGCTCCGATGATAGCACCTTATTCATTCTTCTGCCATATTAATGTTATGAATTTAGTGAGAGGCGTGTCAGATTGGCTTTTGCCTTCACTGCCATCAAAACACTGGAGCAGAAGACATAGGAGGCCAGTGATTCGAGTCGCAGTAAAAACACACAGTAATAGACTTCTCAGTGACCCAATTAAAAGCTGTGGGTTAAATGAAAAATCAAGGCATTAAAAAATTATACACAATCCTGTGTAAGTGAAATTAGATTTTGTTTTGTTATAGCAGTGAAAATAGCAATGCGCTGGCAGCACTTACGTAAAGAACGGTGTCCATGCTTGGCCTCCCTTACACCCGCCTTTCATCGAATAACAAGATTGTGCGCTAAAGCCTTGACGGATTGTGAGTTGCGGCAACGGTGGACGCATTGGTTCCAAATTCGTCGCATCATCATCAAGCTCTGACTTTATGGTGCTTAAGTCATTACCATCTCAAACTATAGTCTCTGTTCATGCTTTCTTGACGGGTTAGGTTGAAAAGGGGAGGGTGGGAACGAAGCACAGTCCGAACCTCAGGCAGTGGCAGTGTCTTTATGATCTTCTGCCTGGTAATATGTATAATAAGTAAAGGAAAAGCCTTTGATAGTTGTGCCATCTCTCTCCACCTTGTTGCAGGCAACAGTGACGCCACGCTACGGATTAAAGTGTGGTGCCAATCTTGGGAAAAGAAGAGAGTTTGCACCAACCTTACCGTGCTATTGCGCGTTATTATTTCAATTGCAGGCATAGTAGGCCTTATTTTGACCAGGTCTCCTGTCTGTACTCTTCGCGCAATTTTTATCCGCATTAATTTGATAAGCAGGTTTGTAATGAGGCAGGGATTTTTTTACTTTTAAGGAGCCAAGCGTGTCAAAAGCATCGAGGCTGTAAGAAAGACGTTGTATTTAATGTTACTCGGGTTATGCGTGGAATTTAGTTCTACAGCAGAAATCTACCATCGGCGGTGGAGGATAGCAATGAAGGCGGAAACAAGAAAGCAGACCCTTTTAAACACCCGTATAAGTTCGTAAGGCCTGTGCTAGGTTCGTGGCAGGATTCAAGCCGATTACTCCATATTTTGCCTTTGAGGACTCTGAATAGACACTGATTAAGGAAATGTTCATTTTCCTTTTACATCAATTGCTTGGGTATAAAACACAAACACAAGTAGTTTAAATGTTCATGTTTAATGCTGCAGAAGTTAAAATTAGTAATCGTACAGTTTCTTTCTGAATAAAATTATAGAATGTTGAGAGGTGGAAATATGAATAGGGGAGGGAAGTATGTGCCAAACCACCACAAAATAGAGGGTGAAGAAGGCAGTTCTTTTTGGGATCGTTCGCTTTAGGCAGACTTGAATTAAGTAGAGATCGAGTTACCAAATCCGTGCCCAATCTGGAGTCATTAGTGGGTGTCCGTAAAGAGTAGCCCAATGGCTCAGCCGAAACGCGAGAGCAATTCCTTGAGAGTAGAACAGTATCTTAAGTCGCATAAATAAAGGACAGATTGTTCCCAAGGGTGAAAATACAGGCTGGGAACACACTTTTACATGTTCGTTAAAGAAACAATGAAAAACATTTCCGACAAAATAGTGAGTCAATCAACTGGTATGAATGAGTGCCAAAGAAACCGTCCAGACACGTACGTAACGGTAAAATCAGTTAAGGCCTCACATGCCGATTACTCCGGTTGAAAAGTTAAGCGGAACCAAACTCAGTCCCATAGATACCGGCTATGACGGGTGAATAAGGACTGGTTGATGGATCACAATGCAAATGAATTGCTCATCAAATTGAAACAAGGATAGTATAAAATATCCTCGGGGTGATGGTGGGTAATTGCCGCAAAGTTAATGTCACACTTCTAAATAAAGCATCTTGACTTCTGGGCAAGTGGTGCTAACGCTTCCAATGCATTTTCGCAAGCCAGCACAGATGTTCCATTTTGCAGGCAAAGTGAAGTCCTCGTTTCAAATGAATAACGCTTACTCAACACCTCAGAATATCTCTTTTTAATTTTGTCTTGTGTACAAGATCTTCGAGAACTCGTTTAAACAAAAGATATCTGATAAAAAAATTAATTCTGGCTCATTGCCTTTACGTATTTGCCCCATCATTGACACCGTGGTGCCACAGATGCCTCATAGATTTGGACATTTAAAAGCATTTTTATCATAGAAGTGCGGAAAGGATGAGCAAAGAAAATACTTAATGAGAGATCGTTCAGGGATTAGAGCGTATCCCATGTATCGCATTGAATAGGCATACTTCTATTGAAGCCATCAAAGAAGATCGGAAACTATGAAAAGTCAACGGAGACACTTTCGTTCTTGCTTGCAGAGGGCAACCAGTACTAAGTTTGACCCGCAGCCAGCAGATCAAAGGTTATTGCAAGTCCCTTAATTCACAAATCGAGCAAGTTGTGAACCTGATGCCAACGATGATTTCATAAATAACACAGAATTATTAAGGAAGAGATCCTGGAGGTTAATGCAAACGACCATGATTTTTGCATATCCTATATTCTAATTTCTCTTCAAAATGCACCTTTGAAGACCATTTCCTACCGAGCCCCACATGGAAGGCCTAATGCACCATTTAATGCTGACTACTTAGTGGAGTAGGTTTTTTTCAAGTCCTTCTAAGCAAGCAAATGGCAAGGTTTGACCCTCACATCTCCTTCACTCTGACACATCCGTCAAAACTCTACCATAATGCCAAGAATCACCTGTTTCTGGAGTATGAAATGATTTTGTCCAAGTTCATTCCATGAGTTGTGATTCAGGCAACCATTTTATGCAGCCAACCATTACTACTGTGGGATCTATTGTAAAACTGGTACATTTTGGAGTACAAAAGAGCTAAAGTCTAACGACTAGTTCCAGTTTGTATTCATTCACGTCTGAATACCCGAATGGCGCCTAACTAAAACAAAATGGAGACAAACACGGGAAGCTGAGCAATAAAATATTACAAAAGAAGTGAAACCTTGCATGAAGCCCTATAATAGGCATTGTGACATCACAGAGGGAGGTGGAAGTAGATGGCGTATGCAAGAAAGAAGAAAAGTTGGGGAAACAGACATGTTGAATACTTTTGGAAAGATCATTTGTCACAGAGTCAAGTTTGAGGAGACCGTGTTCGCTTCATCTACGCGGTGACTTTGAAGTCCTTTCTTTTGGAAAGGGAGCTAATATCAGAGCGATTGGAGGCCTTGTCATCGTAGCGGTTGACTAAGAGGACTGGAGTTCTGTACGTCTCATCATCCACATGCAGCTAAAGGTTTGACGAAAAGATGCATTTAATTTGTCTTTTAACAAATCAGAGTTTAAAAAGTAGCGAAGAGTGGCTTACCTCAAGAAGGTAGTCACAAGTGAATCCACCAGCACTAACAGTGGGAGTGGTGAAGGGGACGAGGTTGTTCTCCGAGTAGGCATTGGCATCCCAATCGGTTTTAAGAGTTTTATTCCCTGTGTTTTGTTGATACTTCTCCAAAACCGGATTAGAACTGCTACTTGACACACTGGCGTGGTCTGTAACACTGTATCTGGTCTCGTCGTCCAAACCAATTGCAGGGCATTTGGCCTTTCGGATCACCGAAGCCGTGACTTTTTTCGGCTTGTCATGACCCGAATCTTTTTCTGTATAGCCAACAGCGAAATCAAACCCGTCATCCTTTGTAAACTGTCGATTAGTTATCTAAAATTTGTTTAACGAAAAACAAAACCATCAGAACTACTCTGTACCATGACTATATTCAAGTAATTGGAATCAGTGCTTACCACAAGGTCGTAGTTGTCGTCGGATTCCGCGTAATCGTCATTTTTCTTACCCAAGGCAGGGACCACAATGGGCACGCGTTCACTCTTCACAACATTTCCATTCATTCGGACTGAAGCTTCAACGGAATAGCTAAAGGTAGGAAGAGATGAAGTTGCTTTACACAAGGTCCTAACACCAGTCACCTCACATTGACGTGGGCTACTCACTTGTTGAATACACTGGAACCCTTATTGCAAGTGTAGGTAAAAGTAGGCACCTGATTCTCAGGCACGTAAATTTTGAATGGGATGGCAGAATATCCGGACTGAAGAATCGCCTTTTTGGGGATGGCCTCCACCAAAGCGAAGTCGTTTGGTAAGCGATTTGCAGCAGTACTGTCCCCTGGTTGCGGCTCCATACCAGGCAGAAGCAGTCTCGGCTGACGGTTCGGAAGGAGTTTCAACTCAGGCGCATAGTTCTTATCGCGAGAAGGCTACAAGAGGAGTAAAAAATGCACTTCGCATTGGCTCACCTTGAAGTTAAGCGTAATTCACTTTTCTACTAATAATACAGTAATGTGTGTTCAGCCTGATGTCAATCAAATCGCTCATCAAACTAAACCTATTTAGCATTCAATGTTAACAGGCTGTGAGCACATTGCCCTCACAATTATAACTTTGCCATCGGGCATAGTCATGGCAAGAGTCTTGTTAATGTCGATCCCAACGGCCTCGACGGTGACGGGCTCCTTTAGGTTGAAGAAGACACGACCGTGAACCACACGGTCTGGCGGCACTTCCGCCTCCTTCAACTCAATGCGCATGGCATTGACATACTTGTACAAAGGGGAGGACTCTTTCACTGGGAAATAGCTGTTAACCGGGTAAGGTGAGTCATCACCAGTTTCATATCCTATTGGTTAAACAAAGCAGCCAAGTTAATTAAAAGTTGATGTTGATTTTTAAGTTTACTGCTCTGCATTATACTTTCACTAACTTTATCAAACTCATGGGTGGTAGTTACTATGCTTATGGAAGAAAGCAAAAACAAAACATACCCATCCCTTCAGGTTCGGCCTAAAAGAGAAGCCAGAAGACCATCAAGGAGAGAATTTTATTGTAAAATATTTTATGTGAGCATTTATGAGAACCTACCGCTCCTGAGCGCCAATCGAAGGAGTCTATTGAAAGATACAATAAAGAAAGCCTGTTAGCATCAGATAACAAAGCTCCCTTCCATAGAATATGTCACAGAAGATGGAGTCTAGCATAGTACCTGTGTAGACCAGCATTTCCATGAAGCGCTGCTTGCACTCGTAAGTTTTCGCATCCGGCTCAGACTCAGCGTCTAATGGAAGGAATGCGAATTTTAAAGATACGATGGCGTCCCACCTGCATGGTCACAGAATAATAGCATCAAGGAGACATACAGGGGAAGGTGTGGGGATAAGCGTTGGCTGACTCATATCTGGGAGTGTAGGCACCTAAAAAGATTACACAAAGCTAGCATTGTCCGCATTAGTAAGGAGAAAAGTTTGGTCGTTGCTATTGTTCGTATACTTACGGGCTTTGGGACCCTCCCTTTCGATAATTTGGACCTTCTGCAAACTCCTATCGTTCGCTAAAGAAGACAAATAAGGGATGGTTAAAAGGGCGCATAATTTAGCTAACGAAGGGAGAGAAGAAGTGGATGTAAAAAAGGGCGAATTGATAGCGGCACCTACAAATCTGTGTCCATCCATAAAAGGTTTTGTTCGGTGTGACGCAGTCGTCTTCAACTACAATGAAAAAGTAGCATTCCAACCACTACTGACAGAATTGACAAATCAGCCTTTCCTCAGACCTAATAAGTCCATTAAAGTGATTTTGTTTTTTGGGAATTTTGGCGACACTCACCACCTTGCTTGACGGTTAGCATGCGCTTTTGAATCGGTGGACCAACGGGAACGGTGGGCTGGCATGCGGTCGCTAGAGTTTAGAGATAGTAAATAAGGTAGATGTGAATACTTGAGACGATTGAGTGAGGTAAAGTTGAAGCACAAATCTCACTTACTGGACTCAGGCTTTGCACTCTGAACGATGGCTTCGACGGAGGCGCGCCTTCGTCTTTGTTCTGCAAGAAAACACGCACCTGTCTTTATATCCTCATCACCTGCACGTAGGCAATGCTACTGCTTGAAACTGAGGGATGTCAGGAGAGGTATGTACCGTGAGAGCACCATGATGTCTCAAATGAGGTATATATATGAGATATTCAATGCGAGAAAACAAGTTTCTTGAAACTAGTGCTGTTTGCGAGCAATCATGCTTATTGCGATGACTTCGATAAATAGCGTTTTGAAGTGCAGGAACTACCTTGCATCTCATTTTGTGCACTAAAGTCTGGAAATTAAAATATTCAACCATTATAAAGCGGAAGGATTTGGGCATCAAGTCTCTTTCTCTCCCCCTCTACTCGAGCTCCTGTGGGTGCCTCATACCCATTCCACTGCCTCTCTTAGCACAGCACAGTACGTGCATCCAGTGATTCCACTCAAGTGGTAGTTTATTCCGTTTCCCATGCGCGGTTACATCACCATCACAATGGAGGCTTTAAATTGAATTACGCCGAGGCAGCTACACCTTATGCTTGAGCTGCTTAATTAAGGAGTAACAAATTTAACTTTTCGTGGTCCCTTAGTTACAATGACAAGGCAACTTTGACTCACTTTTAGCTGGGCAGTCTAAACGAAGGAAAAATTTCAAACATTATTACTTAAGTTGCTTCTTCTTGCATTTCACCTGACACGCAGAAGAAACTTCAGTCTCGTACACTCACCAATCTCGTAACAGCTGCTATTTTTGCCCGTCCTCCTGCCGCTCATCGACGATTGAGCTGTAAGGAGAAGTGAAAATGGTCTCCTTAACAACTTTTCTCCAAAACAAATTAATGCGTTAACTCGGATGCCTTTCCATCAAAATTCGTCTCAACTGTCAAATGTAAGGGGAAGTACAACCATTACCCCCAAAAAATGGAGTAAAAGGAAAGAACGGTAGTTTATTATCTGAAAACCCTGCGATATGCTCTCTAACCATCCCTTCGCGCCCTTTTTGGATGTAATTTTACTCCCAACCACAACACTTAGAGTCGATCGCCTCTTCATCCCTTCTGACTTCGAGCGACTCCATCACCGACTCCATTCCCTAATTGGCTTGAATCGCAAAGGCCATTTATGGCAGAAAAGCAAAAGAGGTTAAAGTTATTGTTGATTTGAAGGTGGTAAGATGCCCAAGCTCTAGAAGGCAACGCAGAGACAATTCCTCACCTCGTCGGTGGCGCTCATGCGACGTTCGTTCTTCACAAACTGAAAGAATTAAAAGTCAATTTTGCATTTTACCAGATTTTATTTTTTATCCAAAGGCCAGTTCTTTGAGCACAGATTGGCATTAAATGCTTGACTGCGACGAGCCATCACCGTGGCACGCGTTTTGACGGTGGCATTTTAACGCACTGAGCTGCATTCGCGATGGCCTTAAACGAATGCCCCGTTTGTGATTAAACATGGACACGGTTAGACGTCTCGTTTTTAAACCCATTTCTCATTGCATAAAGGTGCGGGCTTTGTTTCGAGACTTACAGTAGAGATCGGAGCCGTAGTCGTACACGCTGGACTTGCTACGCTGCCAACCTAGTAAGGCAAAGAATGATGCGCATGATTTGGATTAAACTGATTCCTTCACAAAACTGAGAATTGTCAGTGTTTCCATTTACCCTTTCCTTTTTCTCGAGAATCTCGTGTTCGAGGTCGTTCAGCTGAGAGGTGAAGGAAGTGCATAGTGATTTTGAGAGCATAAAATAATAGGCTTAATGCATCGCTAAACTGGCATCATTGGTCTCGCTTGGTGAACGCAAAAAGAAGTGGCTAGGATTTAGCTTACCGTGCGAAGGTGCTGTAACAGAAAGAGTTAGGTTACACATTAAGTTATTAGGAGCTTGAAAAATGCATTTTGCGCTGTACTTTGATTGCGAAAGTCGAACTGCCACGTCTCCTCTGGCCAAGCATAAATTTTACAAAAATACTTCTGGAGTAGGCTGTAAAAATCTCGTCTTACGTGGAAGTTGTTAATCAAATATTACTCAAATAAGAACTTGGGTTTGTTTGAAGTCTCTCACATTTACAAGTTGACGGACAAGGCAACTCTAAACAACGCTGTTCGTCAATCTTCATTAGCCTAGGGGACGTGTGCAACGCCTTAACTCACCATATTTTAAGACGACAGGTTTGGATCGTGATCCGCTGCCTTTAGTATCTACAAGGAGTAAAAGAAACCGCTCAATCAAAGCCAATAAAAACCGTTTCACAACGAATCCTGCAGGAACATTCGAAGTTTCGTATTGCCGGCAAGTGGAAGTTCACTACAACCTCATGACTCACGACACAGTACAAAGGCGTGGAAGAGCGTAAAAATGGTGGTAACTAACGCGCATACCTGTTCAAAGCAGTGAATGGCGTTAATATAACCACTAAGAAAATTTAAATTAATGAAACTACATTGATTAAATCTGTGAAGATGGCTTTAGCAAAAGTGAGGGCACGAAACTCACAAGCTCCAGCAACCATACTCGTAGGGGGTGTCTGTGGAGTAGAACTGTGTCACGGGGCTCTGAAGGAGGGTTTTAAATGACATTCGATGGTACTCACCACAAGTGCACCTGATTGGTCAGCACTAGCACGCAGAAATCACACTGAATCCTCCTTTGTGTGTGTCTGTGCACATCATTCTTCACTGTTGCTCAAGATGATGCTATTATTGATGGCAGCAGTGGTGAGTATGGCGCTAAGAAGAAGGTGGTAGGGCGGGCTTCTCGATCTGCTTGGAGTCTGTTTTAAGGTGTAGGCTTTCATTTGACAGCGCCCATTCATGCACTGGCCACTCTTCAACATCAGCCAGCTTCCTACCTCCTCCATTTTCATTTGGGCAGACATTTTGGTTATAATGGACCTGCTTAAAATTAGTTGGGCAGACATGGAGCACGAGCTAGACGATGGAAGGTGAAACGTACATTCCCAAGTAATTACGCCCCCAATTTTCCAAAGGAACCGAGGTTGATGCCCTAATTCAGTTAGCAAAGTTATCTTCCCAAAAGTCACACAATCTCAGGCAGGTAAAAAGTGGTTCTATGGTATGTGAAACCTAAGTGCCAGGCATCTTGGGTCATCTTGAGCAAACCTCGAACCCTCTTCGAAGTTCACCTGGCCTGAAGAAATGCCTGCTATTCCGTTAGTAGACTCAGACACATAAATCACGCAGCCAGATGAGGTTGTCTTAATCAGCTCTTGTGAAGCTTGAAAAGGAGGCATCAACGTGGTGAGTATCTTTCATTGCCTTGTCCCGTCCACAATCACTTTTCCACTGTTAATCTGCACACAAACAAGGCACGCATTTCTGTTTAACTTTTGTTTAGATTCCGGTTCTTATTCTGTTAGAAAAAAACTTTTTTGACGCCGCCTATTATGAAGATGCTAACCCTGCAATTCTCCCTTCGCACAGCTATTGCCACAGAAGTTCGTTCTGTTTACCAATCAAAAGCATCAAGTAAGAAACAAGCAATTAGAATGGAAAATGACGATGGCAAATTAACAGACAGCAACTTGTTAAGATGTTGAGCAAAAGAAATGGATCAGACCTATTTTTGTCGCCCTTCTTTGACAGCGAGCTTTTGGGTGGTGGCTCAAACAATCACGAAACAGCTCCTCATTGAGCACTTTTCAATGACTCGAGGCTATGCACTTTCTTTTGTGCAGCAAGTGTAACTTTTTTTTATGCCAAATTGATAGCAACGTGGAAGTCAATCATGCATTGAGGTTGGTAAAAGCATTGCCGAGGGAAGCGGTTTAAGTAAGCCTGCATTTCCGCATATTGCAATAAAATCACGAGGCAGTCCAGTTTCCACCCGATTACTCAACCGATCGTAAATCCTCGTCTTTATTGCCCCAAGCAGAGAGGGGAGAAGGCGGCGCGCACGCCTTGCGTCGATGTGAAATTCGTCGTTTTCCTTGGATCATGCGAAAATTTACCGAATTTGCCTCTCGGTGCAGGTTATTGTTTGGAGACGTCATAAATTGGTAGTAAACAGATCGGAGTAAGGATTGTGCTAATTGCTTGATGCAATTTAGCTTAAGCTAGTGGACTCCTTGCTGCTGTTTTTCCTGCCTCACCCGTACCATATTGTAATAATCAGTCGACTACTTGACTCGTTATGAAGTCGTAGCGTCTACCAACTTCTGTATTAGTTAATGCCTCGCACACAGAGAAGAATACAAGTGCGGTGTTTATGTCAACCTCACACCCGCACACACACACACACACACACTTCTTTCAGCACTGGCGAAAATATGTGGATACTTTGAATCTCCACTGCTCCTTGTGCGAATGAGACAGCTGCAGACTTGGCACTTCTTCATCACCCAATTTTGACCTACGAGTGGCACCTCACATGGATAGGAAACGTTTTCAAACTCATCAACGCTGGTGTTGAATGGTGCTACCTTTTCTCGTTGACGGACGTGGTTGGAGCAGTGAAACTTTGCCATTAGCACTATAATATTTGTCAGTTTCAAAGTGACACGCCCTATAACGACTGTGGCATTGGCATCCTGATACTGCCAGCAAGTCTTTTGTTATTGTGGCTTAAAGTGAGCATAATTGAAACTTAATTAAACAAAGGTAAAATTGTGTAACTCTTGACATTAGAATAAATCATGTCTTCGAGCTTAAATTTTATGCCCTTTTCTGTCAACCCTCAGTCTCGTCGCACAACAAGATTCCTCATTTGAAACCCGCAGTTGACAAGGCATTGCCTTAAACACAATGCTTGCCTTCATTAACAGTTCGACAGATCCCTTGAGAGGCTTTTTAATGAAATACTTTAAGCGATTAGATGGGGTGGACTGACTCAACCGCCAACTCAACCCATCGAACCAAGCCTCATGACACTTGACTGAAGACAATTACAAGCATGAGGTGGTTACACTAATTATTCGTAAGCTACTGTGCAATTAAAGGGTTCAAACTGAGTAGTCATTTCAAAAGGTCTATCCTAAAGAAGGCTTAATTCGTCAATTTTATGCACTTTTTACGGTGTCACTTTAAACTGTCGTCTTTTTTCGCTTAATAAAAATTGCGCTTGAATTATTGCAGACATTGGCATAGCATTATGGAAGGGCTTTTTAGTGTGGAAAGACTGCGGAACGGGTTGTCCACACGAAGATATTTGGATGCTCCAGCACAGCTGTCTTGGACTTCTGAGAGAGCTTAATGTTGAGTGGTTTGGCACCGCTGCCTTACGCTAATGCGATTTGCCTTCACTACTGCCAACACGTCAGTTGATGGGGCGGTCGGGAATTGTAAGCCCTAACTGCATTCTGTGCTGCTGTTTTTCTCAGCTTTTCAGAGGAGGAGTGACATCAAAAGTGAGCTCAAGGTTGCCGCTAAATTTGTCTCGCCACTTGCCGACTCACAACAGAATTCCCTCGTAGTAAAATTTGTCATAGACGCAGATTATCTTCAAGTAACTACTTTATAATGGAGCAAATAAAATGATGACCTTTTGCTGCAGAAGGAAGTCTCCTCTGACATGGCTGGTAGATCCATGCGACGCCTGCACCATCACCATCTTTATCTCAATTCTCTGATCCCACAGTTAGTGCAGATGAGAAGTGCCTAATTTTTAAGCATCGTGCAAAGTCATCAGGCGTGAGGCTCATTCACAGCGAGCAGCGCGATTAGAGGGGCAGGCAGATGGTTCTCAGGTCTTCATTTTAAGGCTTGTTTCTCATTCCCAAGGCTTGAGTTAGATGATGCGAACAAAGTTTCCGTAGCTTACAATAAATACCAGTTTAAAAGCACTCAAATAGGAATGTTTTGAGGTAGCGCCTACTGTGAGGGCTTTGCGTTCACTGGATCAGATTCCTAACTTCTTGTTAATCCCACACTCAGTGAGATTGGGAGGGCACAGAAGAAGGCGAAAAGGCAGCTTTTGAGAGTTTATTTCGTGATTAAAGCGGGTGGATCAGTTGGGGGACAGGGAGACCTCTATTGTGCTGTTTGATCGATTGGTGTGGGGCACCAAGTGTCTGCCAAATTCACATTGTCATTAATTAATTAAATCATCGGGGTGGATTATGGAGCAAAACCAATTGAGTCGTTTAACTTGGCGGTGCCATATGAGAGATGGTGCTGAAGCACTGCTAGAACAGCAGAAAAGTAAGGAGGGAAGGAATCCTAGTTAAGTCATGCAGAGGTGATCACTCGTTTGTGCGCTTTCGGTAAAAGGAGTGGGCGATTGTAGGAAGGTGGCCTCTCTACTGCTTTCATGATACTCAAAAACGCAATTTTTGACATTACAGCAACCTACTCCATCCTCTTGCCCTGCCCACCCCCTCCCTTAACTTTGGCATCCCAATGCCGAGCCAACGTCTCGATTTTACGCCATCACCAGTTTATTTGCATGATGAGCCATCGGAAATCTCGAAAATTAAACCCTACCTCCAAGTCGTGTGCGAAAGGGATTTTATTGCCTTCGCACTAAATTAATGAAAGCCAATTTTGTAGGTCAGACTAAAAAGGAAAAATATCGCTCAATTATTTTTTTTGTGCATTGAACATGGGCTCATTTTAGGTTTGAGTCCTCCTCCCTCAAAGAGTGGCAGTTTTCTTTAAAAAGCCATCATGATGAGTGTGCGCGTTATGAACAAAAACGGTTTTAAAAATTGTGTCATTGCTTACCATCGTTTTGCCTTGTATATCTACAAACAAAGGAGTGCGTGGGTCGCGACACTGAAACCCGCATTCACTTGCCCTGAGCACATGGACGAAAATGGGGAGGTCACCGCCTTGCACACAAGCAAATTGAATTGTGAAATTTTTTGCATCTAATCAGCCTAATATTGCTAGGCGAATGTGGGTAGAGGAGCTATAAAGGCACTGACTGCTCCTTAATTGAGACCACTGCCTTGAGATTGCAAAACCCAACCTGTGAACGACTTCAACGCTTAGCTTTGCTACTTTGAATTCCAAAAAAAGAGAAAAAAACATACGATTGATTGAGTGGAAGGAAAGGAGAAATTCAAGCACAAAATATTAATGCTCTTCGATGACGAAACTACTCAAATAAGTATTTAAAAGTAGCAGACCACAAGGAGTCAAAAAGGCTCGAGGGACGCGATCGGTACCTCACCACCCCTGACCAGAGGACATATAGCAGAATGAGGCTGATGGTCAGCTTCCATCTCAACCGCTTTATCAGGCACATCAGGACGATGGAGATTCATGTAAGCTCGGAGGTGAAATACAAACGATTGGTCGAAATGAAAGTCTGGTACTTTGGGGTAAACGCTTCAATTATGTCTTGAGGGCGTAGGCAAGGGGTGGAGAGCTGAATCTGCCCATGTTTAACCAACTTCAGCCCATCCCTAGTCGTAGCCACACATTCTGACTGCATTTTTGGGTAACATTGTTTTGTATGCCTCATAACAACTTCAAGCCAGCCTCCACAGGCATATTTATCATTTCCTAAACAATTTCAGTAACTTCAATTCCTGACGGTTTAGTAAAGACGAACTCTGACTCAATTGTTTACCGTAGAAACCATTTCGGTGAACACGCGCTCACATCCAATGGAAAGATCGCGAAAATTCTTATTTATTTCTTTCAGTAAAACGAAGGTTGACTTTTGTAATGATTCACTTTTTGAATTGGCCCTTGTTATTCGGGTTAGTGAAGCGAATGAAGTCTTAGTCACAAAGGCACTTGCATGACAGAGTTACAATGTTTCTACCAGCACAAAGGGAGACTGCATCAAAGGTTTCAAGGCCGCTCCCAAACAATTTAAAGGTACAAATGCGGGGTTCAAGATGGATCAGTCTTGTTTTCATGAGCCTGTAAACTCATCAATGCTGCACGAATTTGACACAGCAAACGTGATTTTTATCTACTCATTCAAGCCTCAATTTTTTCCTTCGCTGATAAATGTCGATGCTCCTTGTGATGGCTGATTTCGCAGTGTTTGGCAGGAATCCTTCTGGAGGGTAAAATCACTGGGAATTAAGTGCAATTTACTCATTGAAAGCCAGTGAACATAAGCTGGAGGCAATTAATTTATTTGCAAGTGCCAATTCGGGTGTGAGAAATGAATCTTGCGAACAAAAGGCGTGACCAAAATACCATTTGCTCCATGACCCTCCGGGACGCAACAAGGTTTCTTTTGGTGCCTCCGTTTGGACCCACATTTCTTCTTTTAGCTCCAAAGGACACCTGGCGCGATTGCATACCGGCCACTTCTTTAACGCGACTAAACACCGTGTGGCCAACCTTCCTTGAGGACCTTTTGAATGCCACTGACACCCGAGACTCCTTAGACATTGTAGTCATTGAAACACGGTGGTTGTACACATACGTCAGTCATAATTAATGGCGCAGTAATTCAGTGATTAGGTTGCTAAGCCACTTTGACTTTGCATGCTCGTATAAATGGGGCAAACTATGACAGAAATGGTCGGTCATTTTCCCCTTCCTGCATGCACACCAAAGATTGTAAGATTGCAACATTTGATAAAAACTACCAAATTGGTGATTTGCATTTTCAGCAGTTCTATGTGTGCAAAATCTGCAAGTCGGAGGTTCTCCTAAACCCAAACGAGTAGCCATTCATGCCAGAAGAGCAGCTGCTGCAGGAGCATTTCTTGCGATGATCCAACAGCCGAAACGATGACAGTGGTGACGAGTGAGGGTGAAAACGATTGAAACTTTGCCAGCACACAAGTAAAGAAAGTAAAGAATGCAATGGCAGCAATGTTGCAGTACTTAAGGAAGTCCTTACAGATTCCTAAACAAATTTGTTCTCACCAAGGTTGTCGATCTGCTAAAGCGGACGAATTAAAGGTCAAAAGAGTGAATTGGCATACCGTCCTTGACGAAACCCACAGCAGAGGCAAACGGCAAGGCAGTAGCAGATTGCGAACCTCCTAGCCAGTGTTGCATTTAATGGAGCCACAGAATGCCAACGACTAGTGAGGCAAAAAAGTGCATTGCTTGGCTGATGAGATTAAGACTGGTGAGGCTCTCGTATTACACTCATAAACAAAAGAATAGGGTTGTAATATCACATTTTAAAATTGGAAGCCGCTTAATTTGTACTTATTTTCTAATTCGGATTTGCTGCAATCGCTATAAAATTACTACAAATTTCGCTCGATTATTTCTACTACGCTTCCAGATGCGTTGACGCTCTTGATACTGCTACCTCGGCGGAAGGTCAGTGATTTGGCAAGACTCCTACTTCCACCACTAATTGACCAGCTGAAGAGAATGTGGACCTGAACAAGTTTCCGTAGCAGTCACATTACCTCGACACAATAAAAGGGACTTCTACAAAAATGTCGTGACTAACAATGCCTCAAGAGGCATTTTGGTTTTAAGAAGGCTTTTGGGTTATTAACCTCTCCTCCTGTACTTAATTAACATAAAAGGTTTCGATGCTCTAAACGCAACATTGAGTGAATACCCCAAAGGCAATTGCATATAGCCAACGAGGAGCTGCAAGTGCACCCCGCAAAGTGTGACAATTAGCGATTCTGCATGGAGCGTAATATGTTATTAACGCGCAGCAATACTACGTCATTACAAAATTGGGTGGTGTTACTCGCTGATTACGCAAACGTTGACCCATGGTAAATTTTACGCAGTGACAGCGGCAAGTTCTCTCTTCCTTGCTATCTCAGCTTTCCCTATTGCCATCACAAGACTTTAGTGACAACACGAACAATTCAGCAATTCAAATTCACTTTCTAGGCGATCAATAGGGAACCCACGGTCCTAATCATGGCAAGGGAAACTGTATACTATCAGTTCTGCGATGAAAGTTATGGAAATGTCGACTTTTACACTGCCACCACGCATCAGCTATCCCAAGGCGTAGTCCACATTCCACTGTGGAATAGGTTCGTAAAGAGCGTTATGCTTCTTTTTGATTGCTTTTTATTCGTCGTCAAGCTTGGTTTAAATGCAATGGCGCAAAAAGTTTTCCTTCTACCCATTCTGAAAGCCTGGACCCAGGTTTCCACAGTAGCGCACAATCTATTCATTCGTATGCCCAAGGGAGGTGCATATGAAATTCCGAGAAGAAAATTACCCATGATTATAAATCAATTGGAGAGGCTGTTCTCAATGACTCAACTCTCTACTCTGATTTACACCTCCGTAATGGTAATGCAAAGTGCGGCCGAGGTTATATTCCAACTGAATGAGTATATTTACATGGTCATTTGCATGATCAATGATGTAACGAAGTTGTTTTTAAGTGTCTTCCTCAACGTTCGAGTTGTCACAAAGAACATTGTGTTAACGCTCTCACTCATGGACTGGTTCACTCAATCAATCGCCATGTTACAATACTTTGTCGCAGTTTTCATCTACGGCTTCGCTTCCATAAGCAGTTTCCTAGCTAAACTGAGGCAGAATCCGATCTAAACCTGTGCGAGTTCTTTCGCTATAAAACATCCACAGTAGTGTTGACAGTTGATGTTTACGAACCCGTGCACCTTTGAGGACAATGTGAACATAATAAATAGTAGTGCACAAAATTGAAGTATCCATGTCAAAAGATTTTACTTTTACTGGCAAAGGAGCAGGAGAGCCTAGAAAGATTTAAAAATCCAAATCACAATTTAGTGGAAACTAGGTGAAATCCTGCCGATCTACAGAATCTTAACAGCAGCTGAAAGATAAAGGCAGCATCAACTTAGATGTGGGCCTATCTATTAGCACCATTTTAACTTATTCTCAGCACTAAGATCCCAGGTTAGTAGCAAATGCATGCTTAATTTTGTAAAATGTAACAGTTTAAAACAGCATTGCTCGCGCAAGGCTTTGTTTATTAGGCTGCCTGTACGAATGCGTACTTTGGCGGCTGTCATGCTTCCGCTGAATAGGCCGGCCTCCGGATCAGACCAAAGCATTAAGTCTTTCCTTTCCTCTGAATACAGGTATTCGCTGGATTCCTATACCTTTTTTATCGAATAGGTAGCCTCGAGACATTACAAATAGTACCATGCTTTAACAAAACTGCAAGCCGTACTTATGCGAAAAATAAAAGGAAGGAGGGTTATAGTGAACTAGGCCAAAACAATGGTTTGGTGTTTTATCGAGTTGTATGCTTAACTGATAAGACTGGTATGATTATGCGGGAGAAAGTAATTATTCCCATCGAAAAAATTCTGGTCTAGTATTAAAAGTGTGTTTTAGAAACTGTGGCTGCATTTATAACTCCAGAAAATCTTGCGAGACGTCAAATATGTTCTCACACTCTATAAAATGGCCAGTAAATTGAGTGTCAACTTATAGTCAAGTCATTTTGAATAATAAAATGTTATTATTAGGTCATAGGCATCGCAAACATATGAAATCATATGTTCACCAATAGAAGGTGCTGGGCTGTAAGCTGAGTGCACTATATATTTTTCATCCTTGTGAACTATGGGCGTCTGTGAAAATGCAAATCTGTTTCGAACCTTATTGTTTTTTATGTGGCACTTAAGCGAATTTCGCATAACAGTTCAGGTTGTGTATATTCTGGTTCTATGGGACGGGATTTTTCTCACTGACTTTATGACTAGACTTTGAATCGTCCCATTGCCTCTTAAAATTGGCACATCACCTACTTAAGCTTCACCTCTACCACGTAAATCGCATCGCCTGTAGTTTCACTCCATTTCGCATCATTCGCGTATTGTTCTTTTGTACCGGCTATTAACATTTCTCCAGACTTTAATATGGATGTTCGGTTGCAGGTACTGAATTCGAAATCGGTATTCGGTATGAATGATTCTTCGATCTTGGCAACCTACCTGATTCAATATATCGGTTGCATTCCAATTACCATCTCAATAAAGTCACTCAACTTTCAGGAGCGAACTCAAATAACCAGGTCAGTATAGTTTATGACAATAAATATGGCTCTTGTTACACTTTTTTCGCATTTTCTGTATTTTACTAAGGGTCAACCTCCTGTTCCCTATACTTCAGAGAATGCATCATTCGAGTTTGTGAGGATGTTGGCTTGAGAGTCCCACCACCCAAACCGCCTTCAGTGGATGGCATCTCCAAATTTATCGGCAAAGGTACTGACCTGACCTGGACTCGTCAAAGTGTGCGGCTCTCTATCTCTGTTGAAGGTGTCACTGTCCAAGATTTCCATTCTGATCAGGTAATTGTTCTTTTTCTCTTCTGCTAATGCATTTTTTTACACTCACACTACCATCCTCTGTTCTTTGTCGACTTTGCGTTTAACTGCTCCTCAAAGTTTGCCAATTGAATCGATAAGCTTAGAGTGTTTTTTGGATAGTTGGAAGTACCTGACCTTTTTAACTGTCTGTTCTAACAGATTAACACTTTTTTCTAGTTGGTATGGTGAAGCATTGTGATGAATTATTTATCATTACTTTCTTAGGACGAATGTTTCTGATGAAAGCACTGTAAATTTGGTTTGAATTATAAATTTGGGAGCTTATCTTTAGCTTTACTCGAAGTGATATTTATAGCTTTTGCGGTGATCACATCAACCGTGCTGACACTTTTGATTTGGTTAACGTTACTTATCCCTTCATTTTAAATGATTCAGCATTTAACAAAGCATTCTTTACTAGATGTGTCTGAATTGTTTACAGTAACAAACACATGCTACTGGCGACTGCGGTTCATTTGCGCTATGAGTGTGTCTCTAATGTTCATGTCAAGAGAGGCACTACCGATATCGCAGTAGCAAGCAAAACATTTAAACGAATCCCAGGTTGTTTCGCTTATGAAACATTGTTGATGCTTGTGAGGCAAGATAGGGGATATGTTGGCTCCTTGTTTGCATATCCTGAAACATCAATGCAAAGTCGAACGTGTAAGGCCAAAACATTTTTGAGCTGTTCAAAATAATTGAGGGCTTGTCAGAAGTGAGTTGTTATTCAGCATCATCAAAATTAGTAGATATCGAATATTTTGAAACCTTCTCTTAAAAATCCAGCTGAAAAATTAGTACATGAGCAGTCAAAGTCTTACTTCTTACAGAATTCAAAGAATGAATGTTTGACCTAGCCTTGGGGATGAAGGAAACTTTGCTAATAATGATCAATGTGCCAATACCCATTGAACTGTCGACTGTCGGTAGGACATGGCGTTTACTCAAAAAATAACTTGGAACCAGGTTTTATGTTACCAATTGGTGACGCCCATTATCTTTATTTTGGCCTTTTCTACGTGGGGAAGTGGACAAGTGAACAAGCCCATAATTCGGCTTGTCATCATCACTGAGGAATAGCAGTAAAGGCTTGAAACTGTAGCGTTCCAACACTTTCCACAAAGTGGCAGAAGCCACTAAGTTGGCCTGAATACTCGTGCTCTAGGTATTGAAGCAAGAATTGCGCCTTATCCTGGGTGGTCACATAAGCAATCTATTACGGTAACACCTTATTTGATTTCTGAATAATTTAATTGTTCTGAAATCGATTATTTTGGTGCAACGTTTGTAGTGAGGAGTTTTGGTAAGGAAATCATAACCGTCCTAGTTTGCATGACTTTCTTCTGCTTCTGCCCAAATATCCGACTTTAACTTGCACCACTCCGATGCATCTAGCCTCAAATTTCATAGAAGAAAGTTATCAACTCTTCAGAGGAAAACAACTTTAGGGGTTTTTTTGTTGAAGTCAAGGATTCGTGAGGTACTGCATTATTGTTGTTAATGGAGCAGAAAATTATCTTCAGAGGCACCATCGAAGTAGGCATAGTTTTTCTTTAAGTTTCACAGTCAGGCTTCGATATGGGTAAAAACGCAAAGCTTGACGTGGTTAATCAAGTAATCAAAAGTTCTGACGCTGCTCCATCAAACTCACATGGAAGGAAACTCAAAGTTATTTAAGTCCGAGCTTCCATTAGCGTAGCCTGGAATTCCGATAACGCCAAGATCGGGTGCATCTCTTGAGTTTGCTATCATTTTAACAGACCGATTTTCTAAGTACTTCTTAACCTCGTTGAAGCTACTAACACCCGTGACTGTAATTACTCAAAGCAGTTAAAACAATGCTTGCTTAAGTGACTTCATATCCACCTGTTTTTTTATTCGGATACCATAGCGCCCTTCATATTCGTTGAGATAATTCACTCATCACAAATCCTCATTGTGCTGCTTTACCAAATATTATTAATGCATCATCGAGTTTTCCCTGTATTATTTGTGATGCCTGTTAAAACGTACGATAATTTTGCACCAGAACCTTCGCTCTGATCCATTCACCAACAACCACAAGTCGTTTTCTGCCCTTTCATCTGTCTATTTTTGTTGTGTATTCGCTAGCAATGTTTATGGGACATTGCAAACGTAAAAGAACACGCCAATGTTCATCGAATTCACGAGAGACTGTTGTTTTGCTATGAAAAGACGAGTTTACATTCAAAGTTTGTCTCTACTCCTCGGAAACTTTGCAAATCTCCGGAGTGATTATTGTTGCCAAAATGGACAGGAGTTGTGGCGCTTGGTTTGCACAAAAGTGGGAAGGCCTTTGCAACGAATTTTCGGCTGTTTTATTTTGCAACTTGGCAAAGTAGGCACCTGGTTTCTTGTAGTAAGCTGTACTTGAGCTTTCGTTGACTAATTGAGGAATGTACAGATCGTACAGATCTAGGCAGCATTTTTCAGGAGGATCAGAAGACTGTTTGCAGAAAACTTTGTACTACTTTCATTGAGTAGATCTACAGGAAACTTAAACTGCCCGTGTAAGGCTATGGCACACAAATTGCACGTCAGTACTTAAGGTATGGCAGGCATCGCAGGCAGTTGCTTTGGGTATTAGGCATTGAAACCGAACAGAACCATTTTGCAATACCATATACACAACGGAAATTAATGCCACGCCTTGTGTTTCATTAAAACTGGAGAGTGAGAGCGTTGGTATAACGACTAATAGTCGAAATACTGAAACGAATTGGTGGATTAATAGTAATGGAAGCTTTCTCCTCACAAATGTTGCAAAGCTGGGGAGGTTTAGTTGACAGAATTTGTCTTAATAAAACGAGTTTAACGTTGATTTGTGGGTTGGGTAGGTGCTCTTTCATCATCGCCTCGGTGCTATCTCCTTCGCCTCCTCGGGTGAGGCGGATATGATGGACTTTGTGAGCTACGTCGCGAAGGTGGAGGATGCAACAGAAGGTGGAAAGGAAGGGGTGGCTAATGGTGAAATGACTGGCGGTGGCGGAATTCGGCGTTGCTATGTCTTTTACTGTAGTGGCGGCTGCTCCCGCGACTTCATTTCCAGCATTGGCGAGGCGTTCAAACTTGGCTATAAGGTGAGTGTCAACTTACTCTTCTTATTAAAAAGCGTTTACATAATTTTTATCTGTTTCTTTCCAAAATGTTTTTTTCTGAGCCTGTATGAAAAGCTCTCGTTAGTGGGACCGACAATCACTGCCCACTACTGCCACGAAACCATTAAAGTGCTATTTTAGTGTTCTAATTTATTCACTTTTGGCACAAAATGACAAAATGAAGTTCTTTTCTATCCTTTCTCCATTTCATTCTCGACCTGAAAGCGGCACCTTTGATAAACTTAGCTCCATTAATCAACTGAGTTTGATAAAAGTAACAATAAACCAAAATGCCTGCTTTATATTAGCTCACACATTGGTGGTGATTGATTTGAATTTGCAGTTTCAACCCATTCTTTTGTGTCGGTGACAGCTTTAGCCGTCGGGCGTCTCAATAAGGTATGTGTAGTTTACCGCTTATCTCTGTTTTTTCTCTCTGACCATCGCTTCCGTTCTGGTTGCGTTTTCCACAGTCCTCTTATGGATGATTTTTTTAAACGTTAGGGACTGTATTACCTGCTTCACCTTTTTGAGGTGAAGTATTTTTTCAAATGTGCGAAACGCCGTAATCGAGCAAAGTGGGAGGTCTTAATTTGTTTACTCTCTCACAAAGTTCAATTTGGTAGGCCAATTTTACACAAATTTGAACTTGTTTTCAAAAAAAAACAGGATCTAGACTAGCTTCCTACGTCAAGTGACTTTGCAGCCGTTTTACAAGGAATTGTCGTGAATGTCTTTGGACATGCTGAACAGTTCAAAAGTCGGCCATCGGAAGCATCATATCTTTGTGATAGTTGCCACTGGTATGGCGTATAACGTTGCCGAACTTTTACTCATTGGCCATTCTACAAAAGTACTACCTCAAAAGCAAACAGAACCGATGGATTATAACTGCATGGCAAGGTGTTGATGAAGGTCGTTATGATAGGTAAACAGTTTCAAGGGCAGTAACTTACGCTCGTCCAATTGAGGCTCACTGGTGCCTACATTTGTTGTCGCACCTCTGCCAGGGTTGAGAAGGCGGAGGACATTTAACAGGCTCGTTTTACTCAATCTTTTTAGATGTACTACCACGCGATTTATCTTACGGTGTCTCTTCAAACACTATTCCTAGACGCAATTAGTTCGCATCAACATTTCTTGGGCTCTTGATTTGGGATGCGGATACGTGGCGAACTTTACAATTTGACAAAGTTCTTGCTGTTTTTTCAGCATTAAAGATGGGCTAAAAGCGGCGGGCAATTCTCATCTCAGCTTTCTTCCTTTACTTCTGAGCAACTACATATAAATTTTTAAATTTATCATCATTTGTTCTTTAAAAGATCGAGAGGGCTTCACTTTTAGAGTTGTACCTCATTAAAGCACTATACAAAGCGGTGGAAGAGAGTTATGTTCCCTCTCCGCGTTGCTGGTTTCCATTCTACCCATCACTGACGACCCAATTGGTCTCCTTTTTGCAAGCACCCTTAACGGAATGGGCCAATTGCGCTTCCTTGCTCCTGGCACTCCTCTACTTCAGAAAAGTTACTCGCATTCGAATGCGAAGAGGTGCCTTGTGCTGCCCTGCTGACTTTCTTTCTGAGGGCTCCCTTTTTAAGATGTACCTCTTCACAGAAGACTATGGCTGCTAATAACACCACAGCGTCTAAAAGTGAAACTGTGATGATGAAGTGATTTGAGCAGGCTTGCGTGTTGACGCGGGCATCTGACCGGTGATTGCGATCATCTTCACAAAATTGTATAAGGTCATTAATTTTACTTCGGTTTTTATGAATGTTTATCCCTTTTTCTCCATCCATTCACACGTCCTGCGACAGTTATATAACTGTGAAACATCTAAATAATCGTTATTTTTCTCGATTATTTGTCGTTGTAAATGGCGAACATAGTAAGTAGTTTATTGCCGCCACGTAAGCCTTGCTTATGTGAGTTACCGACTTGCATATTGTAGCAGCCCGAAGTCTTCAGATTTCAGACATTTACGAATGTAACTTTAGAAGTGAAATTTGGTCACCACATGCAGTTTTTTTGGGAGTTATTAATAACTGGCTTCTATTTTTACACTGGCTGTTAAGGTTTCTCCTCCTATATTGTGCACTCTTTGGGACAAAATGGTGCAATGGATATTTACAGGTGGAATTCCTCGGGCAGGGTTAGGGGAATTCAATTCAGGTTAATTTTTATTCCCTCCCTAACGTGTATGACCAAATGACACTTGTCAAAAAAACTCGCTAATCTCCAGTCAGTTTTTTTGGATCTTTTAGGGCTTCAAACGGAGTCAGCGTTCTCAGGATCCCCACCCATTGCCTCCAAGGCCCGTTATAGATGATTTGGATCCTCCTCTTCCCGAGGCACCGGTAATTTTGGCATCTACAGAAGTGCTGTTCTTTTTTTCCATTACGATACCATTTTTTATCCTCCTTCCTTTTAGGCACCTCCCGCACCCTCTGATCCTTGGTTCGCTCCCCAAGGTACAGCTGGCACCCTAGGTGGTCAGGCTTTTGAAGACCAGTTCGATGACTCTGCCTGTGAGTTTAATAACTATTTTCAATTATTTTCAAAAGATCTAAAATAATAACTGCCTATTTGAATAATCATCAAAAATTTAAGCGTCTACTCTGTGCTCATGTATGTTTCGGACTTCTTATCTTATTTCTATAGCTCGATTAAGGTCTCATTTGTTGCTATTATACTTTGATTTTCCGTTAATCACCGCAAAGCTTTTCACTTCTCTTACCATCAAATTAGTGGAAGATGAGGGCTGTTGTTTACAGGAGGCATTGTCAAACTGTCTTCGATTTTCACACATTCATGCATCGCAATGCCTTGCGCACCGAAATGTGTAGATCCAACGGTGCGAGTAAATAGTGCTATCATAGTCGCAGTGGCCCATGTTCCGGTAGTTGAGTTTTAAAACTATGAAATAGTGCTAGTTTTTTTTAATTGCATACTTGTACTTTTAAGTCCGACCAGCAGTCGAGGTGATCAAAAGCATCACTGTCATTTGGCGTTCCACCAAAAGAGATTCTGCACTCTGTGTTGGTCACCTTTTCCCTATAGTCAGTGCGTTTAGTGATCATTGGCACCAAAGTATACAAAAAATATGAAGCACCGTTAACGTTTTGAGCCAAGAAAACATTGTTATTCGTCGGACTTTGGGAACTTTTTAGTCGTCTTTCCACACTGAAATGTTATCCGCACTTTAAACCTGAACAAGAAGTCAACTATTTTGTTTTTTGCCTTTTACTAGTCATGCGCGTCTGGTCACGAAATTCTACTTATAACGGTGATTAAAGGCATTGTTGCTTCTACGTGTTCTTAATCTTGAATTAAAAGCTGTATCCGCCTTAATTTCGCATAATTTATAAATTCCTTTTGAGCTTTTTTGAAATGAGATAACGAATCGGCAGTTCTAGCTCAGGGTTCTGAGAGTTCGGGCTGTCATCTTTTGATAATTCTAAAAGCTTGATGGTGACTCTCGCTTAGCTGTGCTTTTTCAATAGATTCCATCAGTTTCGACATTTAGAAATTACCAAATGTCTAATTTCCAACGCTTCAACGAAACAAACGGCCAGCCGTATTGCTGTGCTTATTTGAGCCTCAGCAACACGTGGGACTTGATGAGTCCCCCTTGTAATTCGCAGTATTGACAAAACTTTATGAATTAGACAGGAATCGCTTCATTACCTTTGGTATGTTGGGAAGTCGATGAATCGAAAGTGCCTTAACAGTCCTTCCCATCTAGTATCTCCTTATCATCAGATTTCCGCCTTTCGTGAAGTTCATCACCTCCCAACCCCATCTGAACCGATTGGCTTATTACCTTGTAGTATATCAACGTTCTGTTTTACCCCGATAAATTACCACCCCAAAAATTTGCTACAAATTGTTTACCCATTGGAAGAAACCCTCTCATCTGACCGCTTCGGATATATCTTTATCTTGTGGTTGTGTGTATGGTGTTGTCTCGATCCTTTTCAGTTCCGCGCTAATTTTTATCAGGTTCATCAATTACATGAGCAATTTGTGTCAGTATCAGTGAATGTATCACGTTCTTTTTCAGCACTTAATGGACTTGGCTATTTCCGTTTTTAAATGCGGAACTCTGAGAGCTCCTAAAGTGACTTTGTATACATGCTTCTATTCCATTCATACTTCATTCACCACATATTTGCTTTTGTATTTAGCTCAGATACCTTTTGTAGAAATCCACTTATTGCCAGCATGCAGCAAACTTACATCCAATTGTGAGTTTGTATGAGGAACCTCCTCCTGCTGTAACCCTTTGGTGGTCATCCAATATCAGTTTGCTAGATGCAAGTTCATGCATGAATTACTTTAAAAAGTAATTTATTATACATTAATTTATCCACATAAGCTCCCTAGAATACGTCAAGATCGCGTCTTGCGTTGGTAGGGCTTTTGCAGGAGCACCAAGCACCAGCGGCAAGTGGCGCGCAGGACCAATGGGTAGCCTTCGCACCAACCCAGGAGGAATCACCACAATCAGTGCAGGAGTCAACGAAGGTGGGAGATGGACAATGGTCGTCTCTGGAACCAGTGGGTGAGCCCTGGTACGTGGGTCGGGTGACGCGGCAGAAAGCGGAGTCGCTGCTGCAGTACGACGGTGACTTCCTCGTGCGTGCCTCCACGCAACAACCCAACCAATTTGTTCTCAGTGGCATGCAGAATGGCAAGAAACGCCATCTCCTTCTCGTTAATCCTGATGGTCAGGTTTGTGCTCTCACCTCTCACTTTCCTTCGTCTTTTTTACTTATTCGGCTGAGTAACCAATATACGAAATCAAAAATGGCAATTCGCCGAGGCTGCCACGCGTTGCAACTAAGCAATTTTCAACACTACCCTTCCTTCTTGTCCTGTCTTCCGATTGTCGGTCAACAAAATTAGCATGAGTCACGAACTAGCCGCTGTAAACATTGGCTGCACACGATGAAACTCCATTTTTTGGTCATTTTACACTAACGTTTGAGACAAACGAGTTAGTGATTCCAGTGGAATTACGTTTTTTGGTCCCCTTAAATAATTGCCTGTATGTGGAAACTCCTGTTTTCTCCTCGTGAAGGTGCGAACAAAGGACCGGATCTTCAGTAGTATTCAGGAGCTCATTGACTTCCACCTACGCAGCACCACTCCCATTCGGTCGGCGGACAGCGAGCTTAAGCTGGTCTTTCCTGTTTCGCCAAATTGTCTGGATCAGTAGGGATCCATCTCTTGATTTGACCCCCTCTTCTCCATCCGCCCCTTACCTCACCTGCGGTACCGAATCCTGTGTCTTTGCGTGCTACGCTTCCGTCTCTTAACTTTGCTTATTATTATTTTTTTTGAATCACTTAAACATCTGCAAACACTTTCTCATCGATGGATTTTACTTCGTCACCATCATCGCAAGGAACAATGATAGCTGACAATGTAAAGTTTTTTTCGGTAGCGCTTATAGACGTCGAACACGAATAAGTTCATCACTTTGACTTGCCTTCCGGTGTACAACTTTCCAGTTGCTCTTTGTTTCTCAAAACAGTGCCCCTAGTTAGAACAATCAAGCATCCACTAGACGATGAGCTTGAGCCATTTGTTGACTGGGGACCCTGCTGCGCTGCAGTCATGTTGATGAAAAAGTAGGCAAAGCCGTTTGTGCTTTTAAGCTTGTCGAATACATTTTCGACAAAGTCGGGTGCTGAGATTACTGAGAGTGGATATCAAACAGTTTCGGTGTAGGCCTGCGATGTTGCGTACGCGACGTTGGTAGTAGAGAGCTAGGGCATCATTGGGCACCGTACAGTGTAGTCAAAGCGGGTTGCGAACCCTTCAATTAGGAACTTCGTGGATATGTCGCTCCCTTGTTTCGATTGGGCTAATCTTTTTCAATTTCACCACTTCGTTTAATTACACACACGAGATTCTAGGTCTTTGATATTTAGATCGAAGCTCTAAACGCCGATACTTTGCCTAATCGATGGTGAACGACAAGCTCCTTGAAAAAAACACTTGATTTTGCGTCCCAACGGAATTGGACTTCTAGAGTCCCCTGATGGATAGCACCTAACACAATCCTAGTTGCAGAAAATATAATCTACTTGCGCTTCCGGCACTGTCACCGGACGCTGGCCTATATGAAGCCGTCCAAGTAGTGCTAGAGGGGTCAGGCAAATCAAGGTGAAGAAGTGAGGTCAAATCCGCTGGAACGCTAGATCCTCCAAGTTCTAGGATTTGATCAAATTCATGTGACGACTGAAAGTCCGGAGAATCAAGTGTAACTTGACTCTAACACCGGTAAACGAGTAGTTGTCATGCCAACACTACGTTAGCGAAGAGGTTTGCTTGAATTTAACTGTGACCCGTTAGGGATATTCATTTGAACGCAGTCACAATGAACAAGAGAGTTATGATGCAGCAAGCAGATTATAGATAACTGTTGGGATTTTGCTGTATTTCCAATCAGACTGCTTCCGAATTGGGTAAAAAGTAGGGGTGATGACATGTTTAGAGGCAAAGCTCAAGATGCCTCCGGATCAAAAATAGCCATAGCACCAGTTCTTTCTGTTGCCTTTATTTTTCGACAAAAATAAAATGTATCCAAAAATTTCTCTGCGTCGATACAAGCAAGATTTTCTACACTTTTGATCCACGAATGTGGGAATGAAAAGCGACTTTTACTCTGTCGATGTTACGTGTGTTTCGTCCTGCTTCGTCGTGATACGGAAACGCTGGAAGAAGCAGCACAACTGTTTGCAGTCCCCTTCTTGGTTCTGCAAAGACATGAATTTGGCATTAAAATGGTTGCATAAATCATGCGATCGTGTAGCAAGGTAGAAAAAGCCTTACCCCTTGGATAAGCCGTGAAGGTGAATGGAAAAGACGATCTAAAAAAGAAGGCTTAAAAAAATGAGCAGTATTACATACCCATGTTCATCGCTTCCAATTTTTAAATGGCAAACGAAACCAGCTTCAAAAAAATTAACATTTCCATGCAAAAGAAGAGCACCGGGGATCCGATATGTCGGTTTGAAAGGCAGATTTCATAGTCAAAAATGCTGAATAATGCGGCTCAAGGGAACCAATCCCTGGCATCTCAATCACTAAGGCATGCACTCAAAGCATTGCCCAAGAAACACGTACTAGAAAACTAATGGTACGAACGAGAAGTTTGTTTTTGCAAACCATCGAGACAAAGGATAACATCATAAAACAACAATGGCTGTCAAACGTGATTATAAACGAAACACGGCTAGAGTCAAAGGATTACAAAACGTAAGCTGCCTTGAAGTCAATGTTAGCCTGATATAACGGAGAAATCTGAGTAAATGCAATTTTTAAACTTCACTCAACCGTGTTTTAAGCAGGAAATTTATCCCTAGTGTATCTCAAAGTGTGATTTTAAGAGACCCAATGTGTGCCTTTTAATGGCTAATTGGCACTTTGGTGATTTATTTATGGACGAAAGGAGTTTTGCCATGCTTGGAACGATATCGCTTCTCAAAACCATTCAGAAGAGCTATTTCAAGTACAATTCCTCAAAAAAGGGTTGCAAAGCTATACAAATGGACAACTTGCCACATCGGTGGACCCTTTTATATTGCCATCTTTCATGGTGGGTCTGTGTCACTAACTATCCTTATCGAAGGAACGGAAAAATGATGCGTTCCTAGAACTGCAGTAGGCCAAGATATCAACACTTTCCATTTTCACCATTTCACAACGATGGTTTTTAAAACTAAAGTAACTCAGTAGATAAAGGATGAAGCAATTTGGCACTCGAAATAAGAGTGCATCTATTAACTGTGGAACTTTAAATTCAAGAACTCCTATGACGAAAAGAATGCAAAGACTTTTCCACAGATAAAGAAAATTACCCACCTGTACCCTCAAAACTGAAAATAGCCAGAAGTGACAAAAAGAAGTAAAACATGTCAGTTTACCACTTGCGCCCAGCCGGCAAAGGGCTGCCAAAGATGGGAGAGACATTGAGAAATATAACGATATGCAGTAGAGGAGATAGAAGAGGAGCAGGGGCTAGGAGGTCGAACACCCCGAAGCGCTGCCGCCCGCAATATGTGTACATCCACAGGAACCACTTCCATCTTGTCCAGAGAGGAGAGACAGATGCAATCCGCCACCTAAGGAGGGAGGGACGAGAGTGCAGAGGCATCAAGTGATAATAGCTGCACAAGGCCGTGTCCCAATTTGTTGTGTGAGTCTAATGTCGGTATCTAGAAGAGAGGTATTTTGACGTCCTAATGTAAAATGAGTTTCTGTAGGCATTTTCTCCATTTCTCATAAATGATACAAACCAACTCTATCTCGTTAGAGTGCCCAAAGTAGGATTTTCGACCATTTCAAAAGGTAAAGCACACAAAAACCTTTCAATGGTATCGCACATTAGGTGATATGTAGGAATTGCGCATAAACAAGTGACAAATAACAGTGGGCGAAAACCCCATCAAATGCTACCATGTTCATAGAGAACTCGACGCTCGGTCTGCTTTGTCAGCATCCGTGTCAAAAGTCTAGTTGCATTTAGAAACATTAGTAACTTTAAATGTTGGATTTTGCTAGAGACAAAAAATGCCATGCACAAATTTTCTGAAATGGTTTGAGTAACTTTAATTAGTGGAGATGAATGACAATTGAAGGGAAAAAGGTCAAACGAAATGATACCTTGTTTCCAATACCCGGAAGGGCAAGAAGAAAGGTCTTGCATTCCTTGTACGAGGAAACACGAAGGTTTGCGAGAAATGGATCACCGCCAGCTTCTATCAATTTTCGAGCAACTGCGCTGAAAACAAGGAAAGGAAGAAGGTCAAAAACATTCTCCAACCACGAAGGGAGTAAAGAATTGGGCATACGGAATGAATTTTGCCCGATATCCGAAACCCATTTTATGAAGATCTGCTTCAACCGCAGGATGAGCAAGGGCTTCAAGAGTGGGGAAGGAATAGACGGATACTGTATCGTGCGCCCACACCTTCTTCCCATAACGGGCACACAGAGCAATGAGGAGTTTGCTTATGCGAGGAATATTATTGTTTGCGGATGTAATGAACGCAAAAATAGTTTCCCGCGGATCCTGGTTTAATAGGCGCAGACCCTTGAAACGATTTATGCATTGCACGCAAGGGGACGAGAAGAATTCACGAAGCAAATGATCCTTATCCAACCAGGCTGAGAGTAGATCGTCAAGACATACGTCAAGACGAAAGTAGGAGACCAGAGGTAGAGGAAGTTGACCTTGAGTTTGGAATTTTTCAAGCTCAGCGACGGTGACACAACTGCTATGAAAGGCAACTGGAGTGTCTGCAGAGGCTTGACTCAGCCGCCAAACACGATCCTCGATTAAGCCGACAAACTCCATAGATTCGGATACCTTGATCCACCTATCAGGAGAGTCAAATCAAAACAAAACAGAAGAAACGCCCATTACCTTACTCAACCGAAAACGGTGATCGCAGACATTAAAATACAAAAAAATGCAATCAAGACAGAAGCGTAACAAGCATGACCCATAGAGGCAAACACCGGATGCTACGTGAAAAATATAAAAGTACACACTCATATACTCATGGTGTACTCAGTTAAATTTGCTAAAATGTTGGCTTTACACGAGACATCGACTAATCTGTGCAGATCGAGTGAATTTTGCAGTTGTGGAAATCATAAGACTGAGGAAAGCAATGATTCTACTCTGTCCCCTACAACAATTCAAATAGTAGGAATTAAAGCAGCCACAAAATTACTATGCAAAAAGCAAAAAAAATACAACTTTCGCACAGAACCTAAACGCCTGTCCACTGTTGAGCGTTGCATTGAGATTAAACGCGTCCGGAGGAACGTTGGTAGATATCCATTCTGATACAATGATTGGAAATGCAAAACTTAACCGAAGGCATGAGATCCGGAGGAAGTAATGAGACAATGACGTAATGCATGGCCATCATTTACATGCATACAAAAATGGAGGTTTGGAGAGATGAAGAGAAAGCATGAATAACTAGCAAAGTCACCCTCACCACCGCAGTTGACATAAAGCCGCAGCGGACAATGTTCCATTTTGCGTAAGCGGCTGTGCGGATGATCATTAAAAGAGTCGCCTTTCTAAGTCGTACTCCAACACATACATGTTCGAAGCAGTTATGCACATTAGTTACTTAAACTGAAATGTGAACAGCCGTGAAAAAATTCACTGATCGAATAAGTTTGCATTCAAGCAACGAAAGTGGCAAATTACCTCTAGCTATTCTGATTTAAATGGTTTAAAAAGTCATAACTCAAAGGATATTCGCCAGTAGTTGCTCCTGCCAAACGTAACGTGCAAGCACCTAAAAACTAAAAAACCATGCGGAGTCAATTAAATTTAAAGGCATTTTATGTGTAGCTTTGTTGCAATAAAATTACAAGGGACATAGAGTTACTTAATGTTATGATTACATTCTTTGCGTTACATGACTCAAACGGCGATACTTAAAATGATTTATAAGTTTGGTCAAGGTCGCATGTATCGCAGTGGGACGTGGATGCACATTTGATCAGGGGTATAGAGTGCAATGTAAGTGTCTCTCATATTGTATTTGTCCGTGTGCTTGCTGTCTACGCGTTGGCTTTCGGACAAACAATTACGCATGGTGTGGTTAAATTATTTTTTTTATTATTCTTTGTTATTGGTCGGCTTGCTTCCATTGAACCGGCGGGCTTGTCCAATCACCCGCCTCCTTTGGGTTGCTCATCTGTTTTAGTGACACCACATTGTTGAACGCGCTTTGTTCCCTAGTGGCCTTAATACATAAGTGCTTGAAAATCGTTTAAAATTTGCTGTTGCATAACATTGCTCGCCGTTTGTGATTTTGAATGAGTCTTGCGGCAGGTATGTTTTTATTGTAGTCCACTTGAAAGTAGCACTTCGGTCCTGTGTAATTTACGATTAAAGTCGACGTTGCTTCCTGTTGCATTTCTGATGTAGTCATGCCATTTAAATATATGCATGTAATTGGTCTCTAGTCAGAGCATCATTGCTAGTGGCGTGGACGGCGTTATTAGTTGTTAGCCAGAAAGGTATACGGCTCGTTATCAAAGGGGTTAAGGGGAACCTCATTCATTCCTAATTGCTTAACTGGTCATAGCGACAATCATGTCTCTCATCGTTGTGTTTGTGAGCTGGGACTAGTCTTTTATTAGTAACTTTGAGGTTACCCTCAGTGATCAGATTGTCCAAAGTTTGTCAGGCCCTTATCGCTTTGCTGAGTCGACATTTTACTGACTCAAACTTTGTCACAAAGCATAAACTATTTAAACTTGGCTGTGAATTCGTCTGGTGTCGCTATCGTTGTGAATTCCATCGCCCCTTGTCTCTGTTACTCGCTCGCTTGGTGTCATTGGTTTGGTAACTTTTTTACTCTTAATGTGGTTGGCTTTAATTTTTTAAACATTATTGCGAGTCATTTTGTACCATCATTGATTTGACTACTTTCCGTTCTCGGTTTTCATTAATTGTAAGTTGTTTTTAGTAAGTAAAGTATTTTGCAGTTTCCAAAGTGCTCTACACCCTTGCTTACCATTAAGTTCCACCTAGTCAGTGGATTTGGAAAAGCAAGTAGAATATTCTTTTGTTGTGGCTTCCACCAGCTTCAGTTGAGTGATATGATTTATGGTTGGATGAAATAAAGCTTATCTCCTATGAGGCTGGCAATAAATTGCTCTCCTCAACTTCCCATTCTCTACAAAATATGGGATGATTGATTGCTCCTTTTTATTTTGAAAAGTTGCATGAGCGAAAGTTATTTCCTAGGGTTGGAATGGTGTTTTCCAAGTGGTTGAGGTTCTTATGAAATTCTGTACTGTTTAACGCTTCCGATTTTTTTTCCATTTTTTGCGGGATTGGGATCGTCAGCCAGCCTTTTTGCTAGAATGCCTTAAAGTGCATGCGACATGGATTGCCCCTATTGTTTTCCACTGAGATCTCCTTTATTCAACAATTCTCTCGAAACCAGATGATAGGGTCTTTTTAATTTGAGCATCCTATCCTCAGCTGCCCTTGCCCATGTCATGGTTTGAGGAACAATGTATAAGCAAAAAGCGAGAAGGTCTTGTCCTCTCACTTACGATTTAGGTTTATGTCCTTTTTATAATTTTGAACAATTGTGTTGGGAGTCCCTCTGAACGATCACCTAACTTTTCCTCATGAAAATTGATATAAGTATAGAATCGTGGCACTATTTGACTTTTCTTTAGATCCTTAGGCCAGCTGCGACTTCGTCAAGGAAAATGCGAACCAGGGCGATCCATCAGAGTGCTTCGGTCTCACGACCTGCACAATTAGATAGCGAGAACGAGGAGGGGTGGACTTGCGCTCTGTCAAAAGTGAGTTACTTTCGGTTACGTCTGGTTTCCTTCTATGTTTAATGTCGCACTATGGCGCCAAGCAGATAAGGTGGTGCATTAAATCAATTTTTATTTCTCTACGTTACCGAACTTATCTTGCCAATTAAATCTTTCGTGTTTACCCGTTTGGTTGCTTAAAGGGCATGCGTCGGCGTCTCAAGGCGAAAGGTTATACTGCTCCTCTCTCTTTCACCCTTCCCGTACCCGCCAACCCAGGCAATCACGGGCGAAGGACGGTGTTCATGCTGCCAGACGACAGCCCTTCCGTTCTAAGTTCTAAGTTTGGCGCCATTTTGGCTTCCTTCCTCCGTCCCACTTCCCTTGTCGCCGTTGTACTAGCGCAGCTACGCCCACGCTTTAGCTGCTCTGCGGGCTTTGCGACTCTTCTGTGCCTGGGCCTTGGCAACCCTGCGGTCGACGCTGCTAGTCTCCGCCAACTCGCCTTCCTTTCAGCCCTCGTCCAGATGTCTGAGGGCATTTTCTCTCCCGGAAAGACGTTCGTCTATGACCCATTGCTCAAAACTACCTCAAGGAACTTTATTAGGGAGTTGGGCTTTTATGTGAGCTATCTTTTTTGAATTAAATCTAGTGATAAAGTCCTTTCAGCTATTTGTTGAGCAACAAATTTATCGGTTGTATTGTCAAGTGTACTCTTAAGCGTTGTCTTCTTTGGTCTATCTTGTGGCATTTGGTTTTTAAGTCTCCTTGTTTGGAAACTAGTCTCATATTTCACGATTAAGCTGGGGCAGAGGCAGGCGGACAGACTTCCAAGTGGGTAGCTCTGGAGTTGAACTAATGCCAAAATATTAGTTCGTTGGCTGTTTTTGCTGTACATTTCGAGTTACTTTTACCGATCTTTTTAGCTGTTGTTTGATTAGCAATTGTTTCTGACTTAGGAAGACAAACAAGCTAAGTCGATTGCTTTCTTGCGGCATTTCTCTACCTTTTTTGATCCACCATCACTCATATCGAAATATAGTTCATTAGGTCTGACTGCTGGGACTTTCACAAATTTGCTTTATCGATGGGCATTCGTCCCATTGAGATGTGGTGAAAAATGCAGGCGAAATCGGAGGTGTGTCTTGAGATATAGCATAATCCTCAAGTGGCTTTTTGCCTTGTTGCCTTTCTCACAAAGGCTCCCTCCAGTAGTGTTTATGTATGTACTGATTATTTTAAACCATTCACACTTTGAGAAATGCTTAGAAGCGGCATTTTGCTTACTCACATCCTGCCTATTTATGAGTCTGTCTGCCTGAAAATTGTCTCTACAAAGCTAAGGAAAAGGCAGAGGAGTAGAGTCGAATGGATGGGTTTAGTTTCGAAACTTATTGAAATGCTAATTCAACAGTAACGTGTACTGTAGAATATTTTTCCCCGGCAATTCTTCATTTTTCTTCTGCATTTTATGTGTTCAGATATTTTTTAAGGCCGAGCAATGTAATCTGGAGCCATCCAATCTACGGACGTGGTTCCATTTATGATGCATTTTGTGTTGCTTATGCTGTTAATAAAGGAGACCGCTTGATCTTGCGAATGGAATACTGCTCTTACCTGAAATCAGGACTGCCTTTTGTTTATAATTTCTCCGCGGACAACACATAATATGGTTTTATATGGTTGTTTTGCTTTCCGGAGTGACACGGCCAAGACTCATTATCCAAACTTGCAGGCACCCCTCTCTATCTAGTGTGCATTTTTATCAATCAGAGAGCTTAAATCCACGGCTGGAAGGTTTAGGCTCGTTTTCTACTTCTTTCGGGTACTCTCGAATAAGCTTCTCATCCCCCATTCGTTCTGCCGATGGTACTGGATCGCATTTAGCTAGTTCGTTCTTTGTGAACAAAAGTTACTCAGATTATTGTCTTCACTGATAGGCATTTTTGTGCACATCTAAGTCTGATTATTGTAAAAATGTTTGACTTTCGTTGTTAATTTTTTTAAACTACGCTAAAAATATTTTCTATAAATGGCTAGATAAAAGTAAATGGAATATAGGAGCCAATTCTGCAGGCGTCGATTCACTGCAGGAGCAGTTGGTTATTTTATTTGGCCTTTTCATCCTTTTCCTACAGATTTTGTCCTCAAATTTGGAGGGTCAATACCAGCTACCGAGGGGGCATCCAACTTTAGTCTTCCTTCCCCATTGCCCAATTGCTCTGGCTGAGGGCTTGGTTGCGTCCAACTGGCATCCTGACGTACTCAATCGCCTTACTTTTCTCTCGTGTCCTCTAAAGCCGCGCGCTGGCATCGCAGAAGTCCCTTGTATTGCGCACCTTCAGCCCTTCCGCTCTTACTCGCTCCTCAAAACAGAGGGAGAACGCGATTTCGAGGGTATCCGTATTGAATGGTTCCACATTCCTGCTGGCGTGGATCTCGGGGCCGCGAAAAACAACGAAAAGGTGGCTACCTCTTATAGCGATCTTCTCACCTTTGAAGCCATCCCGTCTTTCATCGATGGCGAGGATACGAAATCGACGGATGAGATCTCCTAAAAGTCCTCCACTGTACAAAGTGTTTAAACTTAAAAATAAACTCATTGGTTTGACTATTGCTTCTCTTCTACAATGTTTCGCATGGCGTTTAGCTGATTCGTATGTGTCTGTTAAAAATAGTCGTCGTTTTTGTTGCACTCATTACTTCCTCTTCCCCCTCTAATGTGGTATTTGCTTCGCACTGCCTCTCTCTCCTTCACTCTTCCCTTTTTATTCACAACCACGATACAACTATGCTCAGTCCTTCCTTTCTGTTTCTGATTCCTAATGCTGTTAAATATCGGTGGTTTTATGTCCCTTGGACAATCCACCGTCCATGTAGTAGAGCTTGGGATATTCGTTGCCAACGTCACGCATGTGTGAAGCTCTGATTTTCTTACATATAACCTCATTCAGGTGACGCATTTCACCCGTAAGAAATACATGAAGGTGAAAAGGGAAAACAAGGTAGGCGAAATCAGTGTCAGGCGCAAGACGAAGACAGACTCCCTATGTCGACTGTAGTAGGAGGTCTGTTTGTGAACTGAGTGTAAGTTGGAGGCGATCAGCACTGAGTCCGCACGACATCCTAGTCATGTCTGTCTCCAAACTAGTCCGGATGCTATGCATGCACTTGGATGGCAATGTCCCGGCATATGAAATCAGTTTTTCGCTGATCTATACGGAGCACGAGATGAAACTAGTGAGTAGAGTGATGGCTTTTATGATTCCTCCTTCTGGCAGGCTTTTGATGGGGCGCAATATGACTACATGAAGAATGAACGAGCGTCGCCAGGATGTTCGTCAGCCTTCGCGTTCGAATAGTAATCAGTCTGCATCCAGCAGCCCCACCTCTCTAGATACTGTGGTCTTTGCCGCTTCTGCTTCTCCTACTGCCACCGTCACTCCTACGGCTGACAGCGAACGACGAGCCCGTAGCCTCCCCTCTTCCACCTCCAACTCTAGTGCAAAGTCTGTATCTACTGCCTCTTCATCTTCCTCCCTCAATGGTTCTTCCACACGCTCTTCCTCCACCACTACCACTAACACCATCTCCTCTTACGACTCTTCCTCCTACTCCTCTACAGAGAATACCACCTCTTTCTCTTCTTCTTACTCCTCTTATTCATCTTCTACCTCCACATCACCGCGTGACCCTGCAGTCAAGTCGGCAGCGATGTCTTCCACGCAAGGCTCGTCCATCCGGGTAAAGCGGCCGAGGGAATTAAGGTCTGCCGAGGGTGCAGTGTCGGCTCCATCTAGCGAAGGGGAACCAGGGGGCAAAGAAGCGACAGTGGTAGCTGTTGCAAAAGATTTCCTACCATCTCCTCCGCCCGTCAAAGTGGAGCGGAGCGAAGGGAGTGGTGAGTGGTCGATGGATCCCTGCGACTGCCGCTGCTACTGTTCTTGGCAGTCGGTAGCTCCTGAGCCAGTGGTTCTCGTCGCTTGTGGATCCTTCAACCCTATCACCACTATGCATCTTCGTATGATGGGTAAGTAAACGGGGAGCGGTCTTTCTCCCAGAAATGTCCTCAGACCTCGAACTGCTTGATAATTGTCCTAGTTTGATATTGCAATAGATTGTCTGAGGCTATGTCCATTGTCGCATCCCCAATAGCGATTGGAGAGATGATAGTATTACATCCCAAATTAGAATTGTCTATATAAAATGCCTTTATGCCTGTTTCGAATTCCCGTCTACTTATGTAAGGCGAAAAGATTGCGCATTCCTCTTCTTCTATCTTCATTTTTTTTTTTTTGGAAGTTGTGCGTCCTAGCGACAAAGCTGTCATTGAAGTTGACAATTTAATCATAGTTGTTGTTAGCAAGTGATGCCTTTGTAAAATTTCCACAAGCATAGGTATGTGGGCTATCATGGTGAACATTAGTCTCCGTGCAAAGGCTCGTTCCAAATGTCAAGATAAATTATGTTAGTGGCGATAAAAGTGCATTGCAAAGGCCATTTTATTGCCTTCGGCTCCTTGCGAACGGGTTTACTCTTTGGTAGCAATTTGACAAAGAATCCTGGTGAACTTTCATTACCTACAACTTTTAACAGAGCGAGGGAGGATCGCTTAGGTTCGGCAAAGCCATATAGGTAAGGGCCTAAATGCCGTTGGCCTGTGCTTAGAAGGCATGTTAACCTTCTTTTGAGCTCATTCGCAAATAAGGCTGGCACATGTGTTTTGGTCTTTCATCTTCGATCCTGCAAAACAGATGATGTGCAGCCCATGAATTTTTCTCTGCGGCAAATGGTTGTTACCTTTGCAATTAAAATTTTCATTAAAAGTTGAATTATTGTAGGAGTTAAATGCCTTGTCAATCCATTCCCAAATTGCCAATAATGACCTTTATAATCCTTGATTAAACCTTAGTTTATGTTTATGCACCTTTTTTGGTAGAAATGCCAGCAAACAGATAAATGTTTGTGGAAATGTAGAGCATGTTTGTTGCGATGGGTGAACAGCACTAGAAAACTCGTTTTTGAGAGAGATATTGGCTGCTGTTTGCGAGAAATCGTGTCGGTGAGGAGGAAGCTGAAGTGCAACTGTCAATCACTACCTGTCAGGGCATTAATGACGCGGTGTGGCATCTCCGTTATGCCTTCTCGTGGCACTTTGGCCCGGCTCGCATTCCCCATTTCTCGAGGTGATCCATCACATGCCATCATTCATTGCATGACTTCTCGCAAACGGTGGACATGATTGGGGAAGCTGTCCGAATTACTAATCCCTCCCATCCCTTTTTATCAACTAATGACTCGAGAATAGCTCTTACATGTACTAATTGTTTACATCACAATTGCGACGTTTGACACACCGACAGTTGGGGCCGCGGAGATCACAAACACACCTTTGCGACTTGTGAGCTGCTATGGTAGTCAGCGGGAGATTTGTCGTGAAAACCGTCCAAAACAACCGCTGTCACCTAGTACAGTTGGATAGCACTTACAAACGACAACTTTTATTTCTCCGACTCGGAACTGTAGGACGTATGGTATGCGAACGAATCTTAACGGGAGAACAAGAGCGACAGAAATTCTTAGTATTCTGACCATGTTCACAATCCTCGTATAGGTTCCAAATGTCGTCACTCACAAGGAATTCGTGCCAGGATAATTGGGAAACCGCTCCTATATCTTCCAGGTTGCTCTAGTTTGAAGTTGAAAGTCACCTTCTTTACCTTAATTAATAAAACCACTTTAGTTAATATATATTCCTAGACTTGGCTTGCCTTTGTTAGGCTTGAACCGCTTAATCAACTTAACTTTTTTGCATGACATCTGATCGCCACATGTCTTTATCATTCTTTCAAGGAGGTGACAGATACTTTGCAGTCTGAAAACACTCGTCAGGTTTACGTTGTGATCTGACTTCAATTTTCATCTCGAGGCTGAGAAGGCGATAGCTATGGTAAACACTGCATCGTTTTGATTTCGTCTCAAAGTAGTTGGGCGCACTTTGCTTTCCTTATTTTCTAAAATTTCGTCTATAAGGCAAGTCAGAGGATTACCGATGTATGGCTTGGTGATGGGGCTTTAATTTACGTTTGACCGAAACATTCTGTTGACTGAGCATAAAAGTTGCATCCAATTTAAAGTAGGAACATCAGGTGCTTTATAAGCAAACCAATCGCCCTACTCCTGATTCAGTCTTAATTCCCTTTTGACCACCGGCGGGAGTCAGGCAACGTGTGAGTGAATTTTTGGCACTTTTGGGGCATTTTGAGCCCTTGGAATTGCGTGCTGTGGGACCGTTAGCAGGCCTTGAGAACGTGCACGAATTTGCCTCACGGATGAAGCCACACTGAGCAGTGTCTATCACTGCAATCAATTGGTGCGGCAAAGGAGCGACTGATTGCTTTGTTTAAAACGTTGAGAGTAAAATTTATTCACCATTTCCAGAAAATGCAATTGCTTCGCTTCATTTTAAACCTCCAGGCGGTGCTGACATCTCGTCTTCTCAAGGTTCTATTTGAAATCTTCAAAGAGTGTAATAATGAGTCAAGCTGGTGAGTCCACATTTCAGTAGAACGCGAAGTGTTAAATAAACGCATGGCTTTTGTCCGCTTTCATATCGAGCCAAGTCAAACTCGTTGACTTTTTACTTGATCCATTCATGCTAAAGGGATCTCACTCAAGCTTGGTCTTTTGAGCTTCGCATCCATTTGTAAGGGAGGATGTTCCTTTCATGAACCACAACGCAAATTCAGATTGTGTCAGCTTGTCTTGATCAACTACCGAACCTTTTGATTGTGTACGTGGATTTTGAGCTTCGGCTAGTCAACTTCATCTCTCTTCAAGATGTGGCGAGATATGGAGGTGGATCTTTGAATGCATTCATTAGACCACTTCGGTTTCCTTTCGTGGTTACTCATGAAACAATCAGTTTATTGGAAAGAAGGAAAAACTGTCAGCGAAGTTTTGTCCGTCCCCGTCGCTGTTCGTGCCTTTCTTCGCTTTTCTGGGCAATAGCTTGGAGCACTTTCTTCGACTGTCACAGTGTTGCACTCATTGTGAAACATGTTTGAATCGCCAAACTGTCAGAGGAAAATAACCTTTTCACTTCTCAGGTAACGGAATGTCTGCTCATTTCAGGTAAATTTTTTTTCGACAGATCAACAGTCATTTCGAGACCCATCGGTTTCTAAGGTTCATGAGCTGTCTTATCTGAATTGTGGCTGCATTTGCTAGTTTTAACTCATGGAAGCTAATTTACTTAAGGAATTTCCGAAACTTTTTTGTTTCGTTGGTTCTGCAGAAAATGCACGAAGAGACCTCACGGACAAGTTGTCATCTGATTGACTTCCCCTCTGCCACTAAAAGACCAAAGAAACAGTTGTTTAGTCGGTCACTTAAAGGAGAAACTTATTTTTTTACCACTGTCACTTCGACCTAAATCTTCTGATTCCGCCTTCTGTGTGGTGGCCAAACAGGTCTTTGAACTAAGCAAATCTAATAACGACCTTTAGATCCAAATTTTTGGACTTAGTTTCGTTCACTTGTGCCTTCAGTTCTAAAATCTGCGGAACTGGACTATCCAGATTGATTGCACCTTTATGGTGTGTACTCATTTGTGAGGCGCTGTTGGTTATTTTTGGTCATGTTTACATTCACGCTCTGACCCTGTATACCTAACGATTTACAACTAGACTACCGGCTGATGCTATCATTCCTACTTGCACAACTCTCTGTGACGAACAAATTGAGGAATCTTCGTAGAATGGTTTGGAACATGTCTTTGCTGAAGTACGAAAACGAGCTGATTGTTTGAAAGTCCATTATCTATATAGGCAAGTAGTTATATCCTGCTTATCGTCTTGGCTCCATTGCTGATGTTAATGCATGCTCTCTGACGTAAGTAAACTGTCACGAAGGTTGGTAGGAAAGGAAACTACTTCAATCATTTATCTAGGCAACAGGAGAGTTCTAGTCGATTCAGAGCATTTGACCAAACGTGTCACTTATTTTTTACAGAGTTGGCACGGGATGCCGTTGAAAAAACATGGTCATTTCAGCAGCAACAACAGCAGCAGCGCCAAAAACACAAACCACCCCAGACAGATAATGATGAGGGGCTGACAACAGAGAAGGGACCTTCATTATCCAGCCAGCACCTGCTCAATCCTCGACGCCAAGTCGTGGTTGTGGGCATCCTCTCTCCGGTATCCGACGCTTACGCAAAATCGGGTCTAGCTTCGGCTGCATCTCGCTGCCGCTTGGCTCGGTTAGCCTGTGCCACTACCTCTGATTGGCTGGCTGTGGACTCTTGGGAGGCTTCCCGTTGTCACTGGACGCCCACTCGACGCGTTCTCGAACGAATCCAGGAACGCATGCACCGAATTTCACAGGGTCTTGAGGACGTTGCCAGTGTTGAGTCTGTGGTGGCAGAGAGGACAGAAGCGGCGAATTCGGATCTGAATGATCTCGACGATCCGCGACTTGGAGAATTTTTGGGTAAATTTATTCTTCTAGAAAGTGTTCTTCCTTCTTTACGGACTTTAATTGAAATCTGAGGGAAGCATTGTTGATGAAACCTTGGTTGTTCCACTAAGCGTTTTTCGGCTTCAAGCTCCCCTTGCTTTATCTATTCAACAATGATGAATTTCATTATAGTTGACACTGAAATGCGTTATGTCCCTAGGGAGCAAGGCAGAGGACCAGATTTTCACTAGTATCACTAACTAATGTTCTAATTCTTTGGACAACCTCTTATTCACTATCATTCACTATCTTATAGGCATTTGCGTTCGAAAAACATTTTAAATTGATGAATAGAGGAGTAAATGGGGGTGTAGCCGACAAGATTGAAACCGTGTGAATGTTCGGAAGCATAGCACATTATCAAATGCACCTCAGGTTCGCAGGGAGAGGATGATGAGACGACGAAAATGGTGCATAAGGGCTCAGCGACAAATGCGTGGCTGGCGGAGCATCTGCGTGCCGTCCGTGACGCAGAGGCCGCAGAAGAAGCAGAGCCTGGCAATCGATGTTGCTGCGGTCGAAGACGTCCTTTCGCGTCCACCTCTACTAACCCTGTCCTACCTCCGGTCCGAGTCAAACTTGTTTGTGGCGCGGATCTCCTGGAGTCTTTTGCCACCCCCAATCTGTGGTCGGAGGAAGATGTTAGTCTATGCTTTCTTTTTCCTCCTTCGGGTTTGTTGATCATACCATCAGCCAGAGGCGCACTGGATTAAGAGCATTTAGCAAGCTGATCTTTCTCATTTTGACGGGTGTCAGTGTGAAAGTAGTACTGTAAAGAGGATTGCAATGACATGGAGATGGCTTCAGATCACCACTAAGGCGGATATTTCGTAGAAAATTGAGTCAGCATCTTCACTCAATCTTGCCTTTATAGCGAAAATTACTTATTCTTAGCTTTTGTCAACCACGACAGTCATTTTCAACAGTCAACTTTAGCCGCCCTGTTGGGCTCAAATTACTTTTTTAAACCCATTACACTAAGATAGCTCCTTGAAATAAGTCGTACTATCGCCTTCCAAAAGTGTTAGAAGATTCACTTCATTGATGTCGACACCTTAGAGCTCGTTTTTTGAAAGACTAGCATGACCTGCTCAATAGTATATTTTTCTCATCGTATTCTGGAGTTGTACAATTTGTCCCTATTAATAGGTGTTCCATTTTTTATTTAGCGTGTTTCCAAAGCGGGAACTACGCCTTTGTTACGACCCTCATATTGAGGTCGAAATGAACAATGTGTCGCAGTATAGTTGCAATTATGGCTGATCGGATAGTGTATTGCGTAAGCCTAGTAATAAACTACCCTTACTGCAGGAAATTTTCATCTTTTTCACCATGATCTTCTATTGTGGTGTCTAACATTGTTCCTCAGACGATGCATTGTGTAGTTTCTTTCATTCTTTTGTGTCCATTGGTTGTTCCCCTTTCAACTGCCTTCATTCACCGTGCCTCTGCGTACAAACTGCACCTCGTTCAATGAATCTGTACCTGTGTTCCTAAATGCATAATCGTTTTGGTCCTTTTTCCATCTATGCTGAGCTATTGAATCCGAAATTTCTCCGATCTGTCCACCAGACTTCATCGGCTATTTACTCATGAGCCCATGGAGAGAGCAGTGATCTGTTGCACATAACTCGCGCTTTTTTTTGCTATAACTTGCCATTCCCATTCTGCCGATACCCTTTTTACCTTTGTTTCCTCTTTTTGATGTGTTGTCTAACCAGGAGGAATGCTATATCAAAAGTTTGCTATTTTATTTGAGTTTGGCGCTTTTGAATCTAGTTAGACTAATTGTCGAGATTGTGCACAGCTCGAATGCCTCCGTCTCCGCCCAACAAGACGGATTTCTGAAATCTACTTACTGCTGTTAGTCTATATCATTGCCTTCATTTTCCATCATATCTAGCCGTGAATCGCTGTGTCCTGAAACGTTGGATACCTGCTTAACATCACTTTCTTTACAGGAGTCTAACTTCTGCTTTGTAACGTAAGATCTCACGTTTAACCTGTATCCTTTTAAGATCACCAATCCGGTAATGCATGGGGAAGGCTTGGAATTAGATTTTCAATTATTTTGACGCAGCCATGTCAAAACGGAGGTGGCGTGTAGGCGTGGGTTTAAATTCGAGCTGGAGAGGGCTTCCAAAGGGTGAGTCAGAGTTTGTACGAGTTCGAGTTACTCAGTCGCCTTAGTCATATGTCAAATTTTTAGTGCCCAAATGCACAGTCAAATTCACTCCCAGTGCGTCAGAAGGGAGTAAGGGTGCAATGTTCGAAACATTGGGAATTATTTGAAATAACGTTTTCTGCTATTTTAGGCGCATTTGTAGGCTGGTTGTTTTGATATCTCTTTTTCCTCGTGCGTGTCTTGATTGTTTCGATATCAAGTGGGTAGAATCTGAGCTTTCAACAGAGGTCTCGTAGTAGCATGAAGCACACCACTTATGCATGAAAGAGTGTCAGTTTTTTTTGGGTGATGCGATGATCGGCAATGTATTGATCCACTATTTCTCATCAGTTGGTCACGTCGAACTCCTTCTCAACACCTCGATCTCTGGTTTCTTTAGTCGGTGGCTGTACTGACCCTGTCATCAAGAATGGACTGTCTCCCTAAACGTGACGCATTTATCTTTGAATCACTCCTAATCAGACCACCATGTTAAAACCTGTTTGTGGCTGGCGTTTCATGTTTAATTGCCTTACCAAGATGCAGGATTAGGACTAAAGCAAACTCGATGCACAAAGCGCACAAGGTGAAGTCACATGAGGCTCATCCCATTAACATCAAATGCAAGATGGGTGGAGTGGCATAGTGCATTAATATCCTGTCGCAGCTTCAAACATACCTTTTAATGCAGACCTGTAGATCTTTGGATGCACTCTACGATTGCCCAAAAATTGCACATCCTCCCTTCGACGGGACACCGGAAACCGCACAAACTTTTTATAGCTTTAGCTATCACCCTAAGCGAATTCATTTGCGCTCTTCTCTAGGTTCCCTTGGCGCTGCTTTTGCCTTTTACAGGAGGGTGAAAAAATGGAGGTTTTTGTTGTTCTCTTGCTTTGCAAAAAAAAATTGATAAAAGGTCTGCATGGAGTGTGAAATTTTTGCTTTTAAACTCTGTTTTGGAATGGGCAACGTGGGTGTTAATCTGATTTTCCCCTGAAGCCTCATCTTTTCGCATTCCGTAGTGTTTTGGTTTGTTAGTGATTTAAAAACAGTGACTAAAGTTTTGATCAAAAGTATGGGTTTTTCTAATCAACTTGATCAACTTCTGAAGCTCTTCTCAGGACAATCACACGTCACTCCAGACTGAAATTAGTGGGATTTAGTTCAATCGTGCTCTACTTCATTCACTTTTGAGCTTTATTTCCAAATCACCGCAAATTAGGACTTTTTACCCCTGTATAAGTGCTCTTCTCCAGTTGGAAGCTAACGCTGCTTGTGTAGATTCACGAACGCGATGTGCTGATAACATTTCTTGTACTGATAAACAAAGCAGAATACGTCTTTTGTAGATTTGGGTAGTCGTTTTTTCCTGCAATCTCACTTTTATTCAATCTTGTTTTGAGCTACTGACATCTAGTGTATCCTTGATTTGAAATTCCAATCGTGTTGTCTTTCACTGAGTTGTTTTCTTCACAATGCTCTCTCAGATGACTGCATTGGTGCGCGATTACGGTATTGTCTGCATAAGTCGACCCGGTTCTAACGCCGCTCGCCTTCTCTACGAAATGGACCTTCTCTCTCGCTATGAGGTTAGTCCAATGGGACTCACTTCTGCATTCCCTCACACCCGCATTCTATTTATAGCGAGGACTTTTGTCGATGTAAGTAAAAGCCTCTCTCATTCCTCCCTCCTCGTGGCTAGAATAAATGTCTACTTTCATCAAGCTCCATTGGCTCACTGCTTCTTCAGCTGCAGCTGTTACTCTCGTATGACGTCCATGTAGATTATGCATCTAACTTCACGCATTTTCCCTTCGATTGGACTGTGCCTAATAGCTTGCATTCGAAGTGTCTCCTGAAGTGCAGGTTTGGTTACACATTATGGTTGGCGCACAGGCAGGGACGTGGGGTACCTCGAATAGGCGTCTACACCCTTGATTGAGATGCATTTACTCTATATTAGATCTGCTGGCTAGTAAAGTGCCTCTCAGTGGGGCTAATAAACTGAATTATCTCTTAATCTCGGTCTTATCGTTTGGATTATGCAAGCTGGGTTTCCCTCCATCCGAGTCTGTCGCAGTCCTCATAACCTTTCTGTTGCGCATAATGGAGACGAAAACATCGTTTCTAATGCGTCTATTTCATGAAACACGCATATGGAGATTTGAAATCAATCAAGTTATGGAGGTGCGGTGTCTTTGTAACGGGAAAAAAACTTCTATGTTTCTGCTTCGATTCATCCATATTTGTTATAGCCTTCCCCTTATCTTTCCTTCCTTGCTCTGCTTCATGTTGTGCTGGTTGAAAGTAAGCAGAGGTGAGCTGGAAGCGATTGGGAGGATTACGGTTTCCTCAATGTCCCTCGATTGATTGCGTATTCAAGTGTTAAAATTAACTTGTCCATGAGCTTGATCTCTTTCAAAGCACACACTTCAAGAGAACGAATGGGCGTTCGGTCTCGCTATCTAGCGACCGCCTTTTTACACCCACCAAAATGCTTCCTCTCAATTTTGTTTATGGAGCTTTTCGACAGAATGTGATTGTTTTTGCTGATACTTGGAATTTGAACATAATCCTTGATGTGGTACAGTAGTCATTCACTATTAACACTTCCAGAAATTCAAGACATCTCAACTTACTCCAAAACATTTTTGCCTCAATTGTTCACGCAATAGAGAAGGAAAAAAATCTGCGGTTATAGTTATGCTTTTTATGCTGTCCTCCTCTGATGTCAGGCAGGTGATAACATCTTTCTGACTTGCTGCTGCTAATTTTAGTTTTCTAAAGAGGTGGAGAATGTCCCCACTAAGTGACTGCTTCCTCCATATGATTTTATCAGGAATGAGTTATGGGAAGTTACGAAAATGCTCAATTTGATGGATCTTTAGCTTTAAGAAGGTTTTAGGCGTAGCTTAAAGCCTAATTGTCCTGGTCTCCTCCCAAAGGTGGGGGATTTTGATGGCGCAAAAATTTCTCCAAATGTGTCAGCTAGGTGTGGCCACATTTCTTGCATCTAGCAGCAATACACTTTGAGCATAATTTTCCGCTAGACTTTGCTGTATTTGGTATCTTGCTTTCCATGGCAAATACTCATCTACGTTTGACAGAAAGCAAATCCTCGGTTGTGTCATATTTGTTCATGGGGTCATTGTGGGACCAAATAGTTTGGAAGAGGCACGTGTGAGGCCGAGTGCCATCTTCGATGGAGTCAGAAATAGGTCAAATCATTGCCTTTTCCCATTAAATCTCTGCTTTGACCATCACGGGTTTCTCAGTGAATGTGATGAATTTGTTTCAGAACACAGATCCTCCTTTTTTTTATTCTCACTCGCTGTGGGGTTAGTCGCGAACAAAGTGGTATTGCTAAGTGTCATGAAGCATGAGGAAGTTCACTTTAGATACACTATTAAGTGGCTAACAGCACCCTTCATTGGATCTATCCCGTAAAGAAGTCGCCTTTAGTGGGAATATTTATTCGAACACATGGGAAAGGCTTTCATGTCCTTACTTAATGGCCATAAACTGCCGTTTTTACAACAAAACTCTAACCGATTAAAAATCCCTTTCGTTTTACTAGCGTTAACAAAAGTTTTGTCGACTTCAGCCAGTTTTTTTTACTACATTCAGCTACTTGGGGCATACACTTGCTTCGGCTAAATATCCCATCGTTCTTCGTTTATTGTGAGTTTGGTAACCCTCTTGTATATGTCCTTCACAGTTAATCTGTTTGGATTCAATGAAATACACGAATCTAAGGCTAACTTCCTTTGGAACGTACATAGTCGAGAAGCTAATGGCAAAAGTGGGTTGGATAGATTTGCATTCCGTTACCTCTGCAGCCACAACGAGATCCCTTTATACTATAGGTGAGTGGCTTCAAGCCATTCTAAAATTTGTTGTGTACAATGATTGTAAGGCTTAGCTGTTTCATTTTTTTTGCATTAGCAAAACGTGATCTTAGCGACTGAGTGGAGTCAGAATGGATTAAGCGCTACCGTGGTGCGAAGAGCCCTAGCACGTGGTCAGTCGGTGCGCTACCTTGTGCCCGACGCTGCACTGGAGGAGATCTACGCGCGCGGCCTCTATGGTGCCGCAAGACCTTCGCGAATGCGACCGAGGCCGCCGCCACGCCTCGTCATCCTCGTCCCACCTCCGCCTGTAACTCCACTTTCACCACCTCAGGTGAAGGAGGAAGAGGAGGATGTGGAGGCCTTGCGTCGTCGGCCCCAACATCCTTCCACTTGGTGAGTTGTGGCCTGATGTCTTTGCAAAATGAATAAAAATCATTGTTTATGTAATCCTTCTTTTCAGCCTTTTCTCTTAAAATACCAAGACTTTGGAAGTGGCGATGATGTTTCCGGAATTTAGAATTTATTAGCTTTCCTTCTAACAGTGTGGGAAAAAAACTATTCATGATTTTTTTTATTTGGCCAGGACTCGCGCACGCTCAGATTGTGAAAACGAGTTTTTTGCATAACGTGCTTCATTTCTTCGTGAAAAAAAAATGGTCAACACTATGCGAAGTCATGTCTGATTTAATGTTAAACCAAAATTTGGGGCGGGATGAAACAACAGTAGGCACTTTACCTGTACATTTTTAGCCTATTAAATGGATATGGTGAGTTTGCCGTTTGGCTCATTTCCTAGTGTAAAGCAGACTCGATCACATTACTTTGGAAAAGAGGTGATTAGTCCTCCTTCTGAACGCCGGAACCAGAAGCAAAGCACAGCTGATGCGTGAAGTATAAATTACTGTTTTTCAATGAGTAGCTGATCATTAACATGTTGGAAAGATAAAAAACGATCGGTGCTTTCTGATTCTATAATGCTTTTGTTCTTGAGCCTTGCACTTGTTATCGTCTGTCCAGTTTATATTATAGTCCTCCAAAGATGCAATCCATCATACAATGGATAGTGTTGGGTTGGTTTAATTGTATTACCCAGGCAGGACTGGGGAAGGATTTGTCGACTACACTGTAGCATGAACACTCGTAGTCTATTTTGGGCAGTGCTTTTGGCCGCCTCCCTTCTTCCTGCATCCTCCACCTTCTCTTCCCTTCCAGTGGGTGGCGGTTGTTTCGCGCGCCTTCACTTAGCCTAATTCGCTTAGCTGCTTTAGCAGCAAATCCAGCAAAACTCTTTTCAATGCTTATTCCAGCAAAATTTCCTTTACTTGTTGTGCGCATAAAAAGGATAACGGGTCAAAACGTTTAGTACCACCTTTATATGAGGATCGTTCCTGTGTGACGTTTTAGTTGATGTCGTTACTTTTTGTTGTTTTCGTTCAGCTTCTAGACGCCCATTTCTTGCTTTCAAATATGTCCTGTCACTGGTAGTATGATAGTAGGGTAGGTGTCTCCGACATCCTCTTCGGTATCTCTTATCCAGGAAGTTCCATACTTTCCAGATTTACTGAAAAGAAGAACATTTGAGTTGTGCGAAATTGACTCAACCAGACTTAGGTGTGCAGATGTTCCTTTCAGCCTGCGTCGTGGTTAGTGCATGTCAGTGCCTTAATTGGCCGAAGCGTAAAAGGATTGGTCCAAAGGTCAGAAATGGTCATTTTTATCTCTAAATATCACACTGGAAACAAATTTTAGTAATTTTTGGGGCGTTTCTCATCTTAAATCATCGGCTGCTTTTTTGGTGGGGGCTGCACGCTGATTTAATACTGCACTCTGGACAATAAATCTAAATTGCTCTTGCTGACAAAACACCGTCATCACGCTGTCCTCGAATAAATATTTGATCGCATTGCACGAGGAAGTTTCTGTCTGCCCACTCTTTTGGTTGAATCGCATGCCTTTAGACAAACTGTTAAGAGGCTGTACCGATTCAAGTGACGGCCACGCTTAGTGTGTAGTCACCTTATTTTAGTGCCTTCTGAAAGCTTCTTTAATGGAAGAGTCTTCTGCATCAAAATGCTCTTTTGTCTCCACAGTTAAAAAGGAGATGACAGCTGGGATGTGTCATTGTGAGATCATGGTTGTACGCATGCAGAAGGCCATTTTGGTGAGAGATGCGGTGGTATTATGGGAAAAGTGCAAAGGCCAAACCCACGGTCACCCGTATTTGCGGAGCGTTTGGCAACTGAATCATTTAGCAGTGGGGCGTTAGAGTCCCATCATGTAGTGACTCCGTCCGCAGTCCATAGCTGCGGCGGCAATCCCCGTGGTACTGCTTACTCCAAGATGTTTAACCAATGTATAGCTGGCATGTTGGATGGGAGGAGGTTATTTGGCCAAAAATGGTAAGCATAGCCGTCCACCTAGTCATTCGGTCAAGAAGTCGTGGATATTTATTGGTGGCTACGAAGACGGATTTCTTACTTCAGATAATGCTGAAGATGGATGAGCATAGTGACGCATGACTTTTTGACGTGGCCTCTCGGCAGGCTTTGGGTAAACGAGGAGCCAAATGTGCGATTAAATTGAGAAGCTGATGATCACATCAAATACAATAAAATTTACGTGCTGAAATTTCGTTGGCGGAAATTCGCGGGAAGTGTTTTGAAGAGGAACTCAGACAACTAGTGATGTCAGTGGAACTGGCACATCAGCACTAATTCAGTTTTGCTTAGGTAGAAACACGCTGTTTTGTGGCTATTTACTCTCTCTCTCTCTCTCTACAATTGTTTGTTGCCGCTTTGATTCAATGAGTGCATTGGAATGGCTTTTGTCTCCCAGAAGGCTGTCGTCTTTAACACGAAGTGGTATTCACCACGCAAAATGATTCATTGGAGTAGATAAACTTATCACATTTACCCTTATGCTTACTCATTTCATTCGTCTATTGATGTTGTTCCCCTCTTATTTTTTTTCCTTTTCTGCATGCTCTTCGGAACGCCTGCATGTTGTTCCGCCTGCCCTACCTAGCAACGTCGCAACCAATTCCACAACTACGTGAACCGTGCCTCGAACAACGTTGATCCGTCGCCTCACTCACCCCTTTTTCTGGGCTCCAACACCACTACATAGCGTGCTAACTAATTTTTTTATGCAAGCATACACTGTTTCCACTTTCTCTACTTGCTGTTGTGCGTATTTGGCGGTAGTAGTGGAAAATTGCATGGAATGAAGGAATTGCCAAAAGACGTGTTCATGATATCGCGCTTTTGGTTTCCAGATTGCTGTTTGACTACCACATCATAAAAGGTGGGTTGATTATCTGGCGCCAGCAAAAGGGGTTTCTGGCGTGTGATGGAGGAAAAGAGTTAGTGATTTGATGTACTCCGCCGTCTTGTGGCTCAAAGCGTCTGTTGATAGAAGTCGGTTTCATTTCAGTGTTAGGGGACAGTTGGTTGTTTAGCTCTCCGTCCACATTGTTATTGCTAGCTTTGTTACATGGACTTTAATTGCCCATAGGATGCAAAAAGAGATGGGGTGGAGTGTTTGAGTAGTGAGGAAGTGGAATTTGTTACTCTCCGAAATCCACGTATGGTGCGAGTAGAGCAAAATGCATTTGGTTGATGGGGCTTCTGGAGTCATCAAGTATGCTGATAGGGAGTAGGGTGGTGGGTTCCTCTCCTTCCATAGGTGACGGGAACCAATAAAAGGTCCTGAAGTTCAAGAGACATGCTGCGAGTTACCAAATGTTCTTTTTGGGTCACTTTATCCTAATGGCAATGCGCGTATCTCCTAGAGGGCTCTCGTATGGTCAGTTCAAGTTCTTGTTTATGGCCTACTTCATCCAAGAAAGATTAGGGCATCGTAGTGTCCCCAAAGTTTTCTAGTAGAGCAGTCGAGATGGAATGGGTTAGCGCTCTGGTTTATGAGACGCAAAATTCTACCTCTCAGTAATTGCGTTAACATCATTCCGTTATCGTCAACGGTGCAACGGATCATGCACCTCTGCACCTTTATATCATTGAGTTTCAAGTTTCCTCCCTTTATTTGGCTAAACTCTGTCAGTGCAAATTGAATGTTGGGTGGTCATTAAACTCAAAAAATTTATGTTCATGAGCCACCATCATAAAAACGAGTTGCCTAACATAAACAAAATCGCTGTAGTAGAAGAGTTCGCTTACACCCTTCTTAGACACAATGAATAAGGCAGGGGAAAATGGCGAATTGGCACTGCTTCTTCGCACCTGTATGCTATTCGTGACAGCAGTGTGTGCCAACATGTGGATATGCGCCAAAAAGTTCTTGAAATCGTCTCCTTTCTTTTAATCAACAAACGAGCGACGGAGAACGTGGCGACACACAACTCGACCAACGCTGGCTCCTTTCATGCTCAACCAGTCGTCGTGTCCCCTCCGAAATTTGATTTACCAAATACTTTACAATGAACACAAAATATGCACTTAAAGTCCATTTTAAGAGGGATTTCGGTGTCACTGAATGGTAGAAGAATTCCAATGAAGACAAGCTTAGTCCTCTCCAAGGCAGTCAAGCATCACTGTGCTAGGCTACATTTTTTCTCCAATTCAAGAGTTCTCCTGTTCCGCAGGTTGATCTTATCCAGAATACTTAATAGTGTAGGATTAATAGGTGATGAGGGATGTCGGTACTGGAATGCAGGAATGTTTATATTTAACAACCAGAGACTGCTTTAAGGTAAAACGAAGGATTCAAGCGATGGTAAGGTAAGGAGAATTCAAAAGAAAAATTTTGGCAACGGAATCGGTGATCCAGTTGGTGTTGGTTTTAGTGCAAATAGAGAAGCGAGGCTGGCTGGACCAGAGGCACCAGTACAAACTCTGGAGAGGGGCACAGATCCACTTCAGGTAGAGACGCGCAGTCATTCAGTACAAACGCGCCTCTCTTCCCTGCCCTCACCACAGACGATGTCATCCGCAGCGGAAACAACGGATACAGCGCATCCATCCGGCCCCCTTATCCTTCACCGAGTCATTGTTGACCCCTCTGCCGAGACTATGGCTGAGGAGGGTGGAGGCAGTGGCACTGGCCTCACCGCCATTCTGCCTCTGCTGAAGCAGTGCACGCGATGTGGCTCACAGCGCGTGCGACTTCTGCTTGTGGAGAGACCACCGCCAACCCAGGCACCATCAACTCCCTCACCTGTTGTCCATACCTCGCGGCAGCCTCAACAACAAAGACAACCGCACCTCCACCGTCCGCAGCGGACAACACTACCACGAACGAGCCAGGCTATCAGGAAATCGAGTGACCAAGAGCTGAGCCACCATCTGCAACAGGAGCAGCCACATCATCATCATCACCATCATCGCCGTCACCAATCTTCAAGGCAGCTGCGGCTCATACCAACGATCCGGTCGCTGACTCAACCCGTAAAGTGGGTTCTTTTTCTCTGGCAGAAATTAATTTCCGTCTACATTGCCATATGGAGTTCCTGAATGGAATCGGCCAAAAGGGTTTTGCTATCTTCTGGAACGTGGGCTCAGGTTACTTGCGCGTTGCCTTCCCCACTTCAAGTGGTTATGCAAATTAACACGGGTCTTTTCTAATGGAATGCATTGTATTTTTTTCCTGATCTTGGTTCTGATTATTTTACTTATTTTAAATCCCAGCCTGCAGTAATTGTCTAGACTGACTGATTTGTCTCACTTCATTTTCGAAGATGCTAGGTTTGAAAATGGAAAGACTGCTTAGTGGGAAATCGGAAAAGTTTAACTAACCGCGTTCCTCCAACAATGACCTACGCGGGCGTCGCAGTGAGGGGTTGGGTGAGAGGCGAGGTACCGTGCTTTAGGTGTAAACATTTGCACTCATTAACACTCGAATATGCAGAAGACCGTGAGAGAAGTAGACAAATAACGCTGAGGAGCTCAGCAGCGCGATTCTTGATTTCCCTAATGTTGACACCTCAGAAATGATAGTGCCCTCGTCTGAGGGTAAGGATTACGCCTCGAACCTACGGCCTTAACGTCTGTTCTTGTGAATATTCAGCTCACAAGTGGGATGTATCAGCATCTAGGCGTTTGACCGACGGATACTCTTCCTGTCTTACGAGGAAAGTTCAGGTTTGATTAGCTTTTTTTGTAGAAACAATTTACCCGCCTATCTGTCTGTTCAGTCAATCAATCGGTCCGGAATTTGCAAACATTTTCGGAGGAAGTTGACCTGCACTTAGTGGGTATAGAAGCAGGATTCCGGGTTTGAGAAGTGGCAGATGCGTGAACAGTAATGACACGCTTTTTTGGAAGTCGCATAATTTTAGACGCGGGCGGGTATACGAAACGCAGCCCGGTTTACGCATGCGCAATTCTCGCTGATCTACGTTATGAAAAGCCAACGTATAATGAATAGTAAATCACTAGCTACTTTGATCCAAGGCTTTGTAAATTTAGATTTCCGAGCAGCGTCATCGAGGAAAAATCACATGAAGCTGCATCCAGCGCGGTAAAACATGCCGAACGGACGAGGAGAACAACATTTCGCCGCCAACAGGCTGCACCTTGCGCTCACCATTCCCATTTGCATCATCAACATGAGTTCCACCATTACCACACAGCACCGCCTCCACAGCGGTCACATCAGCGGCAGCATCTGCGAACTTCTGAGACGACAAGCAGTGGCGGCAAGGGTCGTTCCCTTCCACGAGACGTAACGCCTCATCGTCTAGCCCGCCATATTCATCATTCTCATCAATACTCCCACCACCAGGGGCTTAGTGGAGCACTGTCACAGGAACTACCGAGCGCTCCTATTGCCACCTCCGACATCGTTCCCGTTCATCACCAACCAACACTCCCAGAAGCATTCCATCCCGTTATATCGCGACAACGGCCGCGTCGACGCGACAAACAGCGCGTGGGCCCACGTGAACTGCGCCTCGAAGGTACGCTTTGTCATCATTCCTGCTTCAATAAAGAACGGATGTTCTGGGTCGAAGTAGCCAGGCAGCCATTGTATAATAAGGCAACTTCCTTTATCTGTTCGTAACTCAGTCGAGGACACCTTCTTTTGATAACCGACAGATCTACGGGACCAATCGAAGTATCAGCTCATTGTAATTTCACCTGTAGCCGCCATAGTTATATATTTTTCAATTATGTAATTAAAGTAAACGACAGGGAACAAAAGCATCCAATTTCGTATGAACAAAAAATTGTTTAGAAGTCCAAACATCGAAAAGTAAGGACACTTAAAATACATCTGTAACCCAGCTTTTAGCAGAATTAATTGGACTGAGTAGGATGCGCCGGTAAAATACTGGCTGTGCGATGTTTTGCATTAAGGTGACGGCTCGGCAACTCCATCGAGCGTACCTATACGAGGGACAGTGGCGTACCTGCCTCACCCCCACTTCCATCGTCGCCACCACCTGACTCCACCTGCAGTAGAAGCGCAGCCCGCGCCACCCCCGTTGGCTCCGCGCCTACGTCGCTCTCTCACCACTGCTGCAACTCCCGCTATTTCGCTCAGCCAGCCCCTTCTGACCCAGACTTCCGCTGTCGGCCGCCCACGGCGCACCTACGATGAGGTTGACTATCTTCTCTACAACCTCTGTTTGAACATCGAAAGTGCGCTCTAGGCGGAACTTGACACCCTAACCTATCGTCTCCTCTATCCCTTTCGCTCCCTTGGGTTCTTCTTCTAGGCTAAGTAAAACAAAGCATATCTAGCTGTAGCGATACTTCATTCCTATCTATACATACATAAATGAACAACCTAAGAGGTATTTTAATTATAATACTAGAATTTTTTCCTGTCCCCTAAATTACTGAAAATTTGTGTAATAGTACCCTTTCTTTGACTCCGGCTTCCTTTCTGCAACCAAAATGCATAGAGCTCAATAGGATGTGCTTCTGAGTCTGTTCTAAGAGAACGGCTATTTCTAACCCTTTGCCCTTTCACTCTCTTTCCTAGATTTATTGTATTTTTTCTGCAGGTTCATAAGGAGATAACTTCATTAAAATTGGTTCATTATTTAATCTACCTCTGCTGATGAAAAAGAATGCTTTACCAACATTATTATCAATCTACATCCAATTATCAGTTGGCGAAGGATTTTGGAGAAATCCCTCCTTACTTTGTGTGCCGTAGATCCGAAGAGCTGTCAGTTGAAATTTTGGAATTAGTGAAGTACCTTTTTGGCTCACACGGGTTTTAGATGGATTTGCCGCATTCGCAATCACAGTCACTACCTAAGGATGGGCATAAAAGGAAATTACGATGTAGCCGTTGAGTATTTTGCGTTGAACTGAGTTGGTTTTGGGTTTCCATGGGTAGTGCATTCTTCCTGCGTCATGAGCTTTAGGGCCCTTAGACGTCATAGCTATGTGTGCCTCCATAAAAGTTTTGAGGCACAAGACCAACGGGATAAATTAAGGAAGTGGTTTAAAAAAAACATGTAACTGCAAGATAACACAGAGAATCGATCGAATTTGGGAATGACGGCCCATATGGGTATTACGAATTACCTAATGTAAATAGATTAGGTAGTCAACTTACTATCGTAGCGCTTTACGAAATTCCGATCCCACTTGTCTACGTCTCAGTTTATGGCCTTGCTAAGGCTAGCACGTATTGTAATGCTTTGTTCATGTGACTACCTGAGGTTCGGTGGTCACTTTGGGATTTGTCTGGCCCCTATACACGTGGGCTGACCTTCCAACCATGCTCAGGTCCATTTGCTCTGATTCCTTCGGAATACATGTATCCAGCTTCACCCACTGCCTCCCATCATGGAATTACAACTTTAATACTTTGCATACTTGAATAGCCAAATGAATGGGAATCAGTATAGTGGCCGACTTGCTTTCGCCGCAAAATCTGATCTTGGGATCAGGCAATAGCCTCGTTTCTGCGCTTTTTATCCGCATATAGGTATTCAGAGCAATGCTTTGCTTATCGTTTGCCCTCAGGGCAACCTCGAGATTAAACTTATCTTCAATTCCTATACTACATGAATTCATACAAACTAAATGCCTGCTTCTACCTCGTACAGTCTCGACGTGGCAATCAGTCTCGTCTAATTCCCTTTATTACCAACTGGGGAGTCTCCGGACATTGCAATACCTACAAGCCAATTGGGTATAAATATATATATAATATATATATATATTATAATAATAATAAGACAACATAATCGCTTAAAGTTATAGTTAAATGTGTTAAAACTAACTACAAAATTAAAAAGCATTAGTTTTAATTTGCAAAAGTCAATATTTTAGGGCTAAAGCGGTGCTTATTATAACTTAACCTGGCACGTTTGAGCGAAACGTAATTATAAAAGCGCAAGAGAATAACAGAGAGATAAGTACCGTAAATTAATTACTACGAAGTAAATTTTAAATCAATAGTGCTGAATGGGTCTTTTGTTTTATCGAGTCGGTGGGAAAGCGCATTTGACGGAGCGGATTCGTTTTTGTACTTCTGGTGGGATGTACATAAAAAGGGTTATTATCCAGGGGTTTCGTAGCTATCGTGATCAGACATGCCCAGAAGATTTCAGTCCCCATCACAATATTGTGGGTACGTTTAAATGCTCAGGTATTCATGCCTGTAGTTGGTCGAAACGGATCTGGGAAATCAAATTTCTTCCAAGCCATACAGTTCGTTTTATCTGACGAGTACAGTCACTTAAGCAATCAAGAGAGACAAAACTTTTTGCACGAAGGCACTGGACCAAGGGTTATTTCAGCGTACGTCGAAATAATTTTTGACAACAGTGATGGGCGGATTCCTGTAACATCTTCTTGTTAATGGTTATTTTTTAAGTCGGAAAAGCATGAGGTTTCTCTACGTCGCATCATCGGGAGCAAGAAGGACCAGTTTTTTCTTGACAAAAAGATTGTGACGTGGGTTGCTGATGTATACTGACAAATTTGTAGTAAAACCGAGGTGATGAACATGTTTGAAAGTGCCGGATTTTCCCGCAGCAATCCCTATTATATTGTCAAGCAAGGGAAAGTATGTGTTTTCCGTATCTCTAGTGGTTTGATTTCGATCTCTTGATTTTTCGGTGGTTTTAGATAACACAACTTGCCACGGCTCCTGATAGTCAACGTCTAAAGCTTCTGCGTGAAGTGGCTGGAACTCGAGTGTATGACGAAAGGAAAGCAGAAAGCAAATTGATTTTCCGTGAATCTGGTAATTTTTCTCAATGGTCCTATAGTAGAAGTATTAAGCATGGAACTTGTTGTTCATTCCTACTTTCAGAAGCAAAGCGCGAACAGATTTCTAAGCTACTAGAAAGCATCGAAGAGCGATTGGGAACCTTGGAGAACGAGACAAAAGAGTTAAAGGAGTATCAGCGGTGGGATCGCGATCGTCGAGCTCTTGAGTACACGATCTATGATCGAGAGCTAAAGGAGACGCGCAGAAAACTGGAAGAACTTCAGTCACGCCGAGAACAAAGCAGCGAGAGCACTGCTGAAATACGTCGTGCGGCCAAAGATACCGCTTCCCAGATTGAGGTGAGTGCTCCCTTTCAATCCATCGCAACACTGATGTGTATTCCTTTCCTCTATTTTCGACCCATTTTATCCAGCGTTTGGAGCGCGAGTTGCGTGATACGCGATTAAAGGAAGCACAGCTGCAAGATGAAGCTGAGCAAGTGCAACACTCAGTTAGCGCAATTTTGCAGCGTCGGGAGCAGCTGCAGTTGACTTGTGGCGACTATACTAATACCCTCCGCAGTGGTAAGTCAGCACGAGAGCGTGCAGCAGAGGAACTGAACCGAGTTAATGCTCAGATTGAGGTGGTTGAACAGCGCCTTGCCGAGTTGAAACCCGAATATAAGGCTGCTCGGCAGAAAGAGGATGATTTAGCCAACGCTCTTTCTGATGCGGAGCATCGCAGGTCAGTTCTGCCTCCCTACATAATCAGTTGAATCCTAAGTGACTTCAGTTTTACTGCTTCTCACTTTCTAGGAAGGAATTGTTTGCGAAACAGGGTCGCGTTAACCAGTTCCGTTCTCGTGTTCAAAGGGATGAATGGATAAAGAATCAAATGAAAAGTCAGGCAAAGGCGATTAAGGATAAAGAGAACACAATCGCAAAGCTCACGGAAGAAATAAAAAAGGATGATGAACGTCGTGCTCAACTAGAGAAGGACTTAGAAGGAGCGGAAGAGAATTTGAACACCGTTCGCACCGAACTTGATGCGGTAAGATGATCCTGCGTCAACCTCCTTTGTTTCTTCTGATTTTAAAGTAGTAAGGTCTCTTCCTTATTCTGCATAGGTGAGTGAAGATTCACGTCGTTTGCGTAGGGAGAAGGAGGAGACGCAGGCTGATCGTCAAACGGTGTATAGGGAGGAAACAAGAATTGCACAGGAACTAAATAATTGGCGTGATGAACTTGCGCGCACAGAACACAGCCTCCGATCCATTACGGGGAAAGTAATTCTCAATGGACTTGACTCTGTCCGAAAAGTGCGTCTTCTCATTGTGTCTCATACTCTTTGTGGGTAATTGCAATGCATGCTTATTTGCTCAAGAAGGCCTTATTTGTGCTTTTATGTTTTTGGTTTGAGTCATATAAGTATCTCAATGTTATGATTTTAATGTTATTTTAAAGCAAACCAGATAAACTTAAGATTAACAATGTTTCGTATTTATTGCGCTCTCAGCCTTTGAACGTTATTCCTCACTTTAAAAATTCTATACAAAATAATACTTGTTTAAAGCTAAGTTGAGGAACCAGATTAATACTACTACTGAGTTAGCACAAATAGTCGTCACTGTATTACTCGTGTTTAGAAGTCGTTTGATTAATTTGAACCTTTGCACGTCAGTGATCACACTGTTTTGCCTCCAGATAGCGTATTCAGACAATAACGTCCGATGTAATTGGTCCTTGGATTTAGTACTAATGGCGGTGGCACTTATCTTGGTCTATCAGAATCATCTTCAGAAACATCCAATCTGGAAGACTACGAAGGGGACGATTAGCATATCGGCAGTTGTAATTGCTAGGTGGCAGGCTGAAACCAGATGCGATGCTTCAAATGACCGTCGTAGAGATGTGTTGGCTTTGCGTTATGAGCAGTGCGTAGCAAATGTTGGTGCTACTATGTTTAGGTAATAGAAATATTCAGAGACCGATTCGGGCCGGAGTGTGAGATAGTACAGGGCTACTATGGCACTCTCATTGAGCTGTTGGAGTGCCCAGAGGACTTCTACACCTGTGTGGAAGTGACAGCAGGCGCGCGCCTCTTCTACCATGTGGTGCAGTCGGATCGTTACGTGATCAAGATCATTAATGAAATCAACAAGCACAATCTACCTGGTGAGGTACACTTCCTGCCTATCAACAAACTGTACGTGAAGGAGTCCCACTACCCCGAGGTTGAGGGCGCTATTCCCATGATCTCGCGACTCAAGTTTGACGACAAATTTCGTCCCGTCATGGTGCACATTTTTGGAAAGACGCTCATTTGCAGTAGCCTTGAGGTGGCCACTCAGCTTGCGCGCAGGCAGAACTTTGATTGCATTACTCTTGATGGTGCGTCCAGCCTTTATAGTTGTTAAGATGTACACAATCATATTTTGTTGAAAATTTTATGTGACTATTTTCCAAGTGTGGCTTTCGAATTTCTTGAAGCAATAATTTCTGGTCAATTTTTTTACATCACAGTCATTAATGGCGAGGTGTAATAAGAAAAGTGGTATTTGGCGAATATTTTCCATAGGCGTAGTCTAGGCTAGCGTTCGAGTGTTTCTGGAAGGGATTTATAGGGCAGATTTTTCTGGTCTATCGGAAGTTTAAAGACCAAAGACATATAGACTTATAGTTACGGTCTTACAGCGCGTATTTAAGGCTGAAACTGGCACCCCCCAGTCTTATTTATTTGGAATATGGCATCATCTGGGAATTGCATGCGTGCAGGCACATTAAGAAGCAATGCTGAATGGATAGAGTATAATGACGTTAATGTAATTCACTTTTACTTATTTCCTTTTTTCTTCTGAATTCTCATCTTGATAGGAACTTAAGAACCGCAAATTCATTATCGTTAAGGGTTTTGCTGTAGGGCGTTTCTCCCCGTAAATAATCTCAATCACAGTTATTAACACAGGTCGTGTTACAGTAATCTTGGTAGGGTACTGTACTTGGTCCATGATTACTATCCATGTTTGGCTAAATTTCCCGCTTCTTCACCTTTGCAGGTGATCAGGCTTCAAGAAAGGGCACTCTTACAGGAGGTTACTATGATAACCGGATGTCGCGACTAGAGCTTCAAAGACGGAAGCAGAAGACGGAGATGGAAATTCAGGAGACGGAGAACGTGAGGGAGAACAACGCTAAGAGGAAGGAGCAAGTGGACGCCCAGATAAATCGTATCATTGATGAGGCTCAACGCAAGGAGACTGTTCAATCCAGGCTGGAGTATGTTTCGCATCTGCTATTGAATGTGAATGTTTGAGATGATGGGAATGCTTTCATGTACATAATACTTTCAGGATGACCTTTGATAAGCTAAAGAAGGACATCCACTTGTGGAAGGAGGAGTTACGCGCGAAGACTGAAGCAAGACCTCAGAAGGAGTGGAAACTCTCATCATTGCGACATGATTTGGATCAAATGAAGTATACCATGGAATCTTACAAGGTGAATTTCCTCTATTCAAGTCTATAGGCTGGAAGATCGGTAGTATAGATGGCATCGCCACAGCTGGACAGTTATGATTAAGACGCAATACAATTTTGAACAGTGGCTACGATAGCTTCTTTTCATTCTTCTCTAGGCCGAGTTGGGGACCGAGCTGCCTAGTCAGCTGTCTGTTCAGGAGCAGAAAGAAGTCGATCGATTGAACGACAAGATACAAGCACTGACCCGTGAAGCCAAAGAAGCATACAAGTGAGGCCTTTGCAATCTCTCTGCCTCGGAATTAAAAGACAGTGCCTTGTGACAATTTGTAAGGAAACTTCTCCTTTCAGAGAGCGCATGAAATTGGAGACAGAAAAGACAGAGAAGGAGACTCAGTTAGAGCACAACCTTTTCCGAAAACGCGAGCAGCTCGAGGCTGAGCTTGCCGAAGTATCCGAACAGGACCTCGCCGAACGTCTACGAGAGGCACAAGAGGAGCTAAAAGAAGTGAGCTCACCCTTCCTGTGGCTGGGCCTTTTTTACATTTCGCTTACCCTCTTCTATTTTTATGATGTACGAAAAGCACCTAATAGTTTTAGCTTAAGAATTGTCTGTTAGAGATTTTGTACATTTTTTAGTGGCACTGGGCTCCTGCGCCATGGTAAAGACGTGGTGAAACTTTGTGCGATGATTTGTAGGCGGATAATAGGATAGAGGCAGAGGAGCGAACGGTGGATGAAGTGGAGAGTCGCTTGGCAGCTCTGATGCAGGATCAGCGGCGTCTGGAGGCGGAGTTGGAGGCAAAGAGAATGGAGGAGAAGGATTATGCCGAACGCATTCAAGATGATCAACAGAGCCTGGAGAAGATGCAATCGAAACAAAGTCAACTCTTCAAGAAGAAGGAGGAGAACATGAAGAAGATTCGCGACCTTGGCTCTCTCCCTGCTGATGCCTTCGATAAGTTTCAGGATAAGAGTCTTAAACAGGTTCGTCCCCCATTCGCATTGTTCCTGTTCTTTTTTGTTGGTGTAGCCCTCATCTATTTACATATGCAGTTGTTCAAACTGTTGGACAAGGCGAATCGTGAATTGAAGCGATACAGTCATGTTAATAAGAAGGCATTGGACCAATTCGTAAGCCATTCGGAGGAGAAGGAGAAGCTGTTAAAACGGAAAGAGGAGCTAGACGAGGCTCACCAGGCCATAATCGATCTCATGAACGCTCTCGACCACCAGAAATACGAAGCTATTACTCTCACTTTCAAACAGGTCGGTTTTGGATTTTTAATGCCACTGGCCTTTGTCATACAATGTGGCTGTTTGGAGAAAAAAAGGAATAGCCATTTTGTCCACAGAACACCCGTGGATCTTTGCTTGCATCATTAGTTGTTTATGGATTTTGAACACGGATATTTAACTCGGCACATGATTCCCTATTCTCTTTCAATAGGTCTCAAAGAACTTCCAAGACATCTTTAAGAGATTGGTTCCTGAGGGTCGTGCAGAATTGGTCATGCATCGTGGCAAAAAGGTAAGTACTGTTAATTTTGTCTATGACCTTCTCATCACTGTTTTTACATCTCTGCTTTGATTCAAGCAAGTCTCGAAACTCTACGAGTCTTATTTCTGACGCAGATATTTTCAATTTCATGCAGCCGTGTTCTAAAGTTCATTTAAAGATTCGCGTTTATCGTTCGTTCGTTGTGGGTAGAGTAGTTTGTGTTCAGTGTATTTTGTAAGGCTTAGAAATCATCCTGACTTCATTTTTTGTTATTACTGACCGTGTCGTCGCACAAAAAAATTCGGAGGGTGGTCTTAGTCTACAACAGGGATGGCCATCCAGGGGGCATTGGCGTAGACTGCCCTTGTGAGGTCAAAACTAGAGTGCTCCACTAACACTGGATGGCTTTACAAAGTGTTTCCTCATGTCCTTTGCGGTCCCTTAAGCCGGCGGAAGGGGACGATGATGGTAGCGACAACGAGGGAGGCCGCATGTCACCTGCTTCAGGAGTGCCAATTCCGGAGGTGGAGTTGTTCACCGGTGTTGGGATTCGAGTCTCTTTCACGGGAGAGACGGCGGACATGAGGGACATGAACCAGCTCTCGGGTGGGCAGAAGTCTCTCGTGGCGCTTACTCTTATATTTGCCATCCAGAAGTGTGATCCTGCACCCTTTTATCTCTTCGATGAAATTGATGCAGCGTTGGACGCCCAGTACCGTGCTGCAGTGGCTGATATGATACGAGACCTTAAATCAGATGCGCAATTCATTACTACTACCTTCCGACCGGAGTTGTTAGAGTCAGCTGAAAAGTATTATGGTGTAAAATTCCGTAATAAGGTAAGTTTGTTAGGGCCTTCTCTTATCCCTTTATCAATGCTCTGAATCCGTACTATGGTTTCTTGTCTCTTATCGGCAGGTCTCGCATATTGAGTGTGTAACCAAGGAGGAGGCGTTGGACTTTGTAGAGGATGACCAAACCCATGGCTAAAATGTTTTTCTCTGGAGGCAGTCATGTATATCTCTATGTTGTTGATACTTACATTACTCATACGTGGTGGGGTACGAAATTCTGCAATATCTATCACACATCGTATGTTCGCGTCGAACTATGTCCAGCTTTGTTTCACGTACAGTATTTTGGGAAACTTGATGACAGGTCTGGATGTGAGTTCTGATGGGGCGCGCTGGTGTCGGCGTCGTTCGCATTTATTTATTGCGGTGGGGTTGGGATAAGGGATAATGGGGGGTGTGGGTCGTGTCGCCCTCCGGTTCACGCTGCAGCGTCTCGAGGCTTCTCATAGAGTGGTAGGAGGTATGGGTGAGTTTGATACGTGTACTCCGAAGACGATTGGCAGAAGGGGTCCGAGCGTTCTTCGTGGGCCAGTCCACGTGTGCAGGAGTCGGACCACTCAGGAGTGGTTGCCGAACGTCATATGGTCACGTGGAAAAGTGTTACACGCGCATGGTGTCACGGTAGTTAAGAATTCAGGTGTGCGGGTTACTTCGAGTTTGGTGCCAAGTGTGTTATGAACCGAGTTTGAGAATTCTACCTTGCAGAAGCAGCAATCCTGATAATATCGCAGCAAATGTGTGCAGCCAAATGCTGCTAAAAATTCTGTAAACTGATACCAAGTGATTTATTTTTGTAAGCTATTACGGCAGAAGTTAAAATAATTCCTGACGGACTTGCTTGTGTTTAAATTAGTAATTCAGAGGTCGCAGATACGAAGAGCCAAAAGCGAGGAATGGGGGTGCGGGGTTTGTGGTCGTACGTTCGAGGTAATGATTCCAACTTCCGTGAAGTAAGACTAAATAACTCCTACATTGTTTTTGATGGGTATAATATTGTCAACAAGCTTTACTTGGACTCCCCTATTCCCACGCAATACAATGGTGAATATTTGGTATATGATAACGTAATTCAACAATTTTTGGATAATCTCCGGAAGTGCAATCTCGAGCCCATTTTTGTGTTCGATGGGATTCGCGAGGTAGGTCTCCTTGTGAGGGGTGTGCTTTGCTGTGCTATGCCTTGACTCCCGTTTCATTGCTTAAATGTGGACGTGCGTACGTACATTGAGTCGAATTGCATTAAAGTGGAGACGTGGCTTTTCATCATTGACTTTGGTCTGTCCTAACTCGCATGCAGGCTTTTTAATATAGTCTGTCTCCCCTCAGGTTACAAAATTGACTACCGTCCTTAGGCGGAGCGGGGATCGTCTTATTACTCTATCTCACCTACAAGAAGAAGCTACAAGAAATGCAGGCAGTGACGGTAACTCGACTGCATTTCGAGTCGAGATACAACCTCCTCTTGCCGCCTTGACGTTCCATTTAGCTCTTGACCGGCTTGGGGCGCTGCAAGTTGTTGCCAACTTCGAGGCTGACCAACTGGCCGCTGCTCTAGCCATTTATCTCAATGCACCGTTAGTCTCCAACGACTCCGACTTTTTTATTTTCTCACCTTACTGGGCCGACCATGGTGGACTCATCTTCGTGCCTACCGACCTCTGTGATTTTCATACCCCACGTGCCTACGAGGGTGGTTTCTACATTGAGGCACATCAGTTTGTAGGACGCGAAGGACCTATTTTTCACAAACTGGCCCCTGTGCAAATACCTCTTTTTGCCTCTCTTTGTGGAAATGACTACACCCCACCGGGATTTTTCAACCTTCACCTTCCTGGATCTGCACCCCAATATCCTTATGCGCGACCTACTGCCCAAGCTGCCACAACTTCAGCTGTGGCTTCGAGAAATGCGACTAAGTTTAGGAGGCTCGTGGATTGGCTCTCGGGATTTGGTGATGATATCGTTGAACCTGTGGAACGAGTCCTGTCTAGTTTTCCACTATCGAAGAGGCCCGAGGCTGCTTACTATTTGCACGCGGGTCTTGCAGCCTATCACGTTCCACTGGAACAGCTTTCTCCATACTTACAATTTCTCTTTGGTGAAACACCTCCTCCTCCTCAGGTGCATCAGATACTGCCGACTCTCCGATACCCTACTCGCGGGGGTTACGGTGTCAGAGCCCTACAAGTTCTGGTTGAAGGCGTCAGTGGTCCAGATTATCTTGCATCCTGGTCTCCTAGACTGGTGCAGAACTTCCGTCGAGCGCGAATGTCGACACACCCATGTGACGCGCTCTACGCGTATGGAATCGTTTGCAACCCAGTTGTTGAAGACATTCAAGGTCGAGAACCCTTCCATTTATGTACCCTTCCTATTCGCCGCCTACTTGTTGGACTCCTTCTGGACGCCTGCTTAACAGACGTTCGGAGCTTGCCTGGTGTGTATGGTCCTTCTCACCGCCTATTCTACAATGAGTATCGACGCGTTGGCCGGACGAGTTTGGAGAAGTGTAGAGTAAGTTTTGAGAGGGTCTCACTTGGTGGCTCTACCGGATTTGAATTCCTTCGACAACATCTCAGTATTCCCCCATGTCCAACTATCATCCCTGCCTGGCTCCACGGCCTTTCTTGTGTTCTCTTTCTCTGGGCCCGTTTTAATCAACGTCCAGAGTCGGTCAAACTCGCCTCTTCTCCCATTGCTCTGGCGGTTTGTGCATGTGCGGTGGCTACACAAATGCGACTACTACAGCACTCTGAAGATAGGGCTGCGGAAGTGCGTATCGCCATTGCGCGTGATTTTAGGTCGTGCAGTCGATCGAGAGGAGAAGTAGAACCTCTGCGGTTCTGCTTTCTCCACGCCATTGCCCAACTTCAATCTGTGCTCCTGTATCTGACGAATCTGGTTTGGCTTATAGATGCGCTGGTTCCCGAGGAAAGTGGTAGTAATTGTGGCATGGAGATGCTTCCACCTCAAGTAATGTTTCCGTCGGGGTGTTTGGCGCACCACATTGCCTGCCGACTCTTTGGTATGCCTCCGGAAAAACGACTACCGTTGGTTCTCACCTATTGGCTTCCTCGTCTTCTCGGTCGCGTGGAGGCTGGATTTTTGGAACAGGTGAGTGCAGTCAATTTGTCGGGATTGCACCTGAGGCCTGTACACTGTGTACAAATTTGAATAATCAGAATAAGCGATCTCGCGGTCTGTAACCTGCTCTTGCCCTTGTGATGGTTTCTCACATTTGTGAAGAAGATGCGACCTGAAGTCGACTTCATTGCCTACAGCGAGGTACAGTATCTTCTACATTGCAGTTGAGCGTGAATTGCACTTGCGCGGGCTACTCAGGGGTGCCTCCTCTTGAAGGCATTAACGGATGTGTCAGATCGAGAGCGTAGGTTTATGAAAGGTTAATCGATTCTGAATGTATTGGTGGATGGAGTGATGAGTTTATTAATGTAATGAAACTTGAATGACTGTGGGCAAATGAATACGGTGAGAATGAGTACACGCAGTTCGTGTGGAGATTATCGCATGGCTCCTTCGAGGTGGTTGGCATTTGTTTGCGGCAATTGAAACCGCGTTTCTCCAGACAGAAGTGAAGCGTGTAGTGGACGACGAAGAAAGAAGGCACGAAGGTTTGACGACGTTCGTGCTTGAGTGTGGTTCTTGATGGGATGGTCTGTGGGTGAGTCGTTTAACTTCCGTTCCAAATATGATGCGAGTGCACATGTGCTTTCCATCCTAAGGTGTGTTCAATGTTCTCGGGATTAATGAATTTTGTGGACAATTTGTTGGAGGCGACACCGCCAGCCGAATTTCGGGCTCACCAACGCCGACCACCACCGTCGACTTCGTCTGTAGGTGAGCGCTCCACTCCATGCGGACACAAGGCGGCGCGATGTGATGTTGAGGAGAAAGTGATGCAGTATATGCGTGATGCTGGATTGGAGGACTCTTGAGCATGCTTCGAAACCGCTCCTTTTCCCTCTTTTAATGTGTTCTTTTTTAACACAACGCATTGACTTTGTAGCATTTTTTTGTGCAAAATGTGATCTATGATTGTGTACTCTGTGGGTAGCTTGTGGCATATTTAGGAGGTTGGTACTGGGTTTGGTGTGTGGTAGTGCGGTTACTGTCTAGTTTGGTTAAGTCGCGCATTGTCCTCGACGTTCGTGGTGGAGGGCACTGTGTTTGGAGGAGCAGCTGCAACAGTCCAGCTGCATGTGAGCAGTGTGGAGGTAACAGAATATGCAGTTTGGAGGGGTGGAGGTGGTAGATGGGGTAGGCACAGTGTGGCTAGTCGCATGGATGCTGTTGAAGTCGTTCCAATAGGATTGTGAGATTGGAGGCGGAGGATGGTGAGTGCCACTTTGCTTGTCTCATTGTGTGTGTTTGGCGGTCCGTTATGGGTGGTTTAGTTTGCTGTCTCCTCGTTAGAAGTGATTGATGTTGTGAGTGTTTGGGTGACCCTATTTGCGGGATGAAGTTGTGGATTGCAATAACCGTCACGCCCAAGTGCCCAACTTACCAAGGAGACACTTGTAGGGGCAAGTACTGCGGCGATATACATGGAGTGACTTTGCATTTGTACGCCAAGGGGCATACAACAAATGGACAGTCTGAAGTGCCATACCCGAGCGGGTAAGATTGTTTTTGGGTGAGTTTTCTTTATTTCCGTGGAAGTACTGCTTTGAAATGAAGTAGCTGACGAACTGCGCTGTTTGAATGATATTCTTAAGGCCCTATTATTTGGTGCTTTAATTTTTTTTTGGTGATCGCGTAGGAGGAAGGAGAGAGTAATTTCCTAAGGATCGTATGCGCAATGCTGACCTGTGGAAGGGTCGAATGCTGTTAACTTGGCTACTATCAGTACCAAAATTGATGGAAGTACAAGTTGGCATTCAATCCGTATATGAAATTCACATTAGATTCAGTGCTTTTAAGACTGTTTCGTACCTCCTCTAAACTGTTGAGCGCTCGGTGTTTCGAGCGGATGCTCTTTTCTCCCATTCAGCATGACATCGCATGCTGGTAATTTTCCAGGTCCGGCACCTGAACGGACCCGGCAAACAATGTGGAGAAATTGAACCAAATGAGGCGTAGGTACTTTACACCGGCATCAGAGTAAAACTCGTTAATTAACGAATTCTTTAGGCAGAAGTAGTTTGATCTACTCGAGCTTGTTCTGCTCAACATCCATTTCTGTGTTTGTACCACACAATTGGTGGTAACTTCACGATGGATTACATTTAGTTTCCACCCTTGATCTACGCATCGTCACTAGCAGGAAAAATAGGAGCACTCTCAAGTGGAGATGCAGTAAAACTCGTCTATGGTTGAATGTGATGAAACATCATTTTTCTTGGGTTATTTTTTTAAAAAAAGTAGGAACTTGCTTGATTGCTCCAAAGTCCCTTTTGTTGTGGTGGCATTTTAGAAAGCAGGCTTAAGACTGTACAAATTTTTCTTCCATGACCGTGTTTATGACTTGTACATCTTCTATTCTCCTCAATATCATCACGACTCAATCCCCTGCAACGGTAGAACCAAGAAGATGAAGCAATAAAAGTAGGTGGAAGAATATGCGTGCGGATTGTCCCCTTTTAATATTAGACCAATCTGACGTCGCGACGCCTTTTCGCAATTTGATATGCACTTTACTGTTGTGCAATACGCTTGCACGTTGCAGATACCGACATAGATTGTGAAACTGTAGTGAATGGAACTGGGTAGTTCTTGAAGCCTAGAAGGACTCAGTATTCCCTTTCTCTCAATTCCCTACTAATTTCCACTTGTTTCAACTGATTCAGTTGGAGGAGTGAAGCCATTCAGAAGCCATTCAGCATTCAGAACACCTTCTTAGGTAAAGATTAACATTTAATGCCCACTTCCACGTTTCCGTCGTAGCGGTTAGCTATAGAACTCACGAACACCGGCATCAGCCATGACAGCAATAACCAGTGACACAACATCTTAGCTCATTTCTTCACCCACCTACAAGAAGCGAATTCCTATCCGAGATTGCTTCCTTTCATACCAAAATCTTGCGAGGATTGCAAAAACTACACCTGAAGTCATTAACATCTATCCACTTGTGTCTTCTGAGTTCCTCTCCCAAAAAAGGACAGTAATTAAGTAAACATTTGTTTAAGATACACAATTGAAATGCCCGCCATAACTAAGACATTCTAAGGTGTAAAGTCGAATTCGTCAAGCTTTCAATGTGGAATCGTCAGGACCTTCGAAAGTACTCCCATCACCAAATTTTAAACAATAATCAAATTTAAAACCCTCGGGCAGTACTCTGCCACACTAGATCTTGGAATTTGACGTGCCTTCCATTTTCCCATTATTCTTACGCCTAACTGGCTTCTACTCAGCTATTTAAATACTAACCGAACTATAAGAGCTTGTGTTCAGTTGAAGTCATCAATTTTGACACAACTGCACAAACACGTTCTGCAGAAAGAAGGGAGATGGTGATAAAAGAGGTAACGCTGCTAGAAGTCTCCACAGTGAAAGAATTTACCGTTTCCAGAGCTGGGATGTCATATGATGAGGAGTACTGTTTTGTTACGTAAAATTAGATCTGTCTCAAACTGGATGAAAGAACCTGTTCCACTCTGCAAGGTAATGAAGTTAACCTAGATGTTTCACTACCGAGAATGGACCCACATGACGTGTGTCTAGCGATCTTTTGAACAACTTGGCGGATCCGAGTGCATAAAAGACCCATTTTACTGACATCATGATAAAAGATTTACTAGCTTTGAATGAATACGTAAGCATGATCGCCAAGATGGGCGAGGAACTGGAATGTAAAGCATCGTTTAGCGTATTGGCGAGGCTAGATCCATCCAGACACACACCCAATCCCCTGCTACAAAAGTTACTATTTAATCAAAGATGCGATTCAAGATGGAGTTGTGAAACTATCAACTTCGCCACAGGCTTCTTAAAATGTGTGTCGACTGCAAGAAGATTTCCAAGACTCACCAAATCGGTCAACTTGGTTTCCACTGCTTTCATTTAAGTTGAGGTTACCAGACACAGACGCGATGGACGTAGGTGTTGGTGGTGGTTTCACAAAAGGGCAAATTGATAAGGATCCATATAATCGTCTGTAACAGAAAGAAAAACAACGCAAAGCGAGGTGGATGTTGCCTGCCATGTAGATAGGCACTATACGCTGCCTGATGGCGAACCACCGAGCACTCACCTGGTTAAAACAAAGCAGGATTTTGAATGATTGATTGCACGCCAGCAAAAGGAACTGCAGCAACAATATCTGAAGGTCCAACACAGAAAAGAGCATAAGCTTGGGGACATGATTGCTTTGCCCCGCAGGCTTGTGGTAATTTTTAGGCAAACCCATTCAAAATCGGCGGTAGAACAAGTGGAGCGATTATCCCCAGATGGTTCCTGTAAAGCCCATAGGGAAGGAAGTGATTTTGAGCAGTTTGATTGCTAAACAGAGGCGTCAGGAGTGCCCTTAGTGGCTCTGAGGTCTTTAATGTGAAGTATTCCCCATGTAGACAAAGGCAGAGTGCTTAAAGTCCTGAGCAAAACTGCTAGCAATGGTCGGTTATTGCGGGCTTGGTATGTATTTGCCGAGTCCGCATCATCATGCTCAAACAGTGACCCGTGCTCACCAATTTGCTGATGGAAAGAACGGATATGCTCATCATGAGCTTGTTGTTACCCATCAGATACAAAGGGAGGAGAAAGGAAATTCTTTAATCGGTGCATTTGGAAACAGCGCATCTGATATCTTCCAAAATATGCAAGAAGTCTCAAAAGATCTGAGGCGCGAAACACCCGTACACCTAAAACGTATTCAACAAATGGAAGGGACAACCTGTAATTTTGTCGGATATTAAACACGCACAATGTAAATCCGACCACATTAAATGTTGTTGTCTTTTATCTTCTTGCAAAACACGGCAATGATCAAGAATACATATAACTAGCGACTGAATTTTGACGACACAAGTGAATAAGTACGATTATATGCTCTATAGTCGAGTAAAACTACGAAAAGCACAATTTAGTCACCATCAACCATTAAGTGGACAAAGGACAAAATTGCAAGTGATTCCTCCCACCACGACCGGACACCAAATACTACCACTCTCAGATTACAATCGATTTTAAATAGCGAGAATTATCAAACCCTAAAATCGTCTTGGCTTCAATGCACAATACCGCTATAGGTCAATAACCGTTCACCTCAACAATGCACGATTTCATACAGACGACACGGAACAGATACGAAAGTGAAGTACTCACTACTGGCATTTTCGGACACGACAAACGAGCTGCATAGGTACTGGTGTGATCAAAACCAAAAGATGAAGCAACAATTGAGCTGTGATGATTTGGTTATATTAGCTATCGGAATGACTAGCCGTTGTTTTAGTACCCACTTCACCATTGCAAGTCCAAGCCAAAGCCAAAACTATTCCCTTTTCTCTCTAAGCACATTCATTTAGCTCTATCCAATGCTGTAGCTGCCTAGACCTCCAAGTAGGTGAAGGAATGCACGTATTTTAGGAGGCAAAGACGACTGGATTTGGAATCGGCCTGGTCCAAAGATCATACCACACACACAAGAGCAAGACAAATGCTCTAGCAGCCACACGATGGTCAGGTGGTGAGACAAACATATTACCACAAATAACTTCTGCCAAATGGGAAGACTCTGGACGATTTACGAGTTGCTTAAGAAAGCTTTATAAAGCAGAAGCAAGGGATTAGGTTGTGTCTTGTGACATAGAAGAGTTCAGAATCTAAGTTTTTTTGTATCTGCACCAAATTTTGCCGATTACATTAAATGAAAAGAAAAGGATGACCACACTAGTATCATATATTGCATTCTAGCAAGACAAAATTTTTAAATTTACTCTGAATGCATCCAATTAACATTTTAAAATGAGTTTAGGAATTTTTATTTCGTGAAGTACCTTGTTTTAGCGACTGCCAGAATAGCGCCCGTCGAGAATGACGGTGCTTGCCGTTAAGAGCAAGGTTTGTTCTCTGCCATTTTCACAAATTCTCTAGTATAACGCTGAATTTCGGCGGTTTCATTTGGACCGTTCGGTTGTTACGACATTCGCTGACCTGTACAGGATCGTAGAAAAAGCACACGGGCTATATAATGCTCATTTTATACTGCAATACGTCGATCCGAAGGAAAATACGTTACTTCCAATAAATAACGATAAAAATTGTGAACGAGCTCTAGCAGTTGCATCAGATCCTCTTAGACTTTTGATACAGCTCAAGGGTAGAACATTTTGTGGGATCGTCACTGTTCTTAGGCGAGAGTTATGGCGAAATTAAGGGCTATAAGTCACCGGGAACGGTTTTCCTGCGAAAGAAGCCAGCAGACATTGTTAGGTCGATTGGGTCCGAGAAGATCAAACCTGGGCATCAGTCAATAATATTGTGCGATGACTTTCATAAGGTTTCGTCGATAATTGATGATGGCACACTTCCGGAATGCATGCGGAGGTGAGCCTTTTAACTTGTCAAAATCTCATATACTCTTGTTGGCTTATTACATTCTTGTATTTTGTACATACTGTCATTGTCTTGTTTGAGCAGTGCTCCTCATAATTCAGGGTTGATTTCGACACAAAAGGTAGGTACGGTCACTAATGGTAGTATTACCAGTTGGATATAAGTGTCCACTCAATTTTAGTTCATAACTGTCAAGGTTTTTTGAAATGGTCATCTTATATTCTTTTCTGTAGTTTCCTAGCTTGTCGTAGTTTCAAGGCTCCTTACATAATGGCAGTACATACGTTTCGCGTTTATGCATTATTTCTGCCATAATTAGTCTTTTTCCTCTAGCGGGGTTTGCTATTTGCATTCTTTGTGTGGGGTGTTGAGATATGCTCGCCTACTTTCCTCAGCTTTTACGATTAAGTTTACTTGATGTTAGAGTGCACCTTATCAGGACTGGGTCGAAGCCGCTGGGATTCTACATTCGTGACGGATTTAGCATTCGTGCCACACCAACAGGAGTACAGCCCGTCCCGGGAATTTTCATTTCTCGTCTCCTGCCCGGCGGTTTGGCTGAGTCCACTGGTCTCTTGGCCGTGAAAGACGAAGTTATTGAGGTCAATGGCATTGAAGTGTACGGCAAGACACTGGACCAAGTGACTGATATGATGGTTGCTAACAGCTCCAACCTTATCATCACTGTGAAGCCTTTCAACCAGAAGACTTGCATTCATCGAACCAAGTTTATGGCTCCAGTCTCGGCCGTTGCGGGATCGGTATCGAACCAAGGGTCCGCTGCCAGTACGAGCCATCACTCTTCCGCTTCTTCGTCGTCGACAGCAGCGGGCGTAGCGGAAGTACGGAGACAGGTCCTCCCATCCCGCGACTCCCCAAAGTCGCCAGTGCAAGCTCATACTGTGCCTGAGGTGCCGGGTACCATTGATATTTGACTTCATAACCGACTTTGTGCTCCCTTTGCTTCACATTCCTTCTCTTTTGTATTGTCTTCTCTTGAATTTATCGTTTGTGCACGCATTCATGCACATATTTAAGCGTCAGGAAGTGACAATGACTGTTTAATTCTTCATTATCTCTCAGCATTCCATTTGCGCAAACATTGGATTGTCTTTTTTGCTCTCGAGTATGCGTGTGCGAGTCAGGTTACGGCAGTAAGACTCATTTTGAGTTGTTTATAAAATTTGAGAGGTGCAATGTACAAATGGAATTGGACGTTTTTCTCTAACCTCAAGTGCGATACCATTCAATGGGTGGGTGGAGTTGTCCTATGCTCGGCGGTCACCCGCATCACATATTTTGGCAGATTGGTATGTGTTCAACTGGAGCAGTTCTTTTGTTCACCAGTGTCACGACTCATGGGTCATCTACGCTTCGTGAGTTTGTAGTTCTCTTTGATTCATCCCACTCACGTGGACGTGAAGTCTGATGGGGCCATCGTTTGATTGAATGAACTAAAAGCCCTCTAGGTTGTGGATTAGCACCGAGGCAGGTTCTTCCTCTAAGGGCGCTTGGAGTTAAAATCTCCTTGAAACTAGATGACAGTAAAACTTGAAGCGAATAACAGCAACAAATTATTGAATCGAGTAACGTCTAAGAATGCCACTTCAGGTAGTCGGTAGATTAAATGTGAACTTGAGGCAAAGTTAAGGTCCTGGGTGTTCGTGGGTGAGGGTCGGAATTCCACTTCTCCTTTACGGTCAGGTCTTTGAACACCTACAAACAAATGTAATTCATATAAATTTGCGGTTTGATCCGTGTTATTTGCATTGGCTTGGGTTAATGAATCGTTCCCTTTTAATGCCAGGATTACTTGTTTCCCCTTTACTTGTTTGACATTGAGGGTATTCACTATGTTCTTGACTGCATCTCCCTTCTGCATGGAGCTGTTTTGCATTTTCCTCAAGCAGTGGGTACTTAACGGAAGCCTACCTAATGGCTATTTCACGAAAATTTCCTACTGATCTCTTAAATTTCGACCTCAACGAGGCACTGTTCTCGTCTGAGCCAGCTTTGTTCGTGATGATTCGTTTCTCCACCTTACCCTTATCATTGGCATGGCAGTGTCCCGGAAAAAGCATTAGTTTTAATTCCATTCAACACTGCTATTTGTGGCAAATGTGCATTGTTTATATTGAATCCATTTCACTGATTAAACCGTAGGAGAGGTGACGTACTTGTTGGAGAGTTATCAGAGGAGTTTGGAAAGTAATTCTTAGGCCTCGGCTGCAGAGAATGTCTTATGTCTTGCCTAAATGTCAACGGCTTGCTTAAATTACAAGCACTCTGAGCTTAAAAATAGGAGATTGATTATTTCACAGTCTTCGTTATGGTTTTAATTCTCTTTCCTTTCTTCAGGTTCGTCTGGAAGCATGCTAATTTGTCTCTCAGGCTGCTTGAGCGTCGCACATATGCTTATTCGGTCCTGGCACCATATTTTGTGCTTGCTTAAGAAAAGCCAGTTCGGATGGGCCAAATATTGGACTGCTCTTTACGATTCTCTTGATGCATTTCACCAAATGTTGTCTCAGAAATTCAAGGACATGCTAGTGTGTAGGCGTGCTGCGTGTTGATTCCATTCAAGCTTACCTCCGCAGTGGAAAGAATGGTCTTTGCACTGTTCGCCCAGTAGTTGCTGACGTTCCTGAGCTGCTAGCACGAAAGGCAAAGGTGCGAAGGCAGTCTTATGAAGGCGAGTCAGAGAAGCTAACGTAATCGTAATTGTTTGAAACAATTTACCTATTGAAAGCACTAGAAGTGGGGGTAAAGGGGAGAGAATATGTTAATTACCACTACCACTTGCCCCATTTCCCGTCGAAGTGGATTATGCATGTCGTTATTGTTACACCGGGATGCCTGCTTTAAGTTAATCATGACATTGCAAACTTTCAAAGCTCTGCTCTATGCAGATATGGGGTCAGCCCTTCTGTGAGGTTTCTGCTAACACGGACAACTTGGAGGAGGTAACAAAGAAACTTCGTGAACTGCAATAAACTTTGTATAATTCGTAAGAAGGTCCTGTTCGATCGAAGTCGAAAACGCTAAGGCTGAGGAAAGAACATTATTGCTCTGTCGCCCCCCATCTGTGCCCAGTTGTCATTCATTGCATTAGGCACATTAGTCCCGTCAACCTGCTACAGGTGAAAAGGGAATCGGGCTATGCTTGTGAATACTAGTTTTACCTGTTCTCGATACAGGTGAAAACGGAAAGTCGATTAGGCATTTGCGTTTTGGGGATAATTGAACCACTTTTCTACACTGCTGGATAAAGGCGCATTTGGAAATGCAAAGTCCAGAACTATGCTTGCCATAGCCCACAATAGGCAGCAGATAAGGGCTGATAGTTTAGTTTGTTCCAAAAGTAAAGTATGTGGGGTAGCTGGGTAGTCTGCTCAGATGTTTTATGCCAATGGATAGAACGCGCAATGGGGTAGTTTAACGTCATTTAAAATGGATCTCAAGTGTTGGTAACGTTTCATGTAGAACGCTTAAGTGTGTATCATGGGACTTTTGAGATACGTAGCGCATCACGAACTATGAAAAAAAGTGCTGAAGGCTCCGTGGACCTTGCAGTTGCTTCAATGTGTTTTATTTCAAAGCATGATCAACAAGTGGCTGTGACTGATGGGATTTTAGTGGCGTGACCCTTTAGGATTTTTATGGGAAAGAAATAGGGCATTCCGTTGTCAAGATCGAGAATGAAAGTATTGCAACAGGTGCTTTGGTAGTGACATATTGCTCCCATGAATTGAGGAAATCCGCGTGGAAGCACGGCAACAAAAGTAGAGAGCGGGCGGACGTGCGATCGGTTCGTCTGGAACGTACCTTCGGTGAGGCCATCATGACCCGTCCAATGGGAGAAACCAAACACTGCTACGCCAGACCAGTAAGTCTGATGCAATATTTTGTTGCTGGTGACGAAGACTAGAATGACTACACTGCCAAAAGCTCCATCTTCTCCCTTCCTGTCTGCAGTAAGCCCTATCCAGTCCTAGTATCATGCATTTTAACACCCAATAGAAAATCGTGAGGTGATACATTGGCAGCACTGGAAAGCGAACCCGAATGAACTTTGACTTCTTTTCTGATTCCCGCTGTATGCGACAAATTCTGCACTGAGAGTTATGTGCACATGTTTGAGTGAGAAAACTCTTATTCCTCCACAACATAAAGTTTGAGAGGTAATAGAAACCTCAAGGCGAGGAGAGTTTTAGGTACATTTCATTCTCTCTTGCACTATCCAGTCTATGTACTTGCAATGGCCAGTAAAGCCTTTCGAAGGCATCGGATATATAAAGAGCAAATTAAAAGGGGAGGGATGGACAGCAGGGAAGACGCTATAAAACTGCAGCATTTTGTTTGACTACTGGTGTAAGAGCTGCCTGCCCTTGAACCTCGGACTTCAAGAGAGGGTTGGTTGCAGATGGTTTATTTGGCAATTGTTACAGGAGGAATGGGGATTGGGGTACAGATGAGCCGAATAGGAGTTATCAACTGGAGACACCTCACCGTCTTCGTGCACGTGATTCACGTTTTCAATCGGTTTCCGCCTCTCTCCTATAAAGTCCAATTAAACAAACTAGTATATATTACAACTGGTATCAGCCATACAGATTTATGCGGCTTTGTTTTTACTCTCTGCAAGCTGATTGCAGTGCCGTGCAAAAATCCTCCTTTTTTCCCCCCTCCCCTTTTGAGACGCTGCAGCAGTCACAGTGATAACAGCCAGAAAAGCTAAATCCTAATAGCTTTCTGTTAGAAGAAAAATTAAATACTGCGAAGATTGTACGTTAAATATTTTCTATTGGAAAGTCTGAAAAAACCATGTCTGCAACGCCTCAAGACATTCCACCAGGACGAAGTCTGCATTGACATGAACAGAATGAATATCATCTAAAAAATAAAAGGGAAATGAGCCTTAACTTGGCCCAAATTACGATTCGCGTGTTCAAGGGCCGGACAAATACAAAATACATCATCAGACATCAGGTAGTCACATGCGCAAAGTATTGCAATATTATAATCGAACTAACGACAATGACAAAAAGAATGCCAAAAAACTTCTAAGTAGGCAAAACACACTTCCTATATTAAGCAACATTAAGTTGAAGGAATTTGAACTTTTTTCTTCAATTTTCAAATAACCAATTGCGTCCTTGTCATTGTAAGGTTTAAGTGCGCTGACTCACCACTAGGCACTTCCAAAATCCGGCTGTTCGTCGCATATGTAGGGCGGTGACGAAGTTCTCTATGTGCATATATCGTAGGAAAATATAATGGCTTTGAAAGGGTGTGTGGTATTTTCACCCATTTATATTCGCTCTTATAAAAGCACACTATGGGGATACGTTGCTTCATTTAAGCAAGAAGTCTGTTATGCTTGCCAGATTTCAAAATTCAATTTTTCATTTTACTTCACTGGTGGAGACTTAGGCGGACGAAGTACAGCATAACGGTACGGTCAGTTTTGTAGCGGATCTGGTCGCGCGCTGTCAGCATTATTTGAATTTAGGCAAGAGGGGTCAAGGCATTTTATAGGCAAGAGAAGTCTTGGTACGTAGATGGGATTAATGTATTTAGCAAAGGGGAGGCTACCAGGGTTTTGATGTGGTTCCAAAGTACATCCACATGCGGCAAGGGCAATTCGGTAACCTAAGTGTCTGCAACCAAGAAAATAGGGCTTTATGATCACTCGCAATATATGGAACTAAACTTACACCCATACGAACCAAAGCGAGTATTATAAGCTACTGATGACATGTCCGAGTTGGCTTTTTCTAATCGAGTTTTCGTGTACAAGCTGTATGGATAATTCAATATTAGCAGATAGTTTCATCTAACGATCAACTACGTTAGTTGCATTGTCATTTGTATTAATTCGCAGCTTCGTTATCTTAAATTTCACGAGTTGCAGTATTTCTTACCCCAACTGAGTGGAATTAACAGTTGTAAGTATGCGCTCATTCCCTGTATATGTCGCTTTAGAGCTTTTCAAAAAAAATAATAATTTAGTAATATAGCATGCTATGGTATGTGCATGGAAGGTCTTCGCGAGTGTCAAGTGTCACTCCATACTAATTATGAATGGGTTTAAGGGTAAGTCACTTAAAAAAAACATTAGTTGAACAATGCTTGAGGGGAACTTAGCAACACAGGTTTTAATCTGAAAATTTTTATGTCCCAAGCAGGTCATGTCCAGATTTTTCGCAAATTAAAGCTGTATGCTTCGACGTCGATTCAACAGTATGCCTAGACGAGGGCGTTGATGTGCTTGCAGCGTATTGCAACAAAGGAGAGATCGTGAGTCAAATGTACGTCAACACTTTTCTTTCTCCTGCCACTGATTCCTTGCCACCCCCCTTGTGCACTTCAAGGTGATTTGCTGGGTCGATCTAACAACATTCGACAATTATCCCCGCTTTTGATTCCACTGTCACCTACTAACTTGCAGCTTAAGACCCTGTGAGTTGCAGTGGAAGGTATTTGCTTTGTCGCGAAAATCAGGGAACTCGACTTTTGTGGGGTGGAGCAGACATTGGGTGCAGTCGTTGATAGCTCAACTTCGGGGTCTTTCCGTTTCAGAACAACACAGGCCATGGATGGAACAATGGACGTTACAGAGGCATTGGAGCAACGGTTGAGAATATTGGGACTTTCCAAGGATTTGATAAGACGGTTCCTGGAAGACACTCCTCTGCGACTCACTCCGGGTGTTGAGTAGGTAGTCTGCGGTTGATGCTGAGCGTTCACCGTGGTCTGGTTGTGCTCTTAGCACGCATCACAGTCCCACCTTTAATGCGACCATATGTCCCTTCTTAGTGCTTTCTATTTGCATCTTTCTGTGCATCCTGAACGAGTGTTGGGCTTATTTTGGACAGCTTGCCAAATGCACCGGACCTATGCATTGAATGACACTGATTTGTACGCATTTGTCCTAGTGTTGGTTGGAGAGCATGCTGTAGTTGAGGGCAGTCCGTAAAGCAAAGCTGTGGGTGCTGCAAGCTAAGTGGGACATACAATCTTCGCACACTTTCCTCATTTCAGACGGCTCATCGCTTCTCTGCGATCGAGCAATGTGGAGGTGTATCTGGTGAGTGGCGGAATTTCGGAGTTGGTTGACCGTGTGGCCAAAAAGCTGTGTGTTCCCGAGGATCACGTCTTCTCAAACCGACTTATCTACGACGATGACGGTAAGCATTGGTGGCAGTTGACGATCACTAGCTGCTGGTGTTGTGGGAGCCAGCCTCCTGCACTTGTCCTTTTCCATCTTTTTCCTTCCATGCGTCTTGTGCAACATTTGTTGGGTGCGCCTCTCCATTGGGCCTGCCTGTGCAATTAAGGCGAGTCCATTGTGTGCGACTCATTTTGCCACTGACTCCCACAAATTGATGGCATGATCAACCCAATCATAGGCATTGCGACATGGATGGAGTGAATGGTTGGTGCTGTTGATCTGACTTGCTCAATGGCATCTGATCAATCTAAATCCCTCCAAAAAGAACGTTTCTACTAGTAGTAGTAACCTGTGCACAAGACTTAATTCCCGTGGGTAGTCATAGCACGCTAAATCATGTGATACGTGTGCATAAGGCACCCAATGACCCCATTCCACACTTGTCCTGGTCCCTCAACCAAGCAACGTGCACCAGAGGTGACGCTCAAACACCCACAAGGGCAGGGTGCCAGCCTGACCCGCCTATCTGAACACCGCACCCACCGCTGTAGCATCGCAACAACACCACAGCAATCCCCCACCCATCCCCAAGTCCCAAGAAGCTCGCGATAACTTGAAGTTGATCTCAGCATTACAAAGTCGTGTAGCCTAGTCAATTCAGACCATCGTAACCTCAGGAGCTAGCATAAGTCATGCAAATAAGGAAGGTAGTTTTATTGGTGGCATCCAGAAGACTGCAATGTCAATAACTTAGCCAGGTGGGGTCAGGAGTCTACGACACTCGTAGGGCGGTCCAATTGCAGGTGACATTCTACCACCACAGTACTGTGAATGTTGACAGGCGTGGCAGTGGACTTCGACCGACAACAGCCGACCTCTCGTTCGGACGGGAAGAAGGAAGTGGTGGCAACAATCAAGTCCCAACTGAGTGGCGAGTCAAAGACGGCAGGTGTACTGATGGTGGGTGACGGGGTCACCGATGCCGCTGCCTGCCCTCCTGCCGACGCCTTTCTAGGCTTTGGTGGCGTCATTACTCGACCCTCCATACAACGTGCCACCCCCTTCTTCTTTCACTCTTTTGACGAGATGCACACATTTCTCCAGCACTGTGGCCTCATCATCCACCCGCCCTAAGCCTTCCCTACCAAATACACGCTAAGCATCACTCTCACTCTTTTCCCTACGCAACCGTTATTGGACCAAGCTCTGCCACGATATGAGTCAAATGGAGGAGGAGGGGTCGGAAGCAATGATGCGATGAGGGCAAGATTGTAAAAGTCACTGCGTAGATACATAGCCACGGAAAGATGTTCACATTCCCACGTTCTGCTTGTCCTCCAGTTTCTTTTTGACAAGCGCCTTAAATTGTGCCTGCAATTTGGCCTCCCGTTTGGCCCTCTCGGTGTGGTTGAAGCTCTCGAGAGCTCGCTTCTCGTCCGCAGAGTAGATCTGATTTTCCTTCCGCAATCGCACCGCTTCCATGCGGTGATGGCGACTGCCCGACATGACGTAGCCCACTTGTTCGAACTTTTCAATCTCTTCTGAGGTGAGACCAATCTCCCCTCGACGCGGTATACGCTTCCCCTCTGCAATGTATGCCGCCATTGCAGCACCCTCACCGGGCAGGAGCGCCTTACCGTAGTCGATTCGCTGATTAGTCGAGTCCGCGCCATTGGCTCCTGGCAGCACCGGACCAATGATCTCAGTCGCCTCTTCCTCCTCTTGCCGTCTCCTCTCAAGCTCAGCTTTTTTCGCTTTCATTTGACGTATAAATGATCTCGCCTCGTCTTCCTCACTATCAGCACTGGAAGAGGAGGTGTTGGACGAGGAGGAATTCGAACTAGAATGATGATGCTTTTTCTTTTTTCCTTTCCCATGATGATGGCGATGATGGTGATGGCGCTTATGTTTTCTGCTCTTCTTAGTCATGTTCTCACCTTTCTTTCCCTTCTCAACTTTTTGATCAAGGGGGGGAGTGGACGGTGGTAGAGGACCCTCGCGCGTAATTTCAAAATATTCATCCTCCCCTGAATCTGTGTAGGGTTCTTCAGGAGGTGGTCCCCATATCTTTCGATTTGTTGATGCGCCTGCGTCTTCTCTGGCTTGGCGGCGATTTTGCCAAAATTCGGGTGTCTGATATCCTATTTCGAATGGCTTATATCTACGGCTGTGTTGGTTATAGTAATCACCACTTGGCCTCTTAAATTCATTTCCGAACGGTGAGAGTGATCTCTGTCGATGCCTTGAACGGCGGCTTTCGCCGAAAGGAGAGCGAGATCGATCGCGGTGATGCGATGAATGATACCGAATCCCAGTTGACATTGCGGTAAACCCTAGTACAAAATGACAAACAGACGTAAGAGTTGTGAAAGCTACAAAATGCACTTTAATATTGTTGTGAGATATAAGTAGGGAAGTATGCTTTCCTATGCCTTGCTGAAAGCAACGCACCTTTTCGTCCGTCTCAATTTATTTGACGTTTTTATATAAAGCTGGTTTCTTACAGCACAGTAAAACACCTTTTTCAATTTGCAATTTTTTGAGCTTATTGTTTGCTTGGGCTAAGACTTATGTTAAATTTTTTGCGCATATTTTTTTCTCTTATTGCCATGTTTTTAGCCTTCTTTCTTGTATAAGACCGCTTTTAGCTATACTGAACACATGATTTGCCACTTGATTGGGTTGTAGCTTAGCCCTTGAGCTAAAAGCAATCCAAATTTAAAGTAATTGATGGACTTGTCTGGCACACTGCTCATACGATTTTTTTAATAACGTCCTTTGTCCGTCTATTGGCATACCTCCCGCGCGAAGCATGTGCTTTTCTGAAATGTAGGTTCATATGACAAACTGTGGGTAATAGAACGGACGCCATCGAAAAATAAATGAACTTGCTCTTTATTCCAACACTTTTAGACCTCTAAGACTTCCCGCCACGTGGACGAGGATACTAATTTGAGGTGACCGCTTGTACTCTAAGAGGTGATGATTGGGTCTTGGCCAGACGTCAAGAGGGACCTACATTGACATGACTATGCGCTGCTGTACCCAGCTTAATTCTCAACTTCAATTGAATCACTCAATTCCTTCCATACCTCCTGACTTCCCTTCATTCTTCAACATTGACAGCATTACACCAAATCTGGAACCACTACCTTTAATCTTGACAAACTAGACATAGCTGCAAATCACCCTTACCCTCGCGTTATTCCTCCATAAGAGAGAAGACATGTAAAAAGTAATAATCTCACGTTAGTAAAGGCACCTAGTTTCATGATTGAGCAGTCACCACGCGCGCTGGCGGGTGGGGAGGGGGACTTTGATTTTATCAATGCCTTAATCCAATATAGAGTTGGTGATTCGCCGGATCTTCAGTAAGAGCCCCAGATAGATTGGGGATATGAACAAGCCGCGGTTCCAACGGAAGTCGAGTGCTGCTAGACGCACTACGAGACCATCGCACCCGTACGAGGTGATAGCGCCAGCCTGAAGTGCGTGCAAATGCTGCCTCAGCGAGAGAGATTTCGAAAAGTTCAGGTCTCTCATTGCCTTCACCCTCCTCCTCCACCATTCCCGTCGACTTAACCTCCACATAGATTGGACCAACCAGAAGGAGGTCCGGTGAAGTTGTAGATCTTCGGATCAAATTATCTCTCACTTCAGCATTCAGCTCTATTCTTGCTGTAGGCATAGATCCATGAACTAAAATAGAGGGTGGAGTAAATCACCAAGTAATAGAGAGGTAGATACAAACAATGTACCTTCAAGGAAGACTATGAGGTCATAAGGAAGCCTCGACTCTCCGTCGCCGTTGACCCATCGCACCTCGACCAGGCGACCCAAGCCAAGAAGAGAATGTCCAGATGGGAAATCGAAATCATGGTTTCTCTTCATTCGATCCAAGTAAATCTCGTAAACTGCCTGCTCCCCCATTCGTCCAATGTCCATTTTAGACGAGGAGACGTGAGCGGAATAGGGGAGAATGGAGTCCAAGCTCGCGGAACTCCTGAGTAGACTGCACCCGAATAAGCTTGAGCGCAATGAAGGGATGGATGGTGTTGACACACTAGAGCCACTATCACTTTCCAGAGCTGTGAATAAATTGAATGAGTATAGTTTTGACCATAACTTTAGTAGTTAAACCATTCTCACTGAGTCATCAAATACGCCGAGCACTAAACAAATACTTAAAAAGAAACAGTAGCATCAATATGTTGATCCCACACTTATAAAGTAAAACGGAGATTATGGCAACTACACATTTACAGATCCATAAGTTATTATACCGAAAATTTGACCGAAGAGAGGCATGATCCGTATTGGCACAGGAAACCGAAATACCATGTGGAAGATCTGTCTACACGACTCTAACGTCATTAAGGATGTTACGGAACTTCCATATCATCATATTTTAAACCTATTTGTAAAATATCAAATATTTCCCATGGCCCCCAGTGATCCACGGCTGTCGCGCACAAATCCTCGACCTAGAGCCACGACCATTAGAGAGTGCTAGCACCACCACTCACCAAGGGCTTCGAAAATGGGAGTCTGGAAGCGCGTTGAACAACCAACACTCGCATGCACCTGTCGATTTTGAGATGATGATCTCAAACTCATATGCCCTATGGCAACAGATTTCGCGGATTCAAAGAGAGTGGAAGGTGTAGTGGGGGGGATCGGAGTCGATGCATCCGGCACGATACACCGGAGGAGATCGACAAGGTGGCGACTGCCACGAGGTATGCAATGGGAGAGAAAATAGGTACGCAGTTGACGTGTTACTTCCTCCCTTGGCAACGAGGACGACAACAGAGAGGTCCTCAGATTTAGAAGACCTTTCGCAAATTGTCTGAAAGGGAGGGAGGAAAGTGGAAGAGAGAACTTGATGGCCTTAAAAGCGTGTCTAACTCCTTAGGGCGGTCATCAGGCACATCAGGTAGCGAGAGTCAATGTCTTACTATTAAGCTCAAATTAGTTCAAGACGACTGTTTTCGAAAGGAAGGGTGACAAAAGGCATGGTCCAAATTTTGGGTTATTATAAGCAACGTCAAGCCAGGTTGCCTAGACAGGTAACAGTGAATTAAAGTGGGGCCTTTTCAGCGTTTTAAGACGAGTTCACAAATGGCAATGACAACCCACAGCACTAGAAAGCAGATTTCAAGTTACGGAGTCGCGAAGTTGATATTTTAAGCCTCGAATTTCTGATGCCTGTTTTGTGTGAAATGGATACTGGAAGCATTCTTTTTCCAGGAGATTCAGTTCCCATTTTACAAGCTCAGACTCAGAAGTTGACAAATAAGCCAAAGTACTCTCGCTTCACGTCGAACTTTGTTAAGTTTCAACGCGTATAGGAAAGTTGCTTTCCAAGACAAACTTTGAATGACACTCACAGGAGAGAAACCTGAGCACTGTGGTTGGTTGGGAAGGAAGCTCTGGCCAATTCCGTCAATACCTCGTTATACACTGCATTGTTAGCTCCAAGGAAGAGCGAAGCAGTACTGCTATTGTCATCAGTGATAGTGAGATCGGCTTCAAAACGTTTGTCCACGTACAGTTTGCCCTTCCAGAAGCGACAGACAACGTCGAAGAAAGCCCACTCCTTTACGGCATCCGATGGCATATCATTCTGTCGGTCGAGAGTCAGCTTTAGCATCAAATTTGGCAACTAAGGGAGGAAGAGGTATACGTAATTAGCTTTTGCCGTGAGTTTGTAGTAGTCTCTCTATGCCCTTTGAGCTACCGCTCCCTTAGCTATCCCAGTCTTGAGTAACACACCATGACGACAAAGAGAGCGGGACAATATCTCGACGATCTGCATAAGAATATAAAATAATACACTGACATGGATCGAAAAGGGGTGTCGAAGAAAGAAATGAGCATAGGAAAATGACTTATGAAATTATGTTCTGTTGGCAATGACCGACCATCATAGGAAGCAACCATCGAATCCTTGGGATGTGGTCTTAAAAGTTGTGACGGACAAAAGAGTTATCATCTACGAGGACGTTATTACCCTTGGAAGTAGAATAGCTAACTGTTGCAACAGAGATTTGATACATGGCCCTTGTTTCTGACTCTCGTGCAGCGTTTCAAACAGGTACTTTAAAGCAAATTACTAGGCGGTAGAAATCCCTCAGCCGTGGTCACTCCATACGGTCATGGTGGAGTCATGTCTAGAAAAGTGCAGTGAAGCATCTGTAGAGATGACTCGGCTGCTACAAGTAGAAAAGTTACGTTGTCATCGAATAATAAAAAAAAAATGACCCTCAAATCGGCAAATTACAAATAAAAAACCTCTTAGCTATTAGTTATGGAAATTGAAGACGAGTAGAAATTGACGCCTATACCAGAAAAGCTTCCAATATGCTGTCCGAAGATGCAGCGGTAGTGATGAAAGCAGCGGTAGCGTCAGCGCAGTGGTGGTGAGCATTGGCGGACGAGAGCCAAGTAAGGGTGAGGAGACGAAAATCATTCATCAGGCGGGTGAGGACTGGCGATGGAACTGCAAACCTAAGCAAACTACTCTCATCACCAGGAATGTACTGCGACTCAGACATTCCTATACTCTCTGTCACGGACCTTTCTAAAACCTAGGTAAAAGCGGTAGAGGCAACTGAAAATATATCCCAACTCAATAGAAAATGAAAACTAGTTACATCAAGTATGAAATGGTAATATGCCCATTTAAGGGCCTTTCGACATTGTAAGGCACAAATGTGGGGCGGTATTAATGCAAGAAGTTCTGTGGCAGTACTATAAAAAAAACAATTACAAAATTTTAACAGGATTCGATAGTTTTTAATTCTCATATTCAGTGCTTGTGAGGATGGGAACAACCAAAACCTTATCTACTCCATTTACTGCTTCCATTCACGACAACCGAGTGATTAGAAGTCTTCTAAGTATTCTCTTTAGTTCCAATAGTGGGTTTCTCAACTGCAACCTTCAATATAGTTTGTCAAACCACCTTCATATGATTAAAGTCTTCCTAAATTTAAATCCAAAAATTAAGACAACAGAAGTACCTACAGGTAGACGTAAGACGTTGAGGAGGAATGAATGTGAATTTGATATGGGCACGGATTGGCTTCCGGACGTAGAGTGCTCAGTGGCATCTCTGAGGATCTCTAAACTATGGCCAAGAAGACAATTACGCGGAAGCATGGAAGCCAAATCGGCTGCGGACCAGGCAAAGAGCAGTTCTGCGCCCGTGGAGCTTGTCGACTTTGGAATAAAAAAATGGGTGAGCATTAAAAAAGCCACTGATAAAGTAAATGCAGAAAATTAAGAGAAAGAGGAAAAAAGTATTGCATATGAAAAAGAATGCTTACTAATCGTTTCTTTAAAAGTGAAAAGTTTAATGGTGCAACTCGAAAATTTAAGTGGTAATTGTCAAGCCACCCTAGTAAAAAAGACAAATTTGAGAACAAAAACAGCAGAGTACATTGCAAATTTCGCGCAGAGGTATTGAAGAGGGAACCAAGGATTTGAATACATGGGAAGACCAACAAAGGAATGAAAAGTTAAAATCCCAGTACTGAAAACTCGCGGGTTCAAACCGAGAAATTCAAGCCACATTAACTAACTAGTCAGTTTGTTGATCAAACACCACCTGAAGAGGATATAGCGAAGAATGCTAGAGAAAAGTTAAGTGTTTGCACTTGTTTAAATCCAACAGTGTCACAGTTATCCTCACGCTCTAAATTTAAGGAGACCATCCAAACTCCAAACGCATACGAAATCAAGGAATTTGAAATTAAACCAGAATAATGAACGGCAGCAGAAGTCAAAACTCACCGAGCTAAATACTTGATTGGGAACACGCCAAGTGCCAGTCATATCATAAAGAAGAGGGAAGTTATATATGGCCGCAACAAAACTATCACCTTCCTCAGTAGCGATAGAGGTGGTGCTGGAGTGTGCGACAAAGCACCGATTAATGACGCTGTACCAGGCAGCGAGACGACGGCCAAACGCCTCCTGAGCAGAGCGCCATTTGCTAGGGTTCGTGTCTGGCGGAGCGGAGGGTGGAAACGGACGCTGAGAGAGTACCTCCTCCAATGAGGATGTCAGCGGCACCTGGTTTGACAAAAGTTCGTGGGATGCGAGTCATTTCATTGTAATGTTATTATGCACTCGCCTCTACATTGTGTATCCACTAATCTGACTAATTATAGACCAGATCTCAGCGTTATGAAAGTAATTCTAGGAAAAAACAAATGGACACGCAATACTTATCAATTAGCACTAAAAATTTACTCCAACAATTATCATACAAGGTGACGAATGTATTGTGGGGCTCCGTAATTAAAAAAACCACCTACCCTTAGAATCTTGCAGAAGAAGTTCTTCCACTCAGGCCCATAGATGTCACATAGTGGTACCCTTCGATCAAAAGACGACCAATGTGGGGCAAAAGCCGAGGTCGGGTTCATTGAAGGTACCGGAACTTTTGAATAACCATCGTAATCATCATCTGCTTCTACACCGGCTCTTACTTCATAAACGACATCGAAACAGTCGAGAGGAGGCAGCCGCAGCTCTTCCCAACAAGTGCGGTGCGCAGGAGCCAGGTGATAGGGGTGCGTGCGTGCTGAATGCCTCTTCCGACACTGACTATTGACTTGAGGTACACAGAAAGAGCAATAAGCCGCCGATTCCTCCTCTTTTCGGTCGAGGTCCACATCATCAACGAGCTTCTTACGCCTTTTGCAGGTGCTGTGAGCTGAGATACAGGGAACGAGGAGGGCAGAACTGAAAATGCGATGCAGTACGTCAGGACGTGCATCTCCAACGACTTGAAGTGCCAGAACATAGACTTGGATAATGGTTTCTACGGTCAGACTGCTTGGTGGATTGCAAGGGTCCTTCGAGAGGTGTTCCATCAAGTGCTGAAGCGGAGAGGCGCTATTGTGTTAAGTGAAGTCCTCGTAATACCAAAACAAATATTACGTTGTGGGAATCGAAAGAACGAATACAAGGGCGACCATCAGTCAATAAAAAAGCTAAATGCTTTAAAGCAGCAAGAGTAAGTAATGAGCGAGCAAAAGACAAGTTACTAAGCAATTACGTAATTCGAATGCCATTTTCCTTACATTTGTTAAAGCTGCTTGAAGAATGGAATGGGGAAAAATCGTTACGATCTCAATCACAAACAACTTGCATCACAACAAACAACGCATACTTTAATAGTAATGAAGATGGAGTGGAAAAATTGAATCACCTGAAAGGTGAACTCATCCAAGACCTGTTTCACTCCGAGAGCAGCAAGCAGACCGGGTGCTAGAGGCTTTTCGGAAGTCTGAAGGCACTGCCAAAGGGGACAAAGTGGAGCAAAAAGAGGAATTGGAACAGTAGCACTCTTTCTCTCCGAGAATATGGTGGACGCGTAGATGGGGGGTGTGGATACGAAATTGGCTGCTGCTATAGCAGATTGGTGATTCTGCGTCGCTGCGACAAGCTGCGTTACATGTTCGCTACCATCGTCGGCGTCAATAGCGAAGGTGAGGCCAAGCCATCTACGTGTGCGCAGTGCCTGCAACCATGAGGAGGCTCCAAGGACAACGCGCTCATACTCGCCCATTCTGTTACATCCGCTATCTTTATGGGCGACGGCCAGCATGCAGCTAATGAAAGAGACCAAAGAATATATTCAGTGCGGTCCACCTGCATAGTAAACACCCAACAGTAATTTTAGCAAGGCTTACTTTACAACAAACGCACGCGATGGAAGCCTAAAGGGAATCAGTTGCCAGAGGCGACCATTACACAGTGAATCAATTCAGTGAGGTAATATTTTCTAGTCTAGCACAAGAATAATGAGTGAAACAGAAGAAGATTATTGAAACACGCGTGAAGCCAAATATTGCTTTAAAAGTGTGCATTGCTAAAAAAAACGCTTCAGTAGACCGCCCGTTAGATAAATGCAAAGATGTCCCAGTGCACACAAAGTGTTGTAATCCAACTTCATCAAAAAATGACATGCATTGAAATGCATCTCGTTATCACATCGCCAATGCCATAGCATCAAATTTACTAGCCCTTTTTCAGAGCAAACTTGTCTATCTCCTGAAATTCCGCATTCGCACCGATAGCGTGCAGATTATGCTCACCATCAGCAGTGGTGATCGCCAAAACTCTTCCCTACGTTGACAATATAACCATTGTAATATCGACAGACTCAAGAAAAACGCAAAATTTGTAGTGTAATCATGAACAAATAAAATAAGGCATAAAAGTTGGTTCTAATATTTGTTTTCAGCTTACCTCTCGAAAGACTGGCTCCAATTTCGACTCAGTAGCTCTGCAACTTTCCCGCAAAGTAGCCTCACCAACTCGTTGGCACCGAACTGTTCAGTTGCTCGCTCAATCAATGGCAGCACGAGGTTCTCGAGGCCTGGGCATGTCCAATCCTCAATAGTGATGTTTCCTTGGCTCTCCAAACTGATCAGAGCAGGAGACAGTTTCAAAGTATGAGTCGATGGGAGGAGTGGAAGGTGGGTAGAAGCCCCATCCAGTTGATATTTACGAAGTTGAAGCGTTTGGATAGTAGAAAGGCCTAATATAAAATTAGAGGTAAGGAGATCCTCATCTTAGTTAAATATTATAACTTTGTACATTTAGGCGATCAGAAACTACAAGATGAACTTACCAGCACTTAAAAGCAAACTCCGCCACTTGTTACAAGCTTTGGGATTGCTTAATCCCAGCGACGAGCCACATGAGGTAAAGTACCTAGAAGATGCCAACAACACAGAGTCGTCCTCCCCTTCACCCAACTCTTTCTTCCCCAACGCTTCCGCACACAACGACATAATGTCATACTCATCGGCGTCTGGGAAGTGTTTCAGAAGGGCGGGAGGCAGAAAGGCCACATCTGTACTAGGATTAAACAATTTCAATGACTTCGCCGTCTCACATACGACTGGTAAACGAAATTTTAACTCTTCGCCCAAGTAGTCAGCAAGGATAATCAGTTGTGCTGCCGCAATAAACCAGTCAGATTCCTGCGTGCGCTGTAGATCAAAGTCGGGTTGTCTTGAGACTATCCAATGATTGATGACGTCGAGGAATGAATGAGCCACAATAAGTCCTAATCCGTTTTCCGAAGCTGTCAAAAATCTTGGTAGTTCGATGGAAGTGCAGTCCGCAGGGTAGATGGATGAGGGAGAAAGTAATGGCCCAAGACGACCAAGCAGTTGCAGGTAGTCACCTGCACATATTAACAACAGAAGCAGGAGTAAGCACCGAATCTAAGAGCCAAAGCTGCTTTCCATTACCAAGTCGATAGCAATGAAGGCAGCCATCAGTGAAAAAGAAGGTAAATGCTTCCCATACAAAATGACATTATGAAGGTGAAGACCTTTCAGGAAATAAAGTAGTGACATAACCAAAATGAATATCGTCAAACTGAAACACCTACTGCGTGTCGAAACCTTTAAGGAAAGAAAGTAAAACCGCTTTCAATGGTACGCGCTTTGAAGTGGGTAGAATAACAAATGTAACATACAAATTGCCTTTTACAGGCCTAATATTTTCAATTTTAACTCTATGGAGGATGTCTTTTGCCATAGAAAAATAATTTTGAACGCTGGAAAACGTTAAAATAGTCAACTAAAAAACACACTGCTTCGGGAGTGGGAGAATAACCGACAATAGTAGCAAGATTGTTTGGCAATGCAGAAAAAGAAAGTGCCACACCATAGAAATTCGTCAGTCGACCTTCCTCTGAAGACGGCGGTTTAGGAGGAATCATGAGACCATTGCGGTGCCTCAACAACCCGTCACAGTTGGCCATAGCATCATCAATCTCCTTCAGGCTAACCAGACGTCCATCGATGAGGGGAAAGATACGTAGACTGCGGAGGTTACGTAAACATCGACTTCGCCAAGCTGAGCGGTCCGTCAGAGGCGTATAGCGGTATTGTTGGAGGGAGGAGGAATGTAGATCAAAGTCGATGTTTGTCAGCAGAGCGTAGAGAAATCCTGGTCGACTTAGTTCTTCTGCCGAACGAAGGAAGGAAGGGGACAACTAAAGACTAGATTGTTACATTTAATGACGGGTGGATTTAAACATGAGAGAGGCAAATGTAGGTCCTGAAGGTAACCACTTTTAATGGCAGCACATAATGATCGAGTTACTCTCAAGTAAAAAGCAAATGATATCTAAATGTTCGAGGGTTACCCAAAAACAGGTATTCAGCTATAAGACCTGCTGAAACATTTTGTCATAAAATAGCTAAGTAGAATTCCAGTGCTAGCTTCGAGAAATGCGTCCTGGAGCAAAAAATCATGGGAATCGAGCTTAGTGTAGAACTAGAAAAAATGCATAAGCACTTTGCGCATTTCGAAAGCATTTAGAATTTTCAACTAAATCCGAGCTCAAACATCGACGCTAGCAAAGTTTGGGCAGTTCAAAATTGAATGTTTAAAATGGCAGTTGGAATTGATGTGGTGTTCTCACCTGTGGACAAGGTGGAAATCAGTTCAACAATGATATCAGCAGAAATGCTCCGTGCCCCAAGACAAAAAAGTTTTTCCGTGCGCCGCTCCAAAGAAATAGTTGCCTTTACCTCCACCTCCTCGTTGTTAGTGGCAGCTTGTGGTGGTACGAGAAATGTCCTATCCAACTCATACATACCCAGCCGGTCAATCAGAAGACGAAATAAATGCTTCTCCGGAGACACCGGGTCATCGATCTGGACGAGAGAAGTAAAAACAAAATTAATTTATTTTAGTCCTCGAAGTTTGGGGTTCAGAATTAATGTGATCCATTTGAGGTCGTAATTATATTAAGAGTCTAATAATATAGGAAGGTAGAATTATCAAAACTTCAGACACCAGCGTTATGTTATTACACAGACACAAGTTTCGCAGAAGAAGCAGTTAGGCAGTAGACACTTGGAAACTGTGAAACGTGAATAGTGTTGGACAATAAAGACGTTACGCTTCAAGATTCCAGTGGCAATAAACCGAAGCGGACACATCGAACCAAAACATCAGTACTAAATAAAGAACAATTAGCAAAAAAAGGCATCACTCTGCTGGCATGAATGGAATATAATTGCTTCACGGCAATGTTTAATGGTAACTTCTAGAGGACAAAACTGTATGAAATGCAAAGGGACTTATTCCTAGCTTGTAACATTGGTTGAAATTTCCTGAGAACCTATCAATTGAAAGAAGCATTCCGACATCCTTTGAAGCCACTCAACTGGACGAAATGGGCAAGTCGTCCACTGACGACTGGCATTGACACCGAAAACTATCTCAATTTCCCAACCTCACGTAGAACATCTTTCAAATGCGGTTAAACCCAGGAATCCTAAACCACGGCAAGTGGCTGAACTCTGGGACCGACGTAAATGCCCATTGTTTAGGGTTAAAGTGAGTAAAGTAGACCTGATTATACATTCATATGAGACTGAAGAAAGTTATCATGAACGCGCTATCGATTCGACACTCCCGGTAGATGAACGAAATTAAGCACTAACCTGAGACGAATTCGGTGAAGTAAGGAGAACTTTGTTGGGGAGTGAAAATTTGACATCACTCAGGACAGGGAACCAGGGAATATTGGACAGCTTCTTACGAATCTTTTCTTCCAAACAAGCAAATATTCCCATCGATGAGGCGCTTGTGCATTTTTTTATCGGAAGGCACTCAAGAATTCGACCCAAAATCTCACATTGCGATAGTGGAATTAGGTCCGAAGTCGACATCTGTTTAAAGGAGTAAAGGAGTGGGTAAAAAAGGACCAAATTTTAAGTATTCGCATACCTTGATGACGCAATTGATAAGGCTTTCAAAGACAGTAGGAACTTGGTTAACCAGGTACTGATTCCACACACTGCTTCCATCAACATCCTCTCGCGAGGAAGTCAAATCGAAATCGGCTAAAAAACCCAAAAAGAAAGGGAACGCATTCGCACAACTACGGCCCGGATACTAGGGTTAAAAGAGAGGAATTTACCATTAAGCAAAAATTGGAATTCAGTGCTCCGAACAGGAAGAAATGCGTAGACTGGAAAAGTAGGGAGTGGAACTTCGTTTGATAGGGGAATGGCTATTGTGATGTCAGTGTGACGTGGAATATTCTATTCGAAACAAAACCGATACATCAACAAAAATATGTAAACTTTAAAAAACTGTGATGTCGGAAAATACCTCGATTTCAGATGAGTCTTGAAAAAGTTGCTTCAATTTGTCTATGGCAACAGAGACACTATGTCGAAGAAGAAGCCACTTTGAAGACTGTTGACGTCCATTACACATTTCTGTGATGGTGAGTAACTTGAGGAAGGAGGGACTAGGACCATCAAGTGCAAGAATTAGTCTACTCTTTCTTTCCAATTGGAGGTCCAAGTTAATGGGCAAATCCTATAAAAAAAAGAGAATAGCCGGAGAGGACAGATTTTCAAACCTGAAGGAAGGGAGGGAACCACTTGCCGAGGTCTTGAAAACAATGCAATCGATGCGTCGAAGGAAAAGAAGGAGGTGGTGCGTGAGAAGACGACGAGCGAATGTCAAGACAGACTCTGCTACAGTTGAGGAATCCTGGGCGACTGAACGGAGAGGCAGCCTAAATACAGTCCTCCACTTCTCCAAATCGCAAGAGGGGGAGGCAATCCACTCAGGTGCGAGGATGGACGTAAAAGTGCCGTCAGATTTTAGGTTGCGACAAAAGCGCACATGAAAGCCGTTGGAGTGCACCTCAGGTGCGTCAGACACCGCGAAGACAGACTTGAAACCGATACCCTTGCGGCCTGAAACGATAGATTAAACGGTTCTTTACCTGATAACGCTCTCTCTGATTCGGACTCACTTTTCCGAGACTTCAAATCGATAAGCGGCGATGATGATCCTTATCAGAACTGGAAAGGTGGACGAAAGATCAAACATGCAAATCTGCCCGATAAAATGATTGAAAAGATGACACAGGAGCAAATTATTTATGTGCGCATTGCTTCCACGAGGCGACAGAAAGCACGCTTTTACGTCAGCAAATCAAGCGAAAACGACACTGAATGTAACTATACGTTTGTACATTTGTTCGCTATGGGGTTTAGTAAGAGAACGAAAAGAACTGCTAGGTTTGAAGTTATCCAGAGGGAGCTGATAGCGGTCCAAAAGGATGAGTATGAAACCTAGTGAGAAAAATGAATGAATACAAGAACTAGCCCTATCCATTCCATTCAAAAGTCCATGTGACAACTGTAAAAAGTCGTCCTACTTTTGTTTGGCATAGCAAATGGATAGTGCCATTTTTAGTTAGTGTAAGCATTTTATTAAAACTATCCTGTGTGCTCCCCACTTCTTGCAATGGGGGAGTTACTACAGCAACTATTGGCAACACCAACAGAATATTTGCTTTCACAATCAAGAGAAAAACCCTTTGAAACTCGAAACTGACTCTGACCGTATGGGATTCCACAATCTGACAAGCGACAACAGATTTTAAAATAGGGAAAAAAATGTTATTTTCTAACCAGTCTTGTCCTCGCGATGCCCAATCTTGGTGCTCAGACCAATATCGCAGAGAGCGGAGATATCAGCCGGAGAAAAGCCAACGGCCTCATTGTTACCTACCATGAGGGCGTCAGGGGAGAGGATGAAGTGCGCACTCGGTATGACATTTGGCGTGTAAAGATTGTCATCAGCGTTCTGAAGTAGCTCCAGGATAAAATGCCCCTGCTGACCATACAACTCGCGTGAGAGGTGGTCCAGACTACGGCAGAGACGACCCTCGAGGCGCTACAATGGTTATAGTAAGAATCCGTCAATATTGAAACTATCAAGAGATCATCAAATCTGCTTCCAACTGCCTCTGAGAAAGGACCATGCATGCCAATGTTACTGACTACACGATTCTTCCCCACACAGGATGTGAGGTCTTGTAGTTATCCGAATAGGCATCTTTGGCTACTGGTGCCGCCCACTAAGTAGCGCTTAAAGTATGAAAAATCGTTGCAATAGTAAGTTATAATGGAATATGTTTAACGGTGGTAAATCCCCATACACAAGGTTACCTTCAATCGTTTATCTCAGCGACAAACATAGCACAAGTCATAGATAAGACTTCGGGATATTTTAAACTCCGACTATCAATGCGGATTTATTCAGGTAATAACTATGATCGCTGCATATTCAGGGATCAGTACGCTCCAGAAATTTTTGAATTAAGTCAAGAAACCTCCATATCCTACACGAAGAAGACTTGAAGTCTTGGGGTCTAACTCAACCCCCAGACCGAATTCGGTTCTTCGAAGATTCTCCACGAATTCACGACAATCGGTGCTTTCTTCACCAGCTATGGAGCTTTCCGCGGAATGGGCATCGAACTCTGTTACATCGTGCAAAGAGGGTTCCATTACGTCAGCTGATAAAATTTGTACAGATGGGAGTGGAGTTTTATGAGAAGGCTCCAGATAACTGGGAACGAGGCTTTTCTAAAAACGCGAAAGAGCCATATAACGTACATAGACCCAATTTTTTGTCTCAACAGCAAAAGGAACCCACGGTGAATTGGCAAGACGGTGCGTAATCCACATGTTCAGCGGACGGCAGACGATGTGCCTTGAAGAGCTCTATCCAGTGAGACCACCCAAGCTGGCCACCAACGACACCGATGCCGGTGACGATACGATCTTTCTCATACGATTGCGTTGCCGACCTCACGAGGTCTTCAAGGCCTTCTCCCCTCTCCAGGAAGACAAAAATTTCCGCAAGTGCAGGAAGGAGAACCTTGGAAGATTAAATATGCAAAACCCGGTTCTGGGTTAACTATGGGATTCATACGAAGTTTCATATTTTAATTTAGGTGAAACCATACCTTGGAAAATAGGACGCTGAGCAATGATAAGGGTGTTGTAAGAATTATACGGCGTATGAGATGGTTCCACACGTCTTGAACTATAATTTTAAATCAGGATATTAAAAACAGCTATGCATACCAAACAACCTTCCATTTATGAAACCAATTAGTTTGAAGTGGCTTACGTGGAATTGATCTCAGTTTAGCACCGATAACGTTGATACACTCAGTCGGGGAAATGAAATGATTAACACAGAGAGTAGACCCAATCAGCAGATCACAGAGTTCACGAGATGCAATGTATTCCACCTCAGCGCTTACAGTCGAAGCACACTTTGACAGGTTGGCGTCGAGATCACCTAGTGACCCATTGACACTCAATCGAACGTATCCATAGCCAGCAACTTTGACCACAGCCATATTGTATTTCTCGCAGACTAGGCCAATCAAATGAAATAAGTAAATCCCCTGTTCACTCTATTGACAAATTAGTTTAACTAAAATACTAAAGCATTAAATGATCCAGGTCCTGATGCAAAACAAAGTACCTTCGGCGTCAGCGGTGACGTCACTTAGGAATTCATCAAAAGGGCCCCAATATGAAGCGAGAGAATTGGGACAGAATGACCAAAGACTCCACTTATCAGGATCCTCGAGGACCGGACACGAAGCGAGTAAACACAAAACAGCAGAACGTTGAGTGAACAATGTCGGAGGCATTTGTGTGCTCTCCGTTCGGGAAGTCAAGAAGCTCCACTCCTGAGGGCTAACAAAGGGTTAAAACAGTCAGAAGAATTAGGAGCAAGCACGTTTAACACAAGTTCAATTTCAATTATATTCTTTTCAGCCAAATCAGTGAGGCCCTTAGAATTTTCGCCACTTCATTTGGTAGCGTCGAATAAAGCGAGCCCGGTGTTTGCCGAAAGTGGTGCATTTTGTAACTGGAATTAGGTGAGTTTGGTCACAAATAGCATCTATGCAGGAAAGGTGGCACTTTTTGAACCCGACTCTTCATCATTAGACTACGTGTGGATCGCAATTTCATTAGCAAAAGCTTCTCGGGGCAGAAATCCCCCCTTCTCACCAGCGAACAAACATAAAACAAGGCAGAGTACCTAATTTTAAAGCTCAACATTGAGAGTATTCAAGAAGCCTAATAAAAACTGAAAATTAAATGAACGCAATGCAGAGAATGGATAAGTAGACAGTGTTTGTACTGGCTATGATAACAGTGGGTCCTTACGTTTTCAATACAACCTAAGTCATTGTAGAACGTTTACCAATATCAACGAATGCCTAACTAGCTGGAGATTGCATCCTGCCTCTAAGGCACAACAAATAGTATATTTGAAAGGGTAATTAGATTTTCAATTTATTGCATGGAAATGTTGGGGTCACGGGCGTGAAGCATACGTACTGAACCAAGAAACGACATTTGTCTGAGGAGACACAAGCATCAGTGAGAATGCACTGAACCAACTGCAAGGCACTCGGAGACCTTGGAATGCTCAGATACTCCATCACCAATCTCATCACGGCCTATAAGCAAAAAATTAATCGTGGATCAGAGACGAAGTAACGACAAACAATGGAAAGAGAATTTAATTAAAATGCAGATACCTCACCGGAACGCTCTGTCAGGTAAGTTAGATGACGAAGAAAACCGCAGATGCGAGGAACTTCCGCCATCTTGTCGTCTGAGATCACAGACACTGCTTCAGTTGATTGCTGCGCTTGAGGTTGAGTGGATTTTGATTGCCCACCGATATAAAGACACTGAAATTACACAATTAAATAGTGACCACGAAATTCCCACTGGTATTTTAACAGTTGACCAAGTTCAAACAATAACAATAAAGACTTCTACCTTCGGTTTCGATCCGTCAAAGCTCTCAGCGGAGGCTTCAGCAAGCCATGCAAGGAGAGTTTTACCAGAACAAACGTTGAGTTGCCTTTCAAGATCAGCCAAGCTTTGCCAAGGCACTTGTGGACCCACGGATTCAGTGGCGACTGTGCTTGAAAAAGCCTCATAAAAGTCGTTGAAAGAATTTACGATGTCGACCAGTGACCTAACCTTCTTCACCTCCACCCTGTCCTCCTCAAACGAATCAATTAGTGGAGGGTCTGGTGCTAGTTGGAAAAGGTTAGAAAATCCGTTTACAAAACATAAGCATACTTGATGGATCCTTAGACTGACATCATGAAAAAACTGAATTGAACCGAGACTTTAAAAAATTATTTAAGTGCATATCCTTACCATCACTGTCTACATTGCGAACGACACCTTCATACAGTTTCGGTGGCATTACCCGGGGATTGAAGGCTTTAGAATCGCAATACGTCAGCACCAGATGCAAAATTGACCTGAGTGGCTGCAAGAGGGCATGAAACAAGTGATATATTGTAGTGCTTATACATCCAAATCGATGAAACTTTGACCATCTAGAGATGCTTACACCCTTCCTGGCAAAGTCGTCAAGAAAGTCTGCGAGGGAATGAAGAGAATCTAGATAGTGAGGGAGCCATGTGAGACTATTTTCTTCGGCCCAGGACTCGAGATTCCTGTGAAGATTTCTGCAGTTGCGTGCTAGCTTTCGAAGGGCAGTCTTCGGCTTCTGACGTCGTATTTCAGCTTAGAAGTAAAAGAAACGCCTTTATTACTGGCTATACCAAACCAACAAGGCCTCAAATAACCAGCGCGAGATGCTTGTTTACTGAGGGTGAAGTACACTCCTAAATATTGACATACCAAATCAGCAATATCCATGTTAGGGCACTTAGAAACTAAAGTGAGACATTCTCCAGAAAATACAACGAAATGAAATAAAGCTAATAACAACAACTACTTACCAACAGCATGGTCGGTTAAGACATCGTCAGCGAACTTCTGGTAAATCTCCTTTACACGACGTTCCATCATCAACTCAGCATTTCTCGAGGCTCGCGTAAGGTTACTTGAGGACAAAGCCTTCATTACTGACTAGAATCAAAGCACCTTCGATGAGAATTCAAAAACAGACAAGTTGTCAGCACGGAATCAAAGAAGGGGATGTAAAAAACTGCCGTTTTACTCTCTATCAAGACAACTAAATCCTTTAATAGTAAACGGCATTTTCATGAAAGAACTTATTTGCCTCAATCAATTTCGAAAACCCTTTGATCCTGATTCCATAGGGACCCAGCAGAGAAAAGTGGAAATCACAAGAGTTGAAAGCTTCTTCATTACTCGATACGCACGGATCATTAAAATAGTTGAGCATGTGCCGAGTAAAAATGGCTTCCCACCACCTGTACAGAGAATGAAAGTTGGTGTTTGGCGCTTGATGCCTCTTTCTGCAAATGCAAGTATTGAGCTCATCCATAATAACCTGCATCGAGGGTCTAAAAAGACTCATTTCATCGTCGAGAACAAAGGCATCCTTCACGCACTGATGGAACTCAAAAACATCACAGAGTTCCAAGGCAACTGGGAGGTTATATATAGGACCCAGACTTCTGATATGATCTCGAATCTCCGACTAACAAGGTGAAGTGCAAAAAATCCAAACCTTCCACAATTTATTCAAGTCTTCCAGCGTCACTATTGGGTTGACGACAGCGTAAGCCCAGGCGACAGCATTAACATGTTGTATTAACCGTTGATGATCGACGATTGCTGGAATATTGTTAGGGTGTAAACGATTGTTGCGAATAAACAACAATGCATCCGGGTGTTCCTTTACAAAAGGTTAGTACTTAATGTATTTCCCACCCTAAAAAGTGCACTCTGAACCTGGCCAACTCCTGTATACATTCCGGTAGATACCAAAAGGTCAATAGAGTTTCTAACTGCTGCATTGAGTTCGTCGATGCTTCTTATACTAGACCCGCCTGGGCTCTGAGCACAGCAACTAATGAGGGGGAGAGGCTCCGACCTCGGCATAACACACACGGAGAGTAGACGCAAGGCCACGTTAGAAGCACCTAATTGGTGAATTTTAAGTTTTCAAAGCTACTTTTTGGAATGCCGAAAACTACATTTAAGGAAGTGTGACGACCTGAAAAATTGAAAAATCCGAAATAGCAGTGGGCTGGATGTCTTTACAGATCATGTAATTTTAGCCATTTAAAACAGGAAGGTGAGTTGTTTGCTATTGGTGAACTTGCATTTGCAGCATTCCGATAGGTAAATAATGAGAAGACTGGAACTTTGAAGGCGAATTTCGTAGCATTTCGGGGCTTTTTATTGGGTAGAGGGTGACAGTACGTGAAGGTGAACTAATGTATTCTAGGGAGAGAAAAGGGATCAAGGCAGAGCTTGGCCCGAAGACCAGTTCACGCATACATGGGCCAACTGAACCTTGAGGTGGTCACTAGACATCAGGTACTCCCAGTGTAGCTCCACGAGGCTTCCCATAGGGTGGAAGAAGCCATAAGTGAGGTTGACGACAGGGCAAATGGAGCCTGAGCGTGGACCGAAAACCAGCCCACGTGTGCAACGGCCAGACAAATTATAAAGTAACTGCCAAACGTCCAATAGTCACATAAACAAAGCATTACACACATAAGCGTAGTATTAACAGGTTCAACCTCTGAATATAAATTTTTCTCCCTAAGCATAATGAGCTGTACGATCATGAAATTTTGGACTTTGACAATAATTTCCTAACCTTCAACCCAGACTCATTTACTTTCGTCTTCAAAAGCGAAGGGATTCTCTGGGAAGCCTTATTTGGCATCTGTTATAAAGTACAAGCTGATAAGGAAAAGTGATTACGGTCAAGGCAGGTATCTTATTACTGCTGGGAAGGATTAGTGTGCTCCTTCAGTATAGTGTTTGTGTTGAATGACCGCCTTGTCCCTGTGAGGAAAATTTAAATGCATACTACTGGAGTTACTGCCTGTCTACCCTCTGGTCCCTGGTTCTCTGACTTTAAGAGGAAGTTGGTTGAAGACGATTTATTAGGCATCGCTGTAAGAAGGATGGGGAATAAGATACAGATGCGGCGAATAGGAGATATCAATCGCAGGGAGACTCCTCGTCGACTTCGCGCACGTGATCCACGTTTCCAATTGCTTTCCGCCTCTCACCTATAAAAGTCCACTTAAACAAGCTAGAATATATTACAACTACATAATACATTATTGAACAGAAAAAGAGGTTGCTCATATCGTTCCCTTCTTAATGCAGTTACGTATTAAGTAACCAGATGCGGTACATTTGAAATCTTAAATCACTCTATAAACACCTAATTCCAGCTAATACTTAGCCGTAATGGAAATTCCTACTAAATGGCTTAAATAACAACAGCGTTGAACTACGATTTTCTCTTGATAGAGGGTCTGAATATATGCGACAAAGTTAAGGGGAAGAGATTGAATTTCGCTTGGCTGGTGGGCCAGCCCTCACGCTCAAGACAAAGATTAATCTCAAGGTAATCGCCAAGTATACAGGTAATCACACATACAGAATTTCGTTCATGCGGCCACCCGTATGACTAATGGCCACTTTAGTGTTTATCTTGCATTCTTTCGAAAAAAGAACTGGCTTTTGATCAAGGCTGTAATGCATACTAGACTTTTTAAGTGTGTCTTTATAGGAAAGAGGGGTGAACCAAATTGGAACGTGAATCCCGTGCGTGAGGACCGTGAGGAATCCATCTCCGGGCCATATCAGCTATTCGGCTCATCTATACTCCTATCCCCTTTCTTCCTGTAACCAATGCTTAATAAACCTACTGCAACTAACCCTCTCTTGAAGTCTATGGCTCAAGGACATTGGGGTAGGCAGACAGTTCATACAAAGGCAAAAGACGGAGTGCAATGCTTTGTTCATGCGACCACCTGATATCTGACGATTACTTTGATATTAGTCCACTTTTCTCCTCTAGAATGCATATATCTAGCCTAACTTACTGCCTTCTTCCATTTGGTGGGAAGTGTTGCAACTTTACACCAAGCTCATCCGATTCTCCTTCGGTATGCATATTCATTCCTACACAAGGGATCCTTCAACCAGCTAAGAAATGTTTGAAAGTTAGAACTATAAATAATCCCGCCACGGTAGGTTACGAAGACAGGGCCTCTACATTAGTGGAAGAAGAGAAGCCACATAAGGAAACTCCAACAGCCAGCTTCGAGGACAGTGATTGAAAGAAAAAGGGCTCAGTATTACATACCCAAACGTGTTTAGTTTGCCTTCATAGGAGAGAGGCAATTAAGTGCTCCGAACATGAACCCCGTTAGCGATGAGTGCAATGAGATATCCTTAGGGTGACATCGGCTCAGCGTCCCATTACTTCTCCCCTCATTTTACTTCTTTCTGTATATGATGCTTAATAAAGCTTCCTACACTACCTCTCCCCTGAAGTCCGAGAATTCAGGGACCTGAGATAGGCAGACAAATCCTACAATGCATGTGTTGGGTTCAAAATCCAACTAATATATAATCTATAGAAACTTTTAACCCAAGCGATAATTTATGTTATATATACAAGGGTATTTAAGTTGGCCTTTAAGGGAAAGAGGCGGGAACCAAAAAAATGGAACGCGAATCCCGTGCGTGAGGACTGTGAGGAGTCCGTCCCCGGGTGATATCAGCTATTCGGTTCATCTTAACTCCTATCCCCGTTCTTCCCGTAATCAATGCCTTATAAATCTACTGCAGTTCTTACAATTTAAATAATGGAAGCCGTTTCTGATAAGCTCAATTTGCATATCATGAGCACATTTCTCAGTTTATGACTCTAAAATCTCACAATAGTACATTACTGAACATCAGGCATGCAAACGTTAGTGAGTCCTGCATTCGGTCTTGTGATAATTATATTCCAAGAATAACTACTCCTTATAAGCTACGATAGTAAGCGAAGCGACTATTCGAAGAGAACAGTAGAGGCCGCCTGTCTACCATCAAAGCCTTGAACATTAAACCTATGGAGAAGCTTAGTTGGGGAAACTTCATTAGACATCGTTTACAGAAATAAAGGAAATGCGAAAGGATTGATGAGGTCGAAGGCCGATGTCACCCTGGTAACGCACATTCGCACGTCTCATGCACTGGATCCGTGTCCGAATTCCATTCCCGCCCACCCCCCTACATATACAAAATTAAGCGCGCCATTATATGTAACAGGAGTCACATATTATTTTGAATCTTTTGTTATTAACTACCACTAGTGAAATTTATTTGCAATGGAAAACTCAAATTAATCCTAACTGCGAGGTTTACACCTAATTGTTAGATGCTGCTAAGTTTATTCTTTATAATTAATTTTATAGCGCTCCAAAATTTTATGACATAATTTTCTCCTAGTGTACAGTTAAGGTAAAACTATTGCGCAAATTTGTTATAACTCTATGCAGATGGCGGCTCAGATGTTTGCCTGTGGTTCCAGACGGAATGAATCGACTTTGCACCTTGGTTCTTCAGGGACGGCGCTCGTATAGTCTCCAATTCCATAAGCATGAAGTAATAAGTATCAGTAAGTCTCTGATGTGTCTATCCATTGCTTTCAGAACAGAAGGCGTTCTGGGCTGTTGTAAGTTTCGCCGTATTTCCAGCTTGTTTGTGGTCAATCGGCTTTATGCAGCGCTCGAAAGCAAAGCGCCTAAAGAAGGAAGCTGAGTTCGGCAAACCCTTTTTTAGACCGTTTCCTCGCGACCTAAGGGTAATGGCTTCATCTATCACTGATCCCCTCCCTTATAGCCCTTTCGTTGGGGCGACGGTAAAACACCGTTTTTCATCTCCATGAAGCGATACTGGGGCTTCGACACCGATGAGTCCGAGTAACGCTTGTCATCAGTCTCCACAAATATTTCAAATCCCTTCGTGAATACACTATGCCGCTCGAGTCCCGCCGTGATTCTTGGGGGTGTTTAGTAAGCTGGGATGAATCTCATCACCTGTCGCGTTAATGCATGAGTGGTAGTAAAGTGAGCAGCTCTGCCTTTAAATTGTTTCGTGCAGAACGGTCTAGGGGGTGATGACCTATGCCCAGACGTTTAAACCAACATTAAATCCCAGGTAGGGGAATCTACATGCGGCTACCGACCAGTTCATTGGGTTGTTAGACTTGAAACTCCAGGAAATAGCAAGAAAATATTGTTTACGCGACGTTCGCGATTAACAAAGAAAGAGATCAGTCGATGCCAAGTATAAAATTGGTCATCAGTGTCGGGGAGGTCAAGGAGGGGTTCTAGATTTGGGGAAGTCCAAACTCATCCAGTGGAACGTTGCCCTACAAAATGTCAAGAGGTATGTCACTGTTGCCTAGGTTTATCGAACGCACAACTGGCTCTGCCGCAGGTAGATTTGGCAAGCCGACGTTGAACAATGAACGAGCTAGTTGCACTGTTTAAAGCTGAGGCAAAGTTGACACTGAAACCAAATTAAAAGAATTACTACGCGCTGACACCCACACAGTGTCTGTGAGGGATTGAGAATGTACCGATCAAGGGTGTGTTGTGGTCCTCTTATGACTCACCGTGATTTCGTGAGCTCTGGCGGGTGGGTATAGAACATCAGCCTTCCTTCACCGCAGGCAAGGTGGAGCTACTAACCCTGGCAGAACATTTGTTGGTGTACAATTAGGTCAAATGTTTGGGCTGATGGCTAGAGAAAGAGTAGCGCGGAGCCGCGCGGTGACTTCAATTACTACGAGTTAGCAGAAACAACTTACACTAGCTGCGGCATTGGGGGCGCTTGGAACAGAGATGGAGGAACCAACGTCTGCACTGGGAACCGAGGGCGCAGTGTCAGCATTAAGAAAGCCCTCCAGATCGGCTTCAGAACTAAGGGCCTCCAACTCGGCATCCAGCTCTGACTCGTCGATAGTAGTTGGCATGACTGAACGACCGAGCGCCTCTCCAAACTCGTCATTGAGTTCAAGCATGTCAGCAAGATCGTCTTGAAGATCCTAAGAAGAGCACACCAGAAAAATTAAGTTCCAGAAACCCTTTTTGGGTGAATGGCGACAAAACAATTACCTCGACATCATCCAACTTCAGGTTTTTCGTTTCCTTCTTGAATTCCTTGACTCCTTGCTTCATTGCCTTAACAGTCATCTGCGTGTCCTTTACACTTTGAAGAGCGAAGCTAGCCTGACCCATATTGAAGCTTTGACCCGATAGAGTTTCCCGCTGAGCCTCCAAAACCTTCATTTGTTTTAGTTTTGTTAAAGCCTGTCTTTTAAGAGAAGCCTTTGCGGGTCCCTCACGCATTCCTCGCATTTGCGATTGGAGTTTCACAATCTCACCCCGCTTAAGGGAAATTGATTTATCAAGCGTTTCTATGCGAGAATCAATCTGAAAGAATGCGTAATAATGCTAAGCAAATACGTTAGCTGCAGCATCTGTGAGATTTGGCGGTGCCACTTTGGCTGAATTAGATGATCTGCCAAAGACCCTATGCATCTCGTTAAGTGCTGAAAGCTCGAATCTGCGACTTTTGCCTGAGTTGAATAAAACAAGAGATCGTACAGCCAGACGTCCATCAACAAAAGCGCAATTTTTAGGATTTGATAAAAGAATCAAGGCTAGTAGCTTTAATGCGTCACATACTAAAATTTTGTCATCTTAAAGTTTAATCTAAAACTTCTTTTGGATAAAAATCAATGTACCTTCCCTGTCAAAGTTAGCCATGGAGTTCTGACGTAATCACTTTTCATCACAAGCCATTGGTTGATGTCGTGGGCTGCGCCCAGTTGCGATGGTCATATTTTGGATATCTTCTTATAATGTTTTCGTCGACCAAATTGGATATGCTCGCTTCGCATCTTCTTTTGAGAAAAGTGAATACTTTGGACGGCATGCACATAATATCATCCTTCTTAAGTATGCAATTTTTAGTTTAAGGATGCATTTCGAGAGTATTATTGCAATGCTTCGCGGATGCGACTACCAGATGGAGGTACCTTTGTTATTCGCCTTGTCCTTGTATGAGTGGGCTGCTCCTCAAGCCTATTCATGGTCGACTTTTCTTCCTTCTACAATACATACCTTCGACAACATAAAGCTTTTTTCCACCTGATGGGAAGTACCGAGTCTCTACAATGACCCCGCCATTCTATGAGTTACGCCTGATTATTGGCTGTGAGTGAACCCACTTTCATTGCTTGCGCTAACAATTTTTTCTTTGTCTTTATTAGACAATAGACTTCATTAGGAAGGCACGATAACCTGTTAAGAAAGGAAGAGTTTTAGATTTGACTTGGCTGGCCCAAGCAGCTAAGGTCAAATTGGGCTGCCAACCGTGCGGAAGAACAAACACATTCCAATTTGACTCCCTTCGTGAACCTACTCTCATGATTACTGTTAAGCGTTCCTAGAGGTCAACTTTGAAGCAGTGATGAGTAAAACCAGAGATGGATTAATTAAACCAAAGATGATGGAAGAATTTACTATGGTCGTTTCAGATCTACTTCAGTACAACCCTTCATCTTGAGCCCTACTGTTAAATCTTGCCACTGATTGTTTCATACTCAGCATGGGATCTTTCACGGAAGCATCCGTAATTGAAGGCTTTTATGATTTTCCTCTAAAATCGAGTGTACTCACTCCATTGAAGATGGAAGAATGCATAACACTCGGAAGTAGTATTTATTTTTAGCCTGCAGAAGGGCTTGAAGGCCAAGGTTATGGTGAAGAATGCATTAGTGGCTTGCCACTAAAAAGGTATTACTATCGCCACTTTTAGCAAGCACGATAATAATTCACCAAATGTGAACTGGAACTACCTACTACGCCACTTCCCATTACCTCTCATATTAGTCACCTGTGGCGTTAGTTTCCTTGATTGTCACAGCGATTCGAGCTAATGTCCAAAATGCTACTTGCATGAGGACAATCAGAAGTAGAGCAGCAACGAAAAGTGCCTCGCCAGCGCAAAGTTGCGTAACAGACTGAAAAAGGCACTGATCAAAAAGAAATCTTTGGTTCCGCCCTTTTCTCAGTTCGCATGCGTTACCCTCAAATTGTCTCACATGTTATGCACAGTGTTATGCTTTTCCGCTCTGCGCATAGATAGGTTTTTGAGAATGATCTGTAAAACCAGTCGCTTAAAATGCTTCAAGGAAGTTCATCAATATCCGTATCTTAGAGCGCATTAAGAAATGAAATGAGTCGGTGACACCTTTAATAGAGGAATAAAGATTTACCGCTTTGATTGGATTTATATTTCAACAAAATTTCACTATCTCCAGGAGTCGGTGTGCCAAAACGCTGAAATAGATCAGTACTTGCCAAGCCTCCATCTCAAAGCAAAACTTGCTATTTTTAAGGACAGAATACGAATTTGATCGAGAGATTTGCTTCTTTCCTTTTTCCAAGGAAAAAACATAAGAGTTTAAGAGAAGCCACACGCAATCCGATGTCGTTCCTCTGTGCGGACATGCATTTAACGAAATTGAGTTGCTGACGTTTACCACGCCTTAGCGTCAGCAAGAATTCATCCCATGGGGAGGTAAAATCAGTAAATATGCTTGGGATAACTTCAGACCGTTGGCTCTTCTTGTGGCTGAAGTCTCCAAGCATTCAAGGTCAACATTTTTGCACCCTAAGTGTCGAGAAATTTAATAAGCTTAAAACATATCTCCTATTATTAGCAATTATTAAATGTACATCTACAAAACAAGCATCCGAATACTGTACTTATTGCAAGTTAAGAAGTTTAACTGCGTTCTCATCAATAACCACGGTCCAACTTTTACGCATTTTCGCCGATAAAATAATGACCACCTCATTTCCTATAATTGACATAAAGTTTCAGGAATTTCAATTTAGTTATGGAAATGGTAGAGCGAAATTCTTCGAGAAGTAACATAAGATGGCAGAGGTGATTACTTAACCATCTGCAAGTCTTCCCATGCATAGGATAAGGCATTCTTCGTAGTTCCGATAGCCCCATTTGAGGTATAAATCATGGCCAATATTAATGTTGTTCATTCCTGGCAAAGCTGCACTTTACGCCTGGTGTCAAGGCGAGTGATCGTACCCACGGATAAAAGTCTGTGTCAGCAGCCACGGAGAAGCACCATCATCTTCAACCATCTTTAGTACCGACTCATTAGATTATGAGTAGGCAATTTAAATGCTATCAAAATTATTCCACTGACTATGGGAGAAATCCTCCACCACCAACTAGTTGTTATGCACTAAATAACGCAGTAAGTTCCTACTGAAACACCAGAAAGTCAAACATCTGACATCACCACTGTAAAGGCGGTAATGTAACAAACGGAAATATGTAGGCGAATAAAAATTACCAGGACTATGTCATTGAAACGATCCACACAGCGCGAGAAGAAGCCATTGTAATGCAATCGTAAAAATAAGGGTTTAATACTATTCGACAAAACCGAGTTAAAGGGCGGAAGTGTTACGAGGGTAGGTGAAATACCCAAAACATTGTATGTCAAAGCTATACTTAAACTTAATGCATGCTAAAAAATTTAGAGTCAGCGATTAGAATTCAGCATTTCAAGTAGGTCCTTTAGTGATACAAAATGGCTGCAAAGACGATAAGGGAAAAAAGTAATGTGGAGGAAGCAAGTCAATAAATACACGTAATAGAAGGGGATAGGTCGGTAAAATGCGAATAATACAGGATTAAAAACATGCGATTTATACAATACATAAGTGAGAGACACAGGAAATGCAAGTTAGTGGATTGTTTGAAGCAGGATTATGCCTTGGACGAGAAATTCCATTACTCATAGAGGATGCCAAGATCAGCCACAACACTTTGGGGAAACTCACCATTGTCTATTTCATGACATACTTCCAGTAACTAAATACTGTAGACTTTTCCTAGTTTACATACCCTCTCCACATCCTGCCTCATTTTAAGCACAGTAAGTTCTCGCAGGCGTACACTCTCTGCCAAATATTGAATGCGTAGAGCTTTCCGCTTTCGACAGTCCCTTGCGCTTTCAGAACTCCTTGAGGGCATTAAAAAGCCACAGGGGGACCCCTGAAAATACAATAGTGTTACACGAACTAACCCTAGATGTCCGCTTCATTGTAAGCAAGACGGCCCACGGACGATAACTAAAATAGAAAAAAAGGTTGCCAATTAATTGGTCACATCATTCACATCATCAGGCAATTTTCAAAAAGGGAGTTTGGACATAATGAATAAAAAATGCTTCTGACTTTATAAAGAGGTTTTTAAAAGATGGTTTATGCAAATCACCTTGCTAGATGCAATTTGAAGTTGTCAATATGCATCTTTAAAAAAATTGCGAGTGAGGTTTGAAGGAGTCCTAGCTTCTAACTTTATCTCGATTGCGTATTATTTACAGGCAGTAATGCTTCGAGTGACTGCCATATAGCGGTACTACCGCAGATCCAAAACCTCTCCGCATTTTAGACCTCAAATGAGGCTTATTACGAATAAAGTTACATGATCATAAATAAATTGTGGTTGAATTCAAATCATTTACTTTAATCTTGCCATGCCTTTTGCAGTTATCCATGCGGTTACCGAATGGGGCCAGGCTATCGCCTATTGAAAATGGTAACGTTTGTGAAATGCCAGCAATGCGATTGTCAAAATGAAGGCTAATCACTCACTAATTTATCATTTAAGCAATCACAATGCATCTAGTTTTAGTGTTCAACATTCATGTTAGCCGCATCATAGTTTTTAACTAGCGGTACTGACCTATCATTTTGTGTGTGACGTATTTCCACGTAGCTCATCATAACATTCGCTAAACTACAAATTCTCGAGAATCCACCCGTATATAGCAATAGGCAGTAAGGAACTATAGTGGTATTACTGTTTATTAAATGGCTTGAAAGTTTTAATTCGGATTAAAGAATTTCTGCACTACGCTTTTAGGTTCGTATCTTGCAGGGAACTTTAATTATTATTTGAACTTGTACTAAGGGTGAAGCAACTCTTTTAGCTTATATTCCGCTATGTATTGGTTCAGCTATGCAAGAACTCCGCTGAATGTGCAAAATTTGTTGTGATTTGAGATTTGAGTTTAGCTACACAAGTAATGTTAGATGCCTCATTTGAATTGTGCATAAATTGCATATTGTAATTCATGCGACTCCCTAAAGGGACGACTGTTAAAGGTTATTCCTTATTTTCCTCATGTAAACGTCGAATTTTCAACTGGCTTAGGAAGTGTAATTTATGAGGAAGGGGGCTATGATGCCATCAATGCAGTCATGAAAAGTGTATTAACTTGCAAATCTGATGTATGTGTTCATAGCATGAAATAAGTAGTAAGGAAAAGTACAAGAACAAAAATCTTAAGATAAAGAACATGCGCATCTATTGAATTCGCTGACTTTCATTTCAAAATAATTGACCATAGCAGATCCCAATAAAGAAGAATTTTGGAGCATTTCTTTGCAATGTCTTACCTGTCGTTCGAAAGTATTTTTGGAGAGTCCTGACTTTTATCTTGACGCCTAAAAGATGCGCTAAGCTAAGTGTGAATAACAGAGTCGCCTATTTCTCAATTCAAGTGATTGGATGTCATGAATTATAGTGGGCATATTCTTTGGTCTTTATATTTGGGTCAGAAAAACACCTCAAGGATAAGCACAATGTATCCAACGTTTCAAACACTTTAAGCAAAAGTATTTCGTTGATGGCCAACGTACATCTTTAGAGCAGGAACATTCCATTAGAGTGAAACACAAGAGAAAGGTGGTTAGAGTTGGATCGAATTGAGTTAGTTTCGGAATGGGAAGGGAGGTGGTTCAGCGAGTAACTGAGGCATCCATGAGACAGATAGCGAAGGGTTTGTCAGGGTGATACCGGTGGTGAAGGTGGGAGGAGAGTACAAGTAATAAGGGAAACAGACAATGGGGAATATGGGGAAGAAGACGAGTGGAACAACTTCCTTTGCTTTTTCACTACTTCGGCCACACTATAAAATTGTTAGGTAGTTTGAGTGGCCGCGGGGAATGAGATGGCGGTTGTCAAAATGTTTCCACCGCCAGATGATTGGAGAGACTCCACTTCGAGTTTAAGCCAGGAGTGGATGGTGCTAGCATATCGTGCCAACCAATAGTGGTCGCGCTTCGACTGCGTGAGGATCCGGTGGATCCAACGGCCCGTCTGTGGATCGGCTTCCGCATACAGGGTTGCGTTCATTCGCATTAACTGCAGAAAACAGATCGTGGGGTGGATCATTGCCTACGTGTTGCTTCGTATAATGCAACACAGGATTAAGCCAGGGTGTGTTTGGGACTTAAGGCGAGCGGATATGAATATTTCTTCTATGCACCTGTCTTTCATTGAATCGAGTAAAAAGTGAAGTAAAATCGACCAAATTTATAATAGTAAGGCAACATTTGAGCACTTGTTCAACCCACTACTTTGAAATCGCTCGATTTACTCGTGGCGATCTACTCGATGGGTTTTAAAAGAAGACTCGAAAACACAAAGCATACCTCGTCTTGGATTGGCAACGTTTCGATGATAATCCCCCGTTTCTCCACTGCCTTTAAGATCAGTTTGAATGGAGCAGATGCGCTATATCAGCAAAGAAAATTAGATTAAGTCCAGAGGATTCGTCGCCTACTTGGCGTTCACGAGAGCTCGGTTGCATAACAGTTCCTTTGGAAGCCCAAGCACACATCCATCACAACATAATTTGCCTATCAGCCGTTACTTTAGGTAATTACAATGTTTCAATACCTTTGACGCCAATAATACATGTATGTAATTCACAACCGGTCTTTGCAGCTCATAACAATAAAAGGCAACTGTGCAAATGGAATATGAGCAGAAGAGAGGATTTTTAACAACCTCTGATTTCTGTTTGGCCACTCCCGTTTGATGGTGTCATAAATCACATAAAGGCCAATCGGATTCCCACTGAGAGACGCTGGAAGTTCTAAGTCATCGCTCTTCGAGATGGCGTCGTCAATCAGTTCTCGAATGTACCTTTCAAGAGGCAGAAGGTAACAAAAACAAGGAGAATCGTGTAACGAAACGGATGCTAAGGCTAAGACCCGAACTCACGTTCTCAGCCGAACGAAGTCACGCGTGCAGCCCAGAGCTTCCAGAATGCGGTACTTCTCATCTTCATGTAGAACCTTCATACTCAACTGCTTTAAGAAGTCCCACTCTTTCACACCACCTTCGCGAATGGCTGTGCAGTACACCGTTGGAGTTAGACTCGTTGGTATTCTAAAAAAAGCGGAAAAAAAGTAGGGAATTCGAGCACATGTTTGACTGATGTCTTCAAGGATCGATGAGTTAACAGCCGGTTACCTAGTTAACTGTAAAATTACAACGATGTTATGAGAAAAAAGGAAACACTCGGTTCCACATCTACCAAAAGTCGTGGGTCAGCACAGCTCAGTGCACTCCAGACACCTCTAACCAAAAGGCCAGACAGCAGTAAGTGCCAATGTAGGTGTACATACTGGATTATGGGTGAGGAAAGGGGAATGCAAATTAACTGAATGGTGAACGTATTGATTTCAGGGCACCATTTGGGTGAAGATGAGGCAATAGAACGACTTGTCCAGCTGTATTGACTAAAAGGCCTAAGCGAAGTTTTCAAAGGCGTTAGATAAACAATTAACCAACAAACCACGCTAATAAACTGGCATAGAAAAACATCAAAAAAGGTTTCGTGAACCAGCTCTATTGAGACTCACTTGCGGTTCGACGGATCTTGCATGAATTCGTTGAAGAGCTTCTTCGACCTCTTCACACAGTCACTGTGGTCAGCCCCACAAGACATAGACACGATGATTTGCCGAGCCATGCTGTAAAGGTGAAGCAGGAACTGACTTCATAGGTGAACGTAAGCAATGGAGAGAACGTGAACGATATGGTCTCCAATGCTGCCCGAGCTTGCGGTCTACGAATGTCTGAAATTAAGGCTTGCACGCAACTCCCGTCACTTCACGATAAACAGTCACGTGAGACGAGGCCATCACTGCTGAAAACGCTCGCGAAGAACGCACAGTAAACTTAGAGGTAAGCATTGGGTACCGCGACTTTACGCTCACCTTCGAACCCAATAAATATGTGAGATGGCGCACTTTTAATTCCTCCAACTTCATGGTCTTGCAATGAATTTTGAATGCGCATTTGGCACTCCAATCGCATAAAATATGCAATGTGAATTAAGTAGAGTTAGACGGAATCCTCTGATTGCCATGAATGGTTCGGCTTTCTTTCACCTTCCTCTTTTTACAAATTTTAGCCATGCAGGTGATTGATTTTCCAAACATTGATACGAAGTTGTATAAATAGATGGCCGTCTCTAATCCATGGCGGGGAAAAAACGAGCTCAGAAGGCGAGACTCTGACGCCTAACCACAAACACCAGGTTGAGAAAAGCTGCGTACTAGTCAAATGGAAAGAAGACCTGTTAACACCTACTTAATGAGGTGATTTTCATTCGATCTTTCAGCACTCCAATTGACATCCTTGTAGGCGTCGGAGATAAGTAAACGCACGTAACGCTTCAGCAGCGAATGGCTGTCATGCATGACGAGCATGTCGTAGAGGTAGTTGAAGGCCCGATGTGCAGCGTTTAGGGGCACATACTCGCGCTCCTTGCGCAGATACCGGGTCAAGTTCAAGAACACTTCAAATGACAGAGTGCCCTGGCTACAAAAACGGTGAATACATTGTAATTAAGCACAATCTCTCGTAGCGAGCATCGATGAACTTTTACAGCTTAACGGTAAATAGAGCAGAAAGTTAATTGATCCAAGGCGTGAAGGTAACCTACTTTGCTATGTGGAAACTATCGTCAATCAGTTGGGCACGCATTAATCGCGGCAGCTCCTGAAAAGCACAACAGCCTTCCATGTGCAGTCGGAAAGATCAAAAGGCAACATCCTGATTGGTTGAGAGTAGTGAGAATGCCTACCATGTGGTTGGTGCAGAGAGCCCTAGTCAAGGAATGCCAGTTCGCCATGTCATAGTTCACCCGATAAAATCCCATTTGACGAAGATTCAGAGCGTACCACTGACTCTCAGAAACGTCCATTTCAATGGTTAGATGTTCTGAATGAAGATTAAGGCAAAATGTGTGATCAAACATCGAAATCAAAGTTAGACTATAAATGGCGCGGTCTTTGTTTTCCATTTAGCAAGTGGCATCACCAAACCCGAAGTGTGTAGTTTCACAATGACTGGCATAGCGTTCGTTGAACGTGTACCTTCCAAAGGGGAATAAGGGATGGGTTTCTTATTCCATTACAAGGCGAAGTACAAAACATCGGTTAAAAAGGAAATTAGAATTCATTTTGGATTAATAACTGTTTGGTTACAGGTCCACTTAAAAGAATGAGACAAGTATTCTTCCGTTGGCAGCTTAGGGGACGAAAAAGGGAAGCCGCTAATTTTTTCTTAATGCTTACGCCTTGCATCCACTGCGGGATTAAAGATTATCGCAGGTGATGAAGCCTCGAGCAGTGAATACCGTCCGAGAAACTGAGCTGATACACGTCTGATATTTGAGCGACTAAAAGTTCGACCAACTTACTGTTATTCATCCAAACAATTCGACTTTCGGCTTCAGTTATGTTTTCAAATTCGGTTGCATAGGTGATTGGAATGCTCCAGAGTTTGCTACAACATGGAATAAACGACTTCCATTCGACATTGAAGGAGTCAAATTAACATTTTAAGTGCCTAACCTAAATCATAATGAAACTGAAAGGCGTGTTTAGTTCTGTGACGGAAGCCACAGCATCGTCAACAGAGCTCCTCGATAGGCAAACGGGTAGCTACAGATGTGATAAGCGAAACAGTTAAATTACCGTGAGCACCTTTAACAAGAGCGCTTTCATGAAGGCCAGGCTAATTTCGCTGACGTTGACAGAAGAAAGGTTAAATATCACTGTCGACAGGGCGAAGGAAGTAACAATAACTGACCTGCTAGTGAGGTTTGTATCCATGGAAGCATTCCCTGAACGCAGCCCCAGTAAGAAGCGCTCCTGGGTCAGTTCAAACCGACTGTCACCGAGTCGCTTCACTGAGACGAGAGGGTATCCAGCCTGCCTGAACCACACATTCATAATCGCTTCCACGTCGATGAAGTTACCTGACTTTGAGTTGGCCTGTTGTCGAAGAAAGTGGCATGGCATGGTGAGCACGTGCACATACGAGTGGCTGTCAATTGGGTTGGAGAGAGGTGAAACGGAGCAGCAAAATAAACTACTTCATTTCGAAGTGACCACAGACGCAAGCCCATCCCCAAACCCATCCTAATATTAATCATGACTGCAATCTACCAAAATGCGTGTTCAAGGCTTTTAGTGGCACTTACTTCGAACAAAGCAATTCGAACTTTACCTTTATGACTAAATTGTTTTTTTTTAAATGCCCATTAGAACATGGGATACACGGAATCTGCATCATAAATCTACCCGTCGAGTTGCACATTTTCTCAACGGAAGTAGCAGTTTAAGGTACTTTGGATTTCGCTATTTCAAAAACGCCTACCAAATTTGCTACCCCAGAAACAGCGATCACCACCACCACCGCCTATATGTACTATTTTCCCCACCGTGGAGCCAACCAACACCGCACTCCTGTCGGACGTACAGATGAAAAATTTAAAGATTAAAAACTGCAGTTAAAGCAGTTGTTTTAGAATTCAGCCAATTGGTTTAGGACATAATTTTATGCACCAATTTATCACAAATCAAAACGAACGAGCGTCGCAGAGCGGTGACCCAAACTTGGGCGCGAAGTTCGAGAACCACGCATAAGAAGTGCCTCAGGCAAACCCACTTCATGAAACCAGAGCAATCAAGGAAGTGCTAGAGAAATCGTCCCACTCTAATTCAATAGCATTGAGTTTGTCAACCTTGCCAAATAAAAGTTCAACATGTTTATTTTATTCACTGGAAACACATAAATAAAGAGCATTCGGAAGTTAACAGTAGTCGCTTTACCATATTCCAAAAAATTGAGTTAGAATTTCAAGCATTGTTCAAAACCAAGTGAACCTTATCTTTTCGCGCACATGCAGCTCACAAATATTGCTTTTATGAAATAAACTTTCACATTCGCCCAACAGAAAATCGAAGGATTGTGCCATGGTCCCCGAGGGCCAAACCAAATGTGTCTGCCAACTCCCTTTCCTTTGGGGTCTCACCTGTCATACTGTCGATTGGACAGTTCAAAGGGCTCTCTAAGCGACAGCAAAAGCATTCAAAGAACGGTGAAACACTGGAGAAGGTAGTACGTATTCACTCTCTCCAAAAAGTTACTACGCAAAAATTTCTTTCCTCCTCCCTCCACTCCCTCGTGAAAGGGGAGTGTACAATGTAAGGAAACATCTTACAATGCTCAAATAGTTTTTTGCTCAAATGATAGTTGTTTTCTTACGTCCACTTGATTATGAAAATTTATTTTGCTTCAACTGCCTAGTTTTTAGTCGAGAAAGTTATCTTAATGTTGCTGTCATTGAACGGTCTTCTATTCTCTTCAGCAATGTAACATCAAAAACGCGGACGTGGTTGCAAATATACCAATTTGTTCGGCACACTAGACGAGATGGGATTAATGTGCCTCAGAATATGCAAATTCGGTCACGATCCCAGCCAGTGGCCTCCCATTTGATGCAAATAACTTAAGGGGAGCTTTAATGCAACACGAGGTCTTGCAACACTATCTCGAGTGACCGTGAGAGCGAAAGCGAGAGACGACTAGACAGAGCCATCACAACTGCGACACGCGCCTTGATTCCATCCCACATGCCTGTGTTGTCACACGCTCACACACCCACTCAATGACGCAAATCATGTCTGTGGCTGCACCTTACAGAGAAGGACAAACACTAACCTCGGTGAGAGCATTCCACAGGTCAATGGGCTTGGTATTTTTGAATTTGTGTCTTGACAGGTAGATCTAAAGAAAGTACCATAAAAGACGGTTTTAGACTTGTAATAAATTGGGGCAAAGTACGATGCAGAACTTCAACCAACCTTAAGACCCTGCCGAAAAACTTCGCGGCCAAGGAACGCCTCCATCATTCGAAGAATAGATGCACCCTAGGAAACGATAGAGAGGTGCTTTGAGGACACCGTAGGCAGCCTCAACTATCCGAATTCAAGTACTGCCTGTAGCTGTTGTGTAATTTTATGTTCTTAATAATATGAACAGTAAATTGTACAGTGATAAGTCCGTAGTAAGATTGGGTGTGAGGGTCATTGTTGGATGAAAAAGCCCTTTAAAAGCAAGACTAATTCTTTGCAAATAAATATTGCTGCATTGCGATAGCAGAGGAGTTTTGTCAACAATGCAAATACTAGCAAGGTTTGAACCTGTTAAAAATCCACCACTAAGGAATAGGCGATCCATTCATTGGCTATTGATAAGAAAAGCCTCAAAATATTTGCTACACAGCGGTTATTTAGTGAGGACGAAAAATGTGAGTACGAAAAATGGACGCAGTGCTCTATTGTAGGTAATTCCACTTCAACTTAGTTGTTGTGGTGGGCCTCCACCTCCTCCGTAATCCTAACACACCTTATTATAGGAGATGGCATCAAAAATGTCGTTGATTTCGTCCGGATGAGAGACTGGCAGGAAGACGGGATGCGTAGTGGATAGGGAGTCGACGAAGAACACCTTCTGAAGCTGATGTACAGCGAATTGTTCATCCTAAGAGGATCACCAAATTACATGTGAACAAAGGAGCTATCCTTCACAACACTTCAGACCAATAGTGATCGTTTGCTTTGTTGTGATATTTAACGCAATACACAACCACATTTAACTTACCATGTGCCAAGTTGGTTCAGCGTGGGCAACGCCAATGTACTCCACAAAGGTCGCAAAACCCTCATTCAACCAGAGGTCATCCCACCAGTCCAGGGTCACCAAATTACCAAACCACTGAACAAAAAAAGTGTTGTAGACGTGATTTATACGATTTTGAGGTATTTCATTCTGCACGCATTACAGAACATTTAAACATCTCTATTCAACATTCTGATCTCCGTAGACGAAAATTAGGGCAGGCCATCCTCAAGGATAGTTGATGAATATTTAAGACGTTACCGAAATCTTCCAGCCTTTCAGAAGCACGTATAAATTATTCATGACATCACTAAATGCAAAAGTGAAAATTCGGAGAAGAAAAAAAGGCACCGCATCTTTGCATTACACTTTAAGGTCAAGAGTTCAACCTACACACGTAGTCTTGCACGCCATACACCACCACCACCACCACCACTACCATGCGAGCCGTTCTCTTTAGCCTCGTTACGAGGTCAGGTCAACAAACGGATTTCGTTACAGGCAGAGCAAAGTAAAGAGTGCATTTTTAAGCAGCTTTCTTGATGACACTGCCTTCTCACCCTTTGTATGCTTGTCATGTGTGGAGTGTGTTCTGGGAATTTAGTGAGCTAAAATATGTTGGTTGAGGCAAATGATTCAAATTCTTACTGAATCGCTTATAAATACAATTGTAAAAACAGCGGCTTAAAAATGCGCTCAGTCATCTAAAACACCTCTTAAAGAGACACGCACAACACGTTGAGGAAAAATTTAAAAAAATCTGACAGGTAGGAATTGTATAGTGGCAGGTTCCGCTTTGCCTTCGACGTAGCTTTCCCTCCTCCACTCAAAAGGCTTCATTCCTTTATTGCGACACCAAGCGTCACTAAACGACCCACAAATTCAGCCCCTGCTTAGTGGAGAGAATGTGCTCGGTCATGAGCTAGGAATATTCTGTACCTTCTTCACTGTTTCAACCTGCTTACGACACAATGTGATGCAACCAGTTATCATAAACGTGTCAATCTCATGTGACAGTGGCAGGTAATGTTTTGAGCCACGCGGTTTTATCAACTGCCGATTCTATCGCACATCTAACGGTTTATCTCGATGACATTTTTTCGAAAGAGCCCTTTCTTCAAACTTGCAAAAAGCCACTCATGCAGATCTTTGGGTGGTAAGAGCCAATCTTACCTGATGAGCAATTTCATGGGAGATGACAGTAGCGACTTTCTGACGAGCGAATTCCGTCCCACTGGAGGGATCCCAAATGAGTGTCGCCTCGCGATAGATGATCAGACCCCAGTTCTCCATCGCTCCAGCCGCAAAGTGGGGAACTGCCAGCATATCTTTTAGCATAAAAAGAAAATGCGTTCAATTATTAGGATTGCGACAAATCGAAATGAAGTTATTGTCAACTAATGATAGTTATGAAGTAAACAAATGCCTCAAGTCAAGGATGATTAATTATACTTAGCTTTTGATCAAGAAGTTAGAGAACATACCAGTTTTTTCAAGAGGATAGTCGAGTTCAAAATAATCTTCAAAGAATCCAATGATTTTCTTGCCGATGTCAAGGGCATAATCAGCCGCAGTTATAAGATCCGGTCGTGCCCAAATAGTAAACTAAAATTCCAAGAAATTTTGGTATCAATAAGTCAAATGTTGAACGGTTACAGGGTGTAAAGAAATTTAAAGCCAAATTAAAACGCTCGTTTCGACATCTACTAAAAGCCACGCTGCTGTGATGGCCACCGCACCCGATGCTAAGCACCGAGCCTCTCCCACAGTTCCCACTTAGTGGTCCGCACAAGTCGTGGGTCAGCACAGCGCAGTGCACTCCCGACACACCAATCAAAAGGCCAGACAGCAGTAAGTGCCTCTGTAGTTGTGCACACTGGGTGACGGGTGAGAAAAGGGAAATGCACAGGACACAAATGATGGCCTCAAATAGCATGATTCCCATTCTAGGACTGCAGGAGGCTCGACGCTTCAGGGGCAGGGCGTTGGAATGTGTCATAATGGCTCCAGTGCGAGTCAAACTGTTATTTGCTCTTATGGCCAAACCTTCGGTCAGCGCTAACTCACCCTTTGGTTTCACCCTCGGTCCCGATTAAACTGTCGGAATTTATTAAATTCTGATTTTCAAGGCGTCAAAATACGAGGCTTCGAGGGATTAGAGATTAGTATAAAATTTTGCGGTATCTATTAAAGCTTATGCAACCAGGTAAATATGTAACTTTCGTTTATTTAGACTTTGTCTATCTAATCTGTTGTAAATCCAAACATTACAATTGAATGTTTATAACTGTCGTAACTACCAAGTGAAGGTGTAAGAGTAAAATGAGAAGAAACCTACATTTCTGTTCTTAGCATCAAGTCCTGGCAGGCTGTCAAATTGAGAAACGACAAAGGCCAATAGATACGTGGAAGTGTTTAAAGTGGGCTTGAAGCTGTCCTCCACCCAACCATTTCCGATGGGTCGAGACTCTACCAGTGGCATATTTGACATTGAATGAAAGTTCTCCCTTCGTACCAACCTTATCTATTCAAAGAAATAGGGTATGGTTTAGCCTGCGAAATGCCTACTCGGAAGCGGGGCCAGTTTGAGGAACGCATTTTAAAGCAAGGCTTAAAGTCTTTTAAGCCAAGAAGCTAGCATGTGTATCAGTGTTGTTTAACCGAAAAATGTCTCAAGACAGGTTGATATGCAATGTCACTAAAATTGATGTTACCAGAGGGACTACAAGAACGATTGCAAATTACTTTAAATATGGACTTGAAAGCCGGTTCGTCCCAGCATGGGAAAACACGTCTGGCGTCTGTTGGTTGCAGCTGGCTCGTTGCCAAGTATCTACAAGAGGCACATTTGCATTACTGACTTTGGTAAATGCCTTTAGAAATTCGAACTAAAGATTGTAGATAAGTCAGAGCTGCAGAAAATCTTGAAACAGAAGAATCGTATCTCACTTGGTGACGTTGTTCTCAACATAGCTGCTGAGATACCACCCACGAAGATTGATGGTGAGTGGCGCCCCAAAATTTCCAAAAACCAATAAGTAAGTTTTCCCAGGTTCCAACTTCTTCGAGGTGTTCAGCCTATACCATTGTCTTGCTCGGTCGTAGGAAACATTGGCCAGTAAGTTTACAACAGAGTCCTCCTGGCGCAGCTGAATTGCGGAAAGGCGGGTGTCACGTAACTTGTCATACGCACAATTCACTCATTTCAAGTACAGCTTTTCCAAATGAAATTGCAAGAAAAAAGAATTTATAAAAAGCCAGCTTTTTAGTTTTATGTTGTTGTTGTTGTTGTTGTTGTTGTCATAAGGCTTGAAAACTAAGACACTATTCATTGTCTATTCACAAGACAAAAAAGATATCACACAGGTGATCTGACTTGTTTCCGTAAAACTCTCTTATGATCCCCTTTCACAGTGATCGCCTTTGAGACTCAGTGGGGCAACCGAAGGACAACTTTGCTTATTTGTCAACATGATTGGCGACATTATGAATAAAGCGGGTCGCATGGATATTAAACACTGATAGAAGAGGAAATACTTCCACGGTGGTTCGTCACTTCGCCAAATAACTTAAAATTAGTCCATTCTAAGAGGAGTGTACATTGATAACATGTGACTATTTGGCAAAAAGCAAGTGTCGTTTTTAAATAATATGAGAGCTTGCAATAACCGTCTTTCTAATGAAAAAAGATGAGTTTTGAGAGCAACGAACCCAAATGGCCTTCTGCTTGACAGTCATTTCGCTATGGGCGTGGACGAAAAAGAAGTCTGTGGCTTCGAGGCACTGCAGGCGCACGCGCACTGACCCGTTGAAGTTGAAGAGGCTCGCGTTGGAGCCGTAGATGTTGGCCTGAAGTCGGAGATCGTAGTGAAGGGGAATCACCGTGTGTGGCAATCGCACATCCTTCACTCGCGCGTTCCAACTCGACGCGTTGGCCTTTGACACGCCTGTTTGGGTCGAAGCTTTGCCTGCTCCTACACCTGCTCCTGAAACATTTATGGAAAACGGTCCCTCGTAGTAATTTGTCATATATGGGTAAAGGTCAAATAGCACAGTGCGAAGATGGTAGTAGTCATGATAACCGCATGATTTGAGAGCATGAGCCGAAAGGTCATAGCTGAACCCTGTGATGTTAGGTAAGGGTGTAGTTCAATTAACTCTCCCAATGATTTTTCATGCTTACAAATAACACTAGTCTTTGTATAGGACAAAAATTCTTCTATTCTCTGCTTTTCCAGTCAAACCTACTTCCTACAAATATCGGTTTGCTTTGATCTTCACGAGCAAATGAATTAATTATTTGAAATCGCTCAATCACCTCAAAATTCACAACTTTGATGATAAGGTTGGAGAGTCGTCTCTGCATGCTCGCCGTGGCCTAATATAAAACGAGCTATACGTTGAAGCCTTGGAATTGGACAGTTCGAGCATCTGCTTTGCACACATTCCTCCACCATGATTTTGATTTACAAAACACCGAAGAAAAAGACAAGAAAGACCGTATTTGCTGCATGATTTAAGAGTTATGCGCACTTATCTGTTTCTTATGACTTTAAACTACCGTTTTCACAAGAATTTGAAGCAACTTGTACCTAAATAAAGCAAATTTATCAGAAGAATGAATCCCAATTCTCTTAAGGCTAGAAAAAAGATGCATAAATCTACGACAATTTCTTCCCACCAGGCACGACGAGAACAGATTGGGGAACACAACTGTGAAACCAAATACAAGACTGTGGAAAATCGGCTCTTCGATATCTCAACCCTGTCGTCCAAAAGCTGAGGGGCAGAAATTGGCCATGTGATTGGGAGAATCTGTGAACCTTTGGGGTGGCACTTAGTAAACTGCCATTGCTAACATCTCCTGCAATTCGTCGCGCTTTTACGCCCTGACTGTCTTCATGTCAGCCATACTGAGCCCATTACCTCCTACACAACCTCCTTCGTCCGGCCTCAGAAGTTTACTTGCAGACTTCCACTGGAAGTCGGTGGATTCAGTACCGGCAAAGTGAAGAAGATTACCTGCCCTGCTGTAACGTGCTGTCGTGCTTAAGTAAAAAAGGCGTAGTTAACCCTAAACTAACGCGTAACTGGAACCCTAGTTGCTACACAAAAAACCACATCGAAATGATATACAAGTAAAATTTACATGTAACAGGGTCGAACTTCCACTTGGAGGCTTCCTGTTTGCATGTACCTTTAACCACGAACAACGCGATAAAAACACACTTTTACAAGATAGAAGCAAAATCTTTGTGAAAGAGCTTTCCATACAAAGCAATGTAAACTTATAGGTGTGCACTATGACCACTACGGGCACACAAGCAGGTCCTCTTTCGCTTCAAAAAACTTTTTGAAATAATCCATTCGTGTCGCCCAAAATCTTGTTATATCAGACTGAGAAGCAGTTTGTTCGCTTCGGCCTTTTGGAATTGGGCTACAGGGTGGCCTAAGTCGGAGAAATCTTGTGAGCCAAGGAAAGGAAAACAAAAGACTGGGGACATGAGAGCGCTGGAGAAAGGAGTCAACTCTGCACAAAAAATGAGGGTGCTTTAATAATCAAGAGGCAGTCACAACAAATCTCAAAGAAACCGCACATGGGTCACCGAGAGCTAAGATGAGGGCTCGGTTCAAGGTGCTGTACATCTACTGTGCATGGTTAATTTTTTGTAGGCAATGAAGGTTCTCATGAGAGCATAGTGAATGAAAGAATAAGATAATAACATATTTGAGGTGATTCTACAACAGTAGATGAGTTAGGAAAAGCAGAGATACGCCGCCTCTCCAGGAGATGACAATAACACTCACCGTTAGGTCTCGGTAAGGATGGATGCTTAGGAAATGGCGCGTGAGATTGAAGTCGCGACGGAAAGCAAAAGTGATAATGTCTTTTGTCCGGGAAGGTCAGGCTGGATTAGTACTTCCGGTGTTGCAAAGCACATACGCGGTTAAGTAGGCTATTTTGACAGCTGAAATACCTCCGCTCTCAGGCCCTGAACGAATGCGAAACAGAGGGGAAGCTGCCGAAGCCATAATATGTCACCTGTCTAACATGACTGCTTGAATGACGAACTTTAAGGCAGAAATCCACTGCTTGATAGTTTATACGCGGTTTATGTGTATAGTATCCGGAAATTGCTCCAAAACACTAGAGAAGTTAGGTGCAATAGGAGCACCAGACTTGAAATCATGGTGGACCTATCGCGACGATTGCATTAATTAATGTTTGGACATAGTGAACTGTCTGGTGTGCCATAAACGCATGGCCGGTGCCTTCCTGGTGGCCTACTATAGCATCATTTCTGAGAGTTCAATCAACATCTCCAACGCACGAGATTTGGATCTGCTCATCTCAGGTCTATCCAACATTGATATCGATGACCCACGTACCATCACCACCTACTCGAAGTGTCAATCCACCTCGCCATGGATGGAGCGGTTTTGGCAGGCTCTAAAATTCTATTCAACAAAAAGAGTATCCAATTTTTGCAACAGTTGATAGTACGTAAAGGAAAGGATGCTTTAAATTCTCCCTGCAGTTGTGAATTTATAGAAGGAGTGAGATGAGATCAAAATTCAGTGAATGATTGAAATACTGAAAACTCATAGACGTTTCAAAGGATTCATTTCAAAGAGATATTCAATGTTTGCATGGGACTGATGACCCTATGCGATAATGACTAGCAGAACAGCAAACGTTTGGTCCAATATGGTCATGTGAGAGCCAACAAGAACTTAACCGAATACTAACCATAGGGTGCGTGGAATTGAGGGCTCTACCAGCAGGGACGCGCACGAACGTCCCTTCAACAGATTCAATTTAAAGCATCTTTTTGGGTACAGATTGCTTTCATTAGTAAAAAGTAAATTTATAGTTATTTGGGAAAATGGCTTAGACTCGCAGGCAAAACAAAGGCACAAATGTAGGTCTTCTTTTGGTCTTATCAACTTCTGAATCAACTCAGTTTTAACGAAAGGAAATGCGCACCATCGAAGTGGTGTGCGTTAATCATCCTTTCTAGCACGGTTCACTCGCGTATGGATTGCGAAGGCGATCTTAATCGGGAAGCGTCATTACGAAGGAAGATTTTGGGAGGGGAAGGGATGTTGACATCCTCTCAACAAAACATTGTTTAGACACTTAAAAGGCCTGATAAAATCATGCGCTTAACCAAAACTAGAAACAACGAATTCCCTAGATTTCCAAAGGAAGATGAAAAACGAACCCGGGAATAATGAAGTGCCGAAATCATTAAGAGGCGTAAAAAGGAGTGGAAGGTTTTTTTGCGTCCCGAAAAATGGTGATGCGACATTCGTGTCATCGGAATTAGATGCCTTTATTAACTGACATCTGGCCTCTGGTGTTTGCCAGTAATCGCAAACATGAAAATCAGTGCCTTCGGTAAACAACTTTATGTTTTCCCAGGCGAAAATAACCAGCCCTGCACTGAAATGAATGGCTGAGACCTTGAAACCTATTTTCGACGACAATCGGCCTCTATTAGAGAGGAGGCGAAACAGTCATATAAAAGCTAGAAAATCACCGTCGTAAACAAGCACATTGACCTATCAAAGGAATTGATGCACAAAGAAACCAGTTTCTTCTATCGGAAAATAAACCGAATAGAACAACTTGTTTGTAACTGATGGCACAGGTACTCACCCCCATCACTGATGCTTTGGACGCTTCTATTAGTTAAAAGGAAGTAGAGGGTTGTGGCAAAAAAGATGAGCGCCAAAGCAGTGACCACAGCAAGGAGGGTAGCAAGGATGATCACAACGCTCTTCTTTGGTTTTATCACCGCAATCCCTGGGGAATACTTGTTCTCTCCCGACATCGCGACCCCGATTACATCCACATATACGCACAATTGATCTTCGTGAATAGAGGAAACTGCTCAAGCCCTCGAACACTGTTGTGTTGTTTACTCTGTTTGGTCAGAAGACGAGGTGAGAGGAGACACACTTGCAAGGAGCGAGAGATCAGTGCTAACAGCGCGGTCCAACGCTCGACCCTGTGCGTATTTATATCGTCTGCAATCCGCAGCTGCCGAGGCATGCGATCATTGGCCGCGACTGGGCCAGTCACGGAGGGCCAAATAAACGCATGTGCGTGCGCGTGCGTAAGTGCGCACGTGTGTTCAAGCTGACACCCTAATGTGGCGCTTTCGGTGACCCTCTGAAACTTACACCTATGCTTCTCTCCTTCCCTTCCGTCTCCCAATGAAATCACTCATCTATACCCCATCTTGAATAAGGCTATTCAGATGGCCGTATTTTTTACTCATTCGAAATGTACATTACGTGAGGATGAGGATTAGAGAAAGGATTTGTCATTGCTTCTTGTCGATTTCATCATCCTGAACCATTTCCTCGCGCACGTTTGCTTCTAAAAAGGAAGAGTCTATACAACAATCCTTTCAGGATTTATGTATCGAAAAGTTTTACTCTACTTATATTGACGAAATTGACGTTTGCTTGCAAAACGGGAAACTAATGACTCTAACCCTATCCTTTGATGGAAGTCTGTCAAACAAGAGAACTAGCATCATCTTGGAGTGTAAAGGTGAGGGACGAACGACATCGTTTATTGCTTCGGCCTCATTAGCAAACGCTTTCTACACATTTGGAAAACAATTAAACTGGTTTAATGCTCTACTGCACTACGTTTAGACAATTATTTTTGCCAAACCGATTAATGCAAAAAGACTAGCATATAATTGTTCGCCACAGATCAGAGGCATTCAACAAACTCGATCGAAATAGGGTGCAATCACAGCTGTCGCGACACCTGACATCAAGCTCGGGTGTGAAAACAGAGGCGTCAGACATACGTTTGGTTGATTGTGGACATGATAAAAAATAGAATGTAGAAGTCCATACACATGGAGGTACCCAATCATGAAGTCACAATGTTTGCTTACCCACGCGCACTCGTTTGAACATGCCTAAAGAGCGATATGCAATACCGCGCTCCCAGCCAGGACAGTTGTGCTTGCTTAGACCTTGCCCCGATGAGCATCAAGACTCCCGCTCCTTTCGATTAAAGGCTAGCTCAACTAAGGTCGTACGGTGCTAAATTTGAAATCTGAATGACATCACTGTGACGCTTGCGCCAGCAAAAGTTTCAGCTAATGAAAAGTCGCAAACAATTAAGCATTCAAGCATTCAAAACATTTACCGGTATAAATAATCTTTGTGAAACCAGGCGAAAGAGCAGGGCTACGTCACTACACTACTCAGAAGGGTCTCGACTTCGCCTCAATCTGAGGGTCTAATGCTTAAACACTGGTCGTATAGCAGGCCGTAGTGATGAACATGCAAGCGACAAAAGTAGACAGATCTTTGTTTTCTGTTTAAGACACTTACTATAGCGTCCAGTTTTCGCATCATATTCACATTGAACAACTGTCTTTCGAAGAAGCCGATTGACATCCTCTCCAAATTCCCAAAGCTGTGGGGATGAAGGATCCAGAGTTGTTTGTGAAGACCTCATGAGCTCAAAAGTAAACCCACCTACTAGGTGGTAATTACAGTACGTAGAAAAATGTATGGGGCGGGAAAAGTGGCCACACAGTCACGCCCAGCCACGAATAGGCGCCGCACACTCTCCATCCAAAATTATGTCAATAAGTTATCTTTCGGAGAGGATAAGGAGTGAATTGATAGGGGAACTGTATAAGCATTGCCCTTCACTTTCATTCCCAAACTGTAACGCTTACTTAAGCGGTCGCTCAGAGCCAAAACCAAGGTGAAACTTTTTACCGCCAACTATGGAGGTTTACTATTCAATCGACCTAGCATAACGCCAATCGAGTAGCATTGCCGATGTGTCAAAGGGAATGAGATTACTTGCGAAGATAAAGTCCAAAATAGACAGGTAAGATGCGGTGCGATAAATAGTAAATACGTGAAAGCATAAATCTACAAAGGGGGCGTCAATCCGCAGTCTTTGACGGGCAATAAGGGTAAAATTGCACTAGGACCATCTTCACGATGAACTTGGAAGTTTCTAAATAACTGCTCTGTAGAGAAGACAAAAAAATGAAAAAAAAAATCAACAAAGTCTGATAAAAATCTCACCTCATTCAGTTTCGCTAGGTCCGTTACGTTCGCATTTTTACGAAATTCCTCGTTTATTTTTGCTCGAGTTTCTAAAAATATGAGCACTTGTGTCTGTAAAGGAAGAACTGACAGCGCATAAACTTAGCTTTCTAGATTGGAACTAATGAATCGGATTTCGGCATGCAATACAAATAATCTCAACGACTAGAACCTTCTTTGACTGCCATACAGTGAAACGCCTCCAACCCCGTAAACGGGAGTGCAACGGCAACCTGAAACGACTTTTGCTATGAGGGAAAATAACAATTGTGAGAATAGCAAAGGTATCTAACTGCCAACTGTGGAGAGGAAACTATTGAAGGTGCATAATTACTTTCCAATCCCTCTAGCCATCAATGTCACCTCATGAGAGTTTTGTGGTGGGCTCGGCATAGGCGGCATCAAAAGCCTGCGATAGTAAGCCGGAAGAATGTCCTGCCTTGAGGCAAAGAAAATGTGAATGGGAGATGCGGATGGTGGCCTTGCATTTCTGCCGTTAATCAATCCCGTCCGGACCGCTTTTATTACCTTCAGTCCATCAAATATTTATCAATTTTTAGGCTGTCGAGCAGAATCAGGAAAGTAAAGTGAACGCGCTGTTTAAGAGAATTCAACACCTTCAAAGACGTTTGACCGTGAATGTCAATGATCCCTAGGGAGTGTACAACTTACTAGGTAATTGTATGGATGCTCAAAGTGTGAAAATGAACCATATCAACATTATTTGAGGTGTAGACCATCAGTCTCCTCATTTGAAGGAGAGAAAATACATTATAGGCATAACTGGAATGGTTGAATGGACCGAAATCTGTCGCAATATCAAGTCGGCAACGGCGATATGAGCGGCAATAATAGGGCGGATGGGGAGGAAATTCACGGAGGTGAACTTTCTCCTGAGCGTTCAAATAGACTCGAAATGCTAGTTATTTTAACATCCACAAAACGATATTCTCATATCCAAACATAACACTAGGGGAAGAAGACTTACGTGCAAGAGCAGGATCATCACCCTTAAAGACAACGAGACGAGTTTTATGCAACTTGTAGAAAAGCTTCAAAGTCTAAAATGAGAAAACAAAATAAGCGGATTTCGGGGTCAACCAAATACAACAAGGGGTGAGCTGTGAGGTACCTTCAAAGCCAGCTTATAAACCAGAAAGGAACAAAGCATAATGATAATAGCAGGAAGACCGGAAAGAAAAAAGTGAATTCTCCAACGATACCTTATTCCTTGCAGTCATTGGGGTCTATTCTTAATACACCTAATAACAAAGAAAATGTTACGGACAGCTTGGTCGTGTGGGTCATACATTCTACTTTGTACACCTTTAACTTAATTTATGATCGGTATGGATAATTCCAAGTCCTACGCTACTTAACTTGACGAATTCTACACCTAATATACCCATTTGGCCCTTCAGTTGGGCTAATTGGCCATAGTTTAAGCAGCCTGAACTTTGCAGCTGGGAAATGGGGCCTAAGAAGGGGCAGTACTTGAGGTCTCGAAAGTAAACCAGAATCGTAAACATTCTAACCCCCTTCTCCTCGAAAATAAAGGAGATATTGCTTGGACGTTCAGCATCACAGTCTACCGCCAACACAAACAACGAGATGGAGGCAAATGAGTCTTGTACTAATGATTTAAAATTGAGGGCTACCCCAAAGAGAGCAGTTTTGGAAATGCTCCAAACGGGGACTAAAAAGTTGAAATTTCGATTCAGTTTAGGGAGGTCAGCTTGATGTGATGCGACTACTTTGAAGAGAAGAATCCGAAAGCCCAGTGCCCCATGGTGTGCAACTAAACAGACCTTGCCTAATGGACTGAAAAATTGCCCGCATAACAACAGATGGGTGCAGTCTGGATTCTCCACTGACAGATGGCGATAGAGAAATGGTAACTCACAATTTCGTTTGGAAATTACAACCCACTTAAAGCATCACTGATTTCTGTGAGTGGAATGGGACAAAAGTTTTCTGTTTTCTGGGCAATTTGCTTAGACGCCGAGGTGTAGGTAGGCCAGTGCTTGAACGCCTCCAGAATTACTTTTGGCTCCCACGAGGTAGTACATTAAAGATAAGTCGAGATGACTACACAATCTAAAGCGTCGACCACATTATCGAAATCAAGTCTGAACAATTCAAACTCTCCAGATTATTTGAACTAGTGATACTTCTAAGAATAAATTTTATGCTAATGAAGGGAAGCGAATTCAGAACACTTAAAACCCGCTTCTACACTTTACGACATTGCGACGTAAAATTTCAGCAATTCTGCTTTTCAACAATGGCATAATGATGTAAATAAAAGGGTTTATGAAAGCAATTACGGACTGGAAGACTCGAACTACGGATGTGGAATAGGGCGTAGCAGCAGGCGAAGGTTCGAGATACTCGACGTCCAAATCGCTATTTCCTCTCACTTGGACTGGTCACTCAGTACTAAAACATTAAATTTGTCGGTAAAACAAATTTTAAAAGTTACTCTGTTATCATAGAAAAATGCACGACTCGATATGTGTCACTTTTCAAATTATAGGCCTTTTGGAAGAAAAGGTCACCAAGGCAGAAACAGTCAACAAGTGTAGTGATAAAGTGTGAAATAGAGGAATGAATGACACTTTTGTGCAAGAAGCGCTAATTCTTAGCAGGTCTCAGCGTGCCACTCAGTGGTGGTCAAAATTGAGCTTGACCGACGGAGATGAAGCGACCTAGGCGAAAATTGCGTGAAGAAGAG